GTGTTGTGTTGTGTTGTGTTGTGTCGTGTCGTGTTGTGTTGTGTTGTGTTGTGTCTGTGTGTGTCTGTGTGTCTGTGTGTCTGTGTGTCTGTGTGTGTCTGTGTGTGTCTGTGTGTGTCTGTGTGTGTCTGTGTGTGTCTGTGTGTGTCTGTGTGTGTCTGTGTGTGTCTGTGTGTGTCTGTGTGTGGCTGTGGGTGTCTGTGTGTGTCTGTGTGTGTCTGTGTGTGTCTGTGTGTGTCTGTGTGTGTCTGTGTGTGTCTGTGTGTGTCTGTGTGTGTCTGTGTGTGTCTGTGTGTGTCTGTGTGTGTCTGTGTGTGTCTGTGTGTGTCTGTGTGTGTCTGTGTGTGTGTGTGAGTGTGTGTCTGTGTGTGTCTGTGTGTGTCTGTGTGTGTCTGTGTGTGTCTGTGTGTGTCTGTGTGTGTCTGTGTGGGTCTGTGTGTGTCTGTGTGTGTCTGTGTGTGTCTGTGTGTGTCTGTGTGTGTCTGTGTGTGTCTGTGTGTGTCTGTGTGTCTCTGTGTGTCTCTGTGTGTCTCTGTGTGTCTCTGTGTGTCTCTGTGTGTCTCTGTGTGTCTCTGTGTGACTCTGTGTGTCTCTGTGTGTCTCTGTGTGTCTCTGTGTGTCTCTGTGTGTCTCTGTGTCTCTGTGTCTCTGTGTCTCTCTGTGTCTGTGTCTGTGTCTCTGTGTCTCTGTGTGTCTGTGTCTGTGTGTCTCTGTGTCTCTGTGTCTCTGTGTCTCTGTGTCTCTGTGTCTCTGTGTCTCTGTGTCTCTGTGTCTCTGTGTCTCTGTGTCTCTGTGTCTCTGTGTCTCTGTTTCTCTGTGTCTCTGTGTCTCTGTGTCTCTGTGTCTCTGTGTCTCTGTGTCTCTGTGTCTCTGTGTCTCTGTGTCTCTGTGTCTCTGTGTCTCTGTGTCTCTGTGTCTCTGTGTCTCTGTGTCTCTGTGTCTCTGTGTCTCTGTGTCTCTGTGTCTCTGTGTCTCTGTGTCTCTGTGTCTCTGTGTCTCTGTGTGTCTGTGTGTCTGTGTGTCTGTGTGTCTGTGTGTCTGTGTGTCTGTGTGTCTGTGTGTCTGTGTGTCTGTGTGTCTGTGTCTCTGTGTCTCTGTGTCTCTGTGTCTCTGTGTCTCTGTGTCTCTGTGTCTCTGTGTCTGTGTCTCTGTGTCTCTGTGTCTGTGTCTGTGTCTGTGTCAATGTGCTGTTTAAGATGCGAAGGACCATTAGGAAGTCCTTGGCTTTTGGGCCGCAGTGGTATTGCACATACCTCCAGTGTTGCATTTGGGCAGGAAGAGGAGGGGGAGGAAGAGGTCCCAAATGAGCGCAATGACATCATGAATGCGCGACAGCTGTCCGCGCCCAAGTCGGGTTCTGGAATCCTCGCGTTTGCGACGTTTGCCAAGGTTGGCCAAGGGTGCAGAGGCCCGAGGGGACCTTCCACTCAGCGAGCCGAATGTGTTGCATCCATGCCAGGCCGAGAAGTGGACAAGTGGAGCTGAGAAGGCACGAAAGTAGATCTGAGGAAGAGCTGTGGCACGGATTGCATACTGAGGATGCCACCACCAAGAGTGTTGCGTCCTTCGATGTGCAGACAGAAATGGTCACTCCGAGCCATGAAGAAGCTTGACAAGAATTCCAGCCATCTCGCACATGGTCGTTGGTCGCACGGCACCTACACCAAGGTTATAAGTATCGATCCAGCCCCACCTTTAAACGTCAAATAGGGGCCTGGACCGCCACGCCGTTTGCAACATAAGCCATGAGGTTGTTTTGTTTTCCCATCGCCATCGCAAGATTGCTCCAAGCGATTACTGTCAAGATGAAAGACATGCCTGACACAATGCTGTTCGTGTCGTAGAGTGCTTGTCACAAACGTCAGGAGTTCACGTTGTGGCAGATCCTAAGAATGTTCTCCCCAGATGAAGAAACCTAGTAGATCAAAAGGGTGTGTGTCCCATGTTTCCGACAAAGGCAAAGGCCAAATCCCACTTTCCCATTCCCTCAAAAGCCAAGGAAAGCTGCGCAGAGGACAAGGAGCAGGAGGCAGGATTTGGGAGGCACAGATCTTCCTTGTGCGTTGCGATGTGCTTTCCAGGCAGAACCCTGGACGAGCGGGATGCCGGACAAGGCTGGGGGGGGAGGAAAGAGCTTTCTATTCTTCCATTTGCTTAAGAATAGTTCTTTTAGTTTCCCCTGTTGGTTATAAAGGGAATCTATCACTACTGGAAGTATTTTATTTTAGGGGCCTTAACCAAATGGAAGTATTTGGTTCGTATGTTTGCTTGCACTTCAGCATCACGCGGTCGGTCTCCTTAGCCTTGCATTTGAGCGTGGGGAATCTGCCGACCCATTCAGACCCAACCAATATGTTGCAAAGCCCGAATTCCCAGAAGACTCCCAGGATGCTACAACCACCAAGAGTGTGGCGTCCTTTGATGTGCAGATGGAGATTGTGACCCCGGATGAGGAGCAAAGCGATGCAGTCTTGCCCATGCAAGTAGGCTGCTTTAATTTGCTTGGCGAATTCCATCTTCCTCATTTTTGGTGTTTAGCTTTTTGAGTGGTTCAGTAGGGGTTACCCTGAAAACTGTTGGTGCAAATTTCCCAGCGGCAGGTTGCCGGAGGTGGAAATCCCTTCATGCATCTTGTGGTAAGAAGACGTAAATCATCTTGCCTTGTCAGCCTTTCATCTCTTCCTGCTGGTCGAAGAACCCACAAAAAACTGGGGTGGGCAGCAAAAACCGGGTTTTGCACCTGCTACTGGTTGAAAACAAGGTTTTCAGTTGAAGAACCTGGTTTTGCTTCCTGCAAGCCGTACAAAACCCTACAAAACCAGTATAAAAGCTGTAAAAGCCGTATTTCCTGCATGCTTTGCGCGAACCAGGTTCTTTTCTGAAAACCAGATTCTGCTTCGGAACCCGTTTTTTTGTAGGATTCTGAGGTAGCAGGTTCCCGCCCCTCAGTCTGGCAAGTGTTTCCTTCATCCACGTTCAGCCCGTGCTCGAACTCCTGCAATGCAAGTGAACATCTTGCCCCTTCGAGCATGCTGGCTTGACTGCCGAGCGTGCAATCCGAGCCTCCAAAGTCAGTGTCATTTGAGCGTCTGAGTTGCTTCCCAGGAACCAAAAAAGAAACGTACACATGCAAATCGTGTTTGATTCGTGTAAGTCAAATAGGGGTCTCTTCTTCTCCCCAGAGCAGAGCAGCTTCAGGGTTCCTCTCGGTTTCCCTGAAGCCAGAGAGAGAAATTGCGAATCGCTGGATTAGACGACGGGTTATGTTTGAGGAGGTCCCTGCCCCAGTCGGACACGTCAGCTCACTGGCAGGATGTCCCCATGCACCTGGAGCAGAGTCCATCAGCTGAGCTCTCAATTAGCGGCATTCGGTCAAAGCGGGTATGGTATGGGTCAAAATCAAAATGAGTCAGGAATTGGACTGCAGGTTTGCGTCTACTTGTTTCCATTTACCAGGGCAACCCATTTTGGGGTTGCCAACTACCACTGCCAAATGCAGCCGCGAACTCAGGAAGAGGATGAGGAGGATGAGGAAGATGAGGACGAGGCCAGCCTTCCAGTGAGCCTTTGCCCTCATTCCCCGAGTTCCTGGGATTTAATTTGTTTGTGCTTGGACCATCTTAAAATAACAAGTTCCTGGTTTCTGTTTGGGTCCACTCAGAAAGTGCGTGCCAATCTGACCAGAGCTGATCTTCAGGTACCAATGGAGCTGGAGGCTCCGGTCTGAGCACTCGACTCCAATTGATCTGCCCCATGTTTTTGCGAGCTCTTGGTGAGAATCAGCTCATCGTGAATGTCCTTTGCTTGGATCTCTTATTTTGGGCCTGGGTTTGTGAAGTGTGCAGATACATAGTTCATCCAAGAGAGCACAATTTGCCACGCTCGCTTTTGAGATTGATGCTCTTGTGTGAGGCCCTGCCTTGCGCGGAGGACCCCAGTTTCACCTGGGCGCGACGCAGAGAGAGACCTGGCGAACGGCAAAGCATTGACGCTTGAGCTGGTTGCGCATAGGCAGGAGAGGCGCCGGATCACACGCGCCGCAGGAGCTAGATGCTAATGAATAATTTGGAGCGTGAATTCGTGCAAAAAACTGAACTGCGACCGCAGGGAGCTTGGTGACATGGGCAGAAGCCAGTCTTTCGGTTCATCCAGGAAGCATCGAAATCAAATTTTGCATATATGTCGCCAGGACGAATGCGATCTGCAATTCATGTTTCACAGGTTGAAGCCAAAGCTCCTCAAAGCTATGGCATCGCAAGTTTGTGTTGCCGCGTTCGCGGTTTAGCTTCAAGCGTTGTCTTGAAGAGCCTGCAAGCCTAATTCAAGAGCTTCCTCCGTCTCCATGATGGAAGCACAAGATTGAGGCTCTTGGGTTCTGACTTGCCGCCTTGGCAGTGCTCAATGCCTTGAAGCAGCCTTTGCTCAACTAGTGCAGGGCCAGCATTCTGCTCAGCGGCATCTGCCATGGTCAGCTTGTCTTTTTCTCACTTGGCAAAGCCAAGTGCTTTGCATGCATGATGTGGGAAGGCTTCTTCATCCCGCATTGCTATAGCAGGCGCCACCCGTTGTGAGAGCGCAAGTCGCATGCAGATTGCTGCGTCCAGACACGTTGTTTGGGACGGACAGTCAAGTGTTACGTTCTCAGAGCGAAGGGAGTGGCTGATGGGGCGTAACAATGTCCCAGTGGCCACGAACAACCTGAACGTGATGGATATCATGCTAAAGAGTCGTGCGATCGTGCGAACACAAACGTGTGAAAGCATGGTGAATCAATGTTTTAGAATCTATGGATGTCATTGTTCTTTATGTTCATGTTATCATTCCTATAATTGTGCTTTTTTCCCTTGTTCATTTATTGTTTGTCGGGTGCCGTATTTTTGCGTTTGATTATTCCATGTTGTTTGCTATTGCTCTCGTCTATTCTTCTTGTGTTCGTTCTTGCTGGTTTGTTGTTTTGGTGTTGTAGTCATTGTTTTCGTTTATAGAGAGACAGAAAGAGAGAAAGACGCAGACAGAGAGAGAGAGAGAGAGAGAGAGAGAGAGAGAGAGAGAGAGAGAGAGAGAGAGAGAGAGAGAGAGAGAGAGAGAGAGAGAGAGAGAGAGAGAACGACAGAGAGACAGAGAGACGCAGAGAGACAGAGAGACGCAGAGAGACAGAGAGACGCAGAGAGAGAGAGAGACGCAGAGAGAGAGAGAGAGAGAGAGAGAGAGAGAGAGAGAGAGAGAGAGAGAGAGAGAGAGAGAGAGAGAGAGAGAGAGAGAGAGAGAGAGAGAGAGAGAGAGAGAGAGAGAGAGAGAGAGAGAGAGAGAGAGAGAGAGAGAGAGAGAGAGAGAGAGAGAGAGAGAGAGAGAGAGAGAGAGAGAGAGAGAGAGAGAGAGAGAGAGAGAGAGAGAGAGAGAGAGAGAGAGAGAGAGAGAGAGAGAGAGAGAGAGAGAGAGAGAGAGAGAGAGAGAGAGAGAGAGAGAGAGAGAGAGAGAGAGAGAGAGATATAGAGAAAGACAGAGAAAGCAAAAAACAAAGAGACAAAGACAATCAAAGAGAGAAATAAAGAGAGAGAGAGAAAGAGAAAGAGAGAAAAAGAAAGAGAGAAAAAGAAAGAGAGAAAGAGAAAGAGAGAAAAGGAAGAAAAAAAGAACGAGAAAAAAAGATAAAAAGAGAAAAAAAGAGAGAGAAAAAAAGAACGAGAGAAAAACGAAAGCGGGAAAGAAGGCAACAATCAAAGATAAAAACAGGGAAAGAGGAATAATGGAAAAGAGGGAAAGAGAAATTTCGATTTAGACAAATCCCGAAATCTGCCGGAAATTTAATACGTGCTTTTTTTCGTAAAGTCGTTGAATTTTATATTTTGCGAATTGGATTATTGGAAAGGATTTAAAATTCGGGAAGATTAGGTTATATTATATATGAAAATCCCGAGCAAAGATTTAAAAGAAATAGAAATCTATATTGTGGAACAAAAATCGAAATGAATATAATTGTTTGATGTGAGCATGATGATTCGGTTGGAGTAGTATTATAATTATTATAATAATTTGAAAAACATATATTATTTAAAATTTTAAAATAAAATTGTATTTTTTATGTTTAAATAAAAAATGATTTACAAATTGATTTTATAAAATAAAATCGTTGATTTTATATATATTTATTGATAATATATAAGCAAGAATTGAGATATTTTGAATTCTAAATTCTTTATTGTAAATTCTTTTGAAAGTAGCGATGGTCGCTTCGAATTAGTTGTTAAACACTTTTTTTGTGGTTTTAAACATTATTTTTTGGGTTAATTTAAAGTAGGAAATATATGGAAATTAATTTTTTGATTGGTATTATATTTTTTTCTTATAAAAAATAGTTTATGGAAATTAACCTATGTTGTTAGTAGAGAAAGGAATACGTTTTCTGTCCGAGATATGCCAAATCCCATTTTTGGGGTAGGAATGGGCGAAGGTTTTGTTTGGTACGGGTGGATTCGGTGAAAGGCGGGGCACAAAACGCTTATGGGAAGGCCTTCTTGATTTTATATTATTTTATAGCGAAAAAAAAAGATATTAGTTTTTGGATTCCATATTTTTGCATATCCCCATGTCCAAGTTTATGGCAAGCGTAGCCGCTGGACGTTAGCCGGCGGAGGTCTAAAACGGAACCGGGACGAGAGAAGGAACCTAATAACAATTCCGAGAAGGAGATCGCTGTTAAAATCGGTTATTGGTTTTTTTTTTTTTTTCTCTATGAATTTGTGGGCAAAATAATTTGCGGATAGGAACGGAGGCTTTCTAATATAAAAAGATTATAGGCCTTTTCTAATAATATTTAATATATATGAATTATTGGACTATATGTTTTGATTTTTTCGGTAAACATTAAATCGAGAAGGCATATTGATCTCGGCTAAATTTATCTAGCTTGGAAGGTGGTGTGTCGCGATTTCAAGCGGAATTTTGAGACACAGAATTAGCTTTGGCCAAAGAGAGGTTACAAACAGGATTGGCATAGGAATTGTTGTGGACGTGATTGATTGGGAATCCTTGGTTGGACTTATTTTTGGATTTCTGTTTAACCATTGAGGTCCTTTCGGTTACAAATCTTTAACGTTATGCAAATATATTTTAAGTAATGCAAGTATTATAAGTTTGCCATTGTTGGCGAGACGGTTCGGTACGATGGATGGTTATGTGTTCTAATAGTGGCCGAGTTGTTAGTTAATATCATGTTTTTCTTCTTTTTAAATTATTAGGTGTTTCTAATATAGCTATCCGTTTTTTTTATCAGGGTCGTTGGGTAATTGGAAGTAGTATAGTTGTGGGGTATTAATAGAGATGTTCTAGCAAAATTATGGTTCCTAATTACATTCAGTGGTATATATCTATCCGGCGCGGCGTGTTTAGCTTAATATTGAGAATATGGAAAGATTTCAAAATCTAACTATTTTGTTACTTGAGGGTTAGTATATTCTCAATAAGTAATTTCTGGATTTTATAATGAGTGTAAGATATTTAACATTTAAGTTAAGGGATTCCTCATATTAATTTGTTGTAAAAGCTAAATAAATATTAACAGAAATTATTTAAATAAATATATTATTTTTTTATGGTTATTGGATTTTGCCTATTTTATTATAAATTTCGGAATCGAAACGAAATTAAAATGAAGATTCCTTGCTTAAAGACCTTTTATATCGGAAGTTAAGAATATAATTGTTATAAATTTCTAAAAATAACAATTTTGTTTGAATTTATTAATAAATTAATTTATCGGAATAGTCGATTATTAGTTTATTGCCTTGCGGAATTGTTTTAAGTCTTATATATTTTTTTGTTATTCTATATTGTTTTATATATTAAGAATATTTTTCTTATATATAGAAAATGTTTATAATTTATGTTTTAATATTATTATTTTTTTGTTATAGGTTTTGTATATTGTTAGAAAGTAACGGGTCCCCCCTAAATATATTTTAAAAAAGGGTTTTAATTATTAACAATTTTAAATTATAAATAATATTACCTTTTATATTATATAATTATATATAATTAAATTATTCTAATTTGTTTTTATAAATAATAATTATATTAATTTCATTTAAAATAATATAATAAAACAAACAAACATCAAAAAATATCGAAGTAATAATCAAAAATATCAAATAAATATATAAAAAATATCCAAATATTATTCCTTCAAATTTACCTCCAAAATTACCTTTGAATACGGCCAAATGCCGTTTCTATTATTGAGTAGCTACGAAGCCAAAACAACATGCTATCCCTACAAGTAGCGCCCCAAGCTTCTTCAAGCAAATGAAGACTAAGATGAAGAAACGCGGGAGTTTGCCAACCGTACATCTTGGAAAGCCGCTCACGTATTTCTGAGCCGACTCATTCACTAACTCCAAAAAACGCGGCACTTCAAAGCGAACTGCAAAAATCGGGCTGATACTGGCCGAGACGAGCAGCGCAAAGCTTTTACAATTATCATTCTACCTTGTAGATTTGTTGGTCTTAAACAACATCCACGAGCATCAGCCATCCGTCGATACCTGCGCTTGTTGTTTGCCTTGTGAAATTCGGAGCTTCGGAGCAGAGTCGATTGATATCCTCCTTGAATTTCACAGCATGCCATTAGCAATGGGTATGTGCCCTGTTGTTGACTTCTTGGTGGTTGCCGGGAACTTCCCCCCAGCACCATGCAAGCCACTTCGTCTGGCACTTGAACCTCATGATCATCGATCTAGGACATCTAAGGCGCATGCCGATTTTTTGCCTCTCTTCACGGCATCTTTGCGCCTGCGGCAATGCTTTGGCCGAATTTTGAGAGGACTCTACAGTATCATCTCTGGCTTGAATTCAACTCCCTTCACTGGGTAAATCGAGGCTGCTGTCGCTTGAGAGTTCGCTAAACTTTGCAGTGCGCTGACAGCGGATCCATGCGCACGCCGATGCCAAGACCACAAAACCACCACAGCTCCATGAAAACGACGCCCACCAGAGCTCAGGATATTTCACTTGCGAAGAAAAGAACATAGAGCACAACCAGGTCGTCAGAGAGGCCATGTATAAAATGCGAATCAGCCGGAAGTGGGTGGTCAAGCGTGCTGCAAGCGCGCACTTCAGACTGTCAGAAAGCTCTTCAATTGCAAAGAACAGCTCACAGGAAATCATCAGAGCTATGCTTCCGAGCACCAAGGTAGTGACCGCGAAGCCAAAGTACGCGAAGTTGGCGACGGGGTCTTGCAAGTTGACGCCAGAGAAGAGCACCTCATAGAAGACGTTTCCCACTTGAAAAGCTGTGGATGATGACCCGGATTTCGCATTCGCCAGCATCTGCCTCACTTTGCACAGCTCCGGGCCCGCTGGCTCCTGTGCATCGGATCCATTCCGAGCAAGCCGAGCGGCTTCCCGGATGGTGTTTCTCAACCTCCACAAGCTTGAGAGGCCCAGAAGCCCACCCACCAGCTGCAGCACACCATACTTCCAGCTCAAGACCGCTTGTTCCGAGAGAGGCGAGCCATAGTCCCAGAGTTTGATGTAACCCATGACCTCATGGGTGTTACAACTACTCAAGTCTACAGACTGTGGCATTAATGGCAAAAGCGGTGGAAAAGCACGTCCGGAAGGCACAACTTTCTTGACTCGAAGCTCAAATATGTGTGAGTATTTCTGCCTTCCGGGTCTTGCATGCATCTTATTTACAACTGCACGCGTTTTCGTGTCTTCCAGCCGGACCGTGAATGCCATCATGAAGGCAGCCAGGCACAGGGCGTAGCTCCTGCGAGCATAGACCAAGGTCTCCCCCAGCGTCGCGGCGAAGGCTTCCTTTGCCTTCGGGCTCAACCGCGCGAGGTTAAAGTCGATGATGGCGCTGGTGAAGGTGAGGTACAAAGCTGAGGAAAAGCTGGTAGCCATACCTACGGGACACTCGAGTTGGAGTCTGGAATTGCACAAATTGGAACAATCAGTTGTCGTTCGGCGTCTGCGGCGAATGAAACAATGTAAGCCCAAGACAAACCTCACAACAACTCCTTCACATGTGGCCCGGGATCCTTCCGCATCCCAGCCTACCACATAGGTGGGCGCCAGTAGAGTCCCGGAGCGGAAGAGGAAGCTAACACCATTGTACGCGAACCCGCCAAAGATCATCGAGGGCCCAGTGATGGCGTCCAACTTCCCTTTCAGCACCGAGGCAGGAAACGCATGGCACACGGAGACGGAGGTTCTCTCACTTCCTCACTTGCCCAAAGGACCTGGAGAAAAGGTGGGTGAAGCTGTTGGAACCTGGACTGGACCAAACACGGGGTTCTCCCAAAGGTCAAATGGCCATGGGTCAAAATCCCGTAGTGAACATCCCAATCCCCTCTAAAAGAGGTTCTAACATGGTGAATTCACCGAAATCCCAACCAAACTGGGATCCCAAACCGGTTTTGCCAACCACCAGCCACATCAGCTCGAACCGCGCCCCAAGAACCCCCAGCAAACCAAACACCCGCGCGCGAAAACGAGCGTCCTTCTGCGGCCTTGCGCAGAGTCCAAATCTTCTGCAGCTGCCGCGCCAGAAGGACTAAGAACAGGAGGCTAGCGATGAAGCCCTCGACCCGAGGTGGCGCCATCTTGGCCATGCCAAGGAGACCGAAGGCCAACACGAAGGAGATCAAACCTGGGAGAGAAGGGGAAAAAAGAAACGGAAAAGAAATCTGAGGAGCAATTGAAAGTGACTGAAATGTGCGTTATAGAAACATCTCATGTGTAGTGCGATGGAAAACCCGCTTAGTTCATCTGACACTTGAACATAAACATCCAAGTATATTGTTTCTGTCTGATATTTTATAGCCCGCTTGCCCTGCGGGAAAGCAAGCTCACCATGATGTCCATTACTTGGCGACCCTTATTCCAGTTTGTGGATCACATTCATTCATATTAATACATCAAGTTATGTTCTCGTTTTTTTTGGTCTAGGCACTCACCAGACTCATGATCTCGATCGGCAGCAACATGGAGTCCACCGCTGCCAGGTACCGCTTCCTTGCTGTGGTTTCCAAGGCATTGGCACGAGCGTTGATGATCTGCACGCAAACCACCACGCCCAATCCCATGCTGAAGGCCAACCAGTTGGCCCATAGGAAGTAAAAGCCCCAAGGATTCAGGCCAAACAATGGTCGATCGTCTGCAGGAAATGGGCCTCTAATAACATCAGTGTTGAAAGTGGTGATGTTATACATCACGAAGCCAGCTGCCAAGGTCCCAACAGTTGCCAGAGAATCCAGGGCCACAGATACGCCCCCAAGCTCCGAGTCTTCATCGGTGCGGCCGTCATCCTCGTCGCAATGAGTCGCACAACGGCTCCAGCATTGGAAGAAAACGATCAGAAGGATACTTGCAACACAGCCTTGGCTGCGGTTGCCGATGTCCGATGACACTGCTCAGCATTGTTACAACCAAATATGATCATTCCTGTGGTGATTGTGATGATCGCTGATGCATCACCAATGATCATGATGATGATGATGATGATGATGATGATGATGATGATGATGATGATGATGATGATGATGATGATGATGATGATGATGATGATTTGAGGACAGTTGTTCGACTTGTCAATCCACAAATCATGAGATGACATTAGATTTGTTGTTGCAGCTTGCTTCTGTGTCCCTACTATGTCCATGTGCTTAAAACAAAAAAGACCGAGTTGTTGTCCAGCAACAAGTCAGCGGCACATATGCCACCCGTGCGTAGCAGGCGCCTTCCGGCACTGAGGAAGCTCCACATGGCCCGACAGCGGTGCCGTAGTCCGCACTGCCACCACAGGGACAGGAACAGCCCCAGCCGGTCAGGCTAGCTCCGGCCAGCACCAAAAACACCCCGAGCTTGAAGAAGAACTCACCTGGCCATGGGTTTTTCAAAAGCCAAAAAAATCCGTACCGGTGAACATCCGATTCAATCCCCACTCTAGGTTCTAAAATGGGTGGTGAATTCACCTACCAACCAATAGGATCCCAAAACGGTTTTGACAACCACAGCCCCCTGGCACAGGCACAAAACTCGATTTCATTGACACGATGAAAAGTGCCAGTAGGGCATGTTCCCCATTGTTTGAGCGTCTAGGCGAAAATTGGGCTGTGGGTCAAAAAACCGGTACCAAAATGGAACCCTGGCAAGTGGAAACCTAGTCCAAAACCTGCGTAACCCCTCCTGTATAATTTTGGCCATAGAAAGAAGACTGCTTCTGACCCAGGCGCTGATACGAAACAATACAAAGAGGCACCGTGCAGCCTTTGTGGACAATTGGCTTGTGCGGAGTTGGGTCGTGCTCATGAAGGTCATGTAGACCACCAATTGCAAACACACGCAGCCCACAGAAACCTGCACGAGTCCAGCCCAGAAAGTCATTCGACTCTGGGCGAGTCGTTGGCTAAGGGTTATAGTGGGTTAGGCTAATCTCGATTGAAACACATAGTATAACTGGTCAACCACCTATGATAACCAGGGTTATGAAACATATTTACAAATTGATCAGCTCAGCTTTCATAGTTCAATGCCATTCAGACGCGGTTCCAACGTCAGTTCAATAGAGTCACAATCCAAACCTGGTAGTAAAATGGTCTACCCAAATCCACGTAAGGAAGCTAAAAGGCGGCCGCAACTATATTAGCCCCTTACTAACCTTTACCAGGGTTTTGTTATAGCTCATTTGTAAGATCCTGAAAGCGTCACACGTCAATTTCCCCATCAAAAAGCGACTTTCTGAATCCAGACCCAGACGCGACCAGTGGAAACAAGCTGTTCAAGTAGAGCTCATATTCACGTCCATCCGGAGGCTGTTGCAGTTGGACGAATCTGGCACTGGCATGTTGGATGAAGCCCACCATCAGCAACGCTCGATTTCCTGGGACTGAGGCGGGGGTTTGCGATTTCTGTCGCCGGGAAGCTTTGGGCTTCAACATCTTTTGCCCTGAGAATCGTTCACCGCACTTGTTTGTCCTTGACTTGCGAGGCTCGACACGAAAGTACCGAGCACCACAAACAAGTCCAAATAAGCCTGCAATCAGTTCGAAGGTCACTGTGACAAGACAATGATCTAAGCGATCCAGCCAATTGTGGACAAAGAACTGGGCGTGAAATCTGTGGCAATGCTGGCAATACAGCAACTTGGTTGGTGACTGAACCCATCCCGAAAAAAGCTCAGCCGGTGAAGTCTGAGGAACCGAGCTGGATAAGGCTGACAGGTTGGAAGAATTGGAAGTGCCATTAGTTGGATGTGGCAACATGGGCAATGGGAGCTACCCAACCAGCCGTAAATCAAATGCCGCGGCTCCCATTGAGTCCATGGATTGATATTGATTCACGTCCACTTCATCACTCAGCTCTTCAGCTTCTCGGCGGGGCTCCAAGCAGTCTCGGACAGCGAAGATAATGTCAAGAACTGCGGCCACGGCCCCAATGATCAGCATGTGATATCCAAGAGCTATCTCTTTGATGCCAGGTGTAGGTGGGGGAGGGGAAGGATTGTAGACAGGTCCCATGAATGGCATTGACACGCAGTAGAGGTAAAAGGCCATTCGATTGCACCAATAGGCCAGTTTTACCGCAAGATAAGACCTGCGCTGACGACGTTCCTCGAGCGCCTCACAGTCGCACTCATCTGTCTGCAAATGCAAATAAGCCGTGATGCCGGAGCACACCACACTGCAAGTGAAGGCACCAAGCAACCTCACTCCCGGGAGCTCCCAGCATGGACATTGCTAAAGTGACAAGTGGATCTGGACGAAACAGGAAGAACAAAAAAAAACTACCTGGAGTCTCCATGACCCTTAAACAATAGGGGTCATTACCCAAAATAATGCGGTCATTGACCCATTTTCAAAGGGTCATGGAGACTCCAGGTATACTCCTCACCCATCTCCACCATGACACAAAATGGGATACCATGGAACGCGCTCTGCGTTGGCCGCGCTTTGCCTCGACAGCTCGTAATACGCGAACCCGGCAATAAAGCCACTTTGCCCTGCTGCCGCATCAGCCACCTGGCTTGGACCAGCGAAGTCAGCAAATCCAGGAACGAAACTCCCTAGAAAGTCCACAGCCCCATTTCACCCACCTACAAAACGACACCAAAAAACGGGCAAAGCAGACTTTTCCACCACCCAGCGTATTCAGGTCTTTAGAAGGTTTTTGTTGATTTCCTTTAGGGGAATCCCGACTTCCGGTTCATTCCAAACACCCGGAAGGTCATTCCCCAGTGAGCACCAGGAGGTTGTATGTATTTTCGGGATCTCCTAAAATAGGTCCAAATCGCTTTTTTAACATCAACGAAACATAGGATTGTTGAAACATTTTGAAATCTATCAGACTGATGCTTTCAAAATTTAAGACTAACATGGTAAATCACAAAAAGCCTTGATAGTCCAAATCAAAACCTGGTATTAAAATAGTCGTAATCCCAAAACCGTGTAAAGAATTCAAAAATGGCTTGGATTATTCCGTACTACCCTCCAAATACCTAGGTGTTGATTGTGACTCGTGACAAATCATCACAAAACAATCATCACAAACATGTGAAGAGCACTCTCTCCCCACCTTCAGAGCTGCCTCCCATGCATGCATGAGCTACGAAATGCTATGAGGCTGCACTTGGGATCAGGAGAGGAGGGGGAGTGGCAAGGAAGCTCATGTCCGTCAGTCTGTGCGATTTGTGCCTCGTGATGCTCTCTATTTACACTTTCGACTAGTTCTACACCACGTTCTATTCATTCAACCAGCTCTAACCGCAAAGCGTGACCCACACGTTGAGAATCCATATCCACGGAGCAACACTATGGTCTTAATGGTCCGTAGCCCTGAGGGACTCATCTTGAGCCGGCCCTCGCGCAAGGTGACTGCTGGTCAAATCAGAAGGGCCGCCAAATATAATGCCAGAACACGTTTCGAGCTCAGTAGCGTTCCAAAAAACACAAGTTTCGGACCGCGAAATGCGTATCAGAAGGGCGGCCGCCAATCATGACGCCAGAACGCATTTCAAGCTCTCAAACGTGCGAGAAAAACATCATCACACATTTCTACAACATCTGCTGAAGGGCCGCAACCGCAAAAATGCATTCGTATTCAGTCCCGGAAACAAAAAGAATAGGATGTTGGACAATCCTCATATATTATTTGCAGCACCTTCAGGTTTGAGGATGCCTACATGAAATGGCAATCACCCAAGTTATCTTACTTTCGCTGCTAGGAATTAAGCTTCGGCGCAGGGGCTTTCAACTAGAGGCTTCATGGAGAGATTCCTTTTTTAAGGGTTTAGGGTGTAGATTGTATGGACAGTCTGTTGCTAGCTGGAAAGCGTTCGCGTGATAAAACAAACATAGCAGCCGCTCTCCAAAACACGCCGCAAGTTCCTGAAACTGGAGATGGCTGTTCTTGTTTATCGACATCACCACATGCTTTACTCTATTTTACTCTGAGATATGAGCCCATCCAATTCAAGTCTCAGGAAATACTATCCGGCGAATCGCGCACTTCAGCATCAAGTGTGCAAGAAGCGTGACTGCCTACATAAAGGCAAAAGCATTTCAAAACGCCTGTCGGACACTCATCTTTTGGGAATCAAGATCAGAAGACAAGCGCCCAAAGCAGTGCAGCCTCACTCAGATTTTGGCACATGCAAAGGTTAGCTAAGAACATGGTTTAGCATGTCAAATGTCTACTAAGCTTTGGAGCAACCTGCTCTTCGCATCTAGGCAGCATGTGCGCCGGCTTGCTTTTTGCAAAAGCCGCACACCTGGCATCTGGGCTGCATGCGTGGAGCTCGGTCATCGCACACGGTGAGCAACCTGGTGCAGTGCAAACATGCTGTTCATCTATCGCCCACGCCCAAGGAGAGTGGCCACGGGAGCGAGCCACAACAAGGATGCCAAGAGCTTCAGGCTGTATGTGTTCTAGTCATCCCCGGGTACGGATTGTGAAAGCTTTCAGGGTGACGCTCTGTCTGACGGACTGATCACAAAATTAGTAGCGAGCTGTGGATTGAAGCGTCAAAACCCAATAGCTAGCGCCTGAATCTATGCTCAACCACGTTTCTCATGTTTCCTCCGCCAATTTGAGCCATGTTTAATCTTCCTTATATGGCCTATGGTCCTCGTTCCCTCAATAGGAATAGTTGTAACGGTCATTACGGATCCTTACTGCCAGGTGGATGACCATCCCAGTCAACCCCAAGAAAAGGAACCGGTCAGAATGACCATGGCAGCATTGTTTTCATGGACGCCGCTCAAAACGTGCGCCCAGCTCATCAATCGCTTGGAAGGCGATATTTCTGCCGAGCAACGCTGGCCAGTGCCGACTGCAGGGCCGATCGCCAGGTTGAAACCGCCTCCACGCTTTTTTGTTGACCCAGGATTAAACCCGCCCCACTATTTGGGGGGTGTTCCCTCCAAAAGTGGTCTGAATCCAACCACTCAAAGGGGACACCCCCCGATCAAAATCAACCAGGGTGTTATTTATCCGGGGTTAGCATTGCACGACAGTTGCAGCGCCCAGACACGCGACATGTTCTCTCTCTTGCCTGCTCCACCTTCTGCTTCTCCTGCATGCTGTTGCAAGTACAAACAAAACGCCTTCCCAAAAGCAAGTGCGAGCTGGTTCAAACGAAAACGCCTTGGTCTCCAGCTGCATTGCCTGCAGATTTGGCTAAGTGCGCGTGTTGGCCATGCCGTTTCGCATGTCATACGCGAGCCTTGACCTTCGACTCTGCCAGATTAGCGGCATCCATCTCCTAACTTCAAACAGTATGCGGGACGCAGCACGTTGAGTTTAAAGACCCAAACGTCTTTTGAACAACTCAAACTTACTCTACGAAATGTGAATTGACTGCTGGAGCAGGGCTGGCACTTCACTGATTCAGGCTTCGCCGCATGTCCTTGGACAAATAGACCTCGGCTTTTCTCAGCTGCTCCTCGCATGGAAAGAATAACATGTAAGAGAAAATCTGTGAGTTTCCCCAACCCGTCCTCATCCTTTTCCAAGGCACCGTGGAGAATCTGAGCCTTGCGAGACGTTTCCAGCTGCTTCTCCTCGCGAGAATCTGGGAACAGGGGGCAATGCGCCTCGCACAATCCAGTAGTGGAGTGCTCCTGCAAGCTTCTATGCTCAGCATCCAATCTGTCCTCCTCAGCTTTCCACAAGCAATCGCGACCTCTGCCTTTGCCTACGCCTATCTTCTCTAAGTTGGGGAACTTCACTTATCACCCCAAGTCAAGTGCTGGCCTCAAAAACGCCCAATCAGTCCTACGATTTCCCCAACTGTGTAAGCAACCTTGCCCGGGGAGGTCACGTCAAAGGGTGTGCTGCACAAAACAAAAAAATAGCCCGGTGTTGCTCGGCGCCGGGAATCGATGGTTTGCAGCTCTTGTTGCCCCTGCGTGCGCACCTTGTCCACCTGCCCGGCAAGGGCGGGCCCCTGGAATGGCTTCTTGCCCAGGACACTCTCAGTATCAATGGCGAGACAGGTTTAATAGGGACGCACCTGAACACGCGCACCAGGTCTGTCCCAACATCTGTCCATGTTCGCCCTATCTTACAGTGGGCGGCAGATGTCAAATGACAGCGCGCAACAGTGGTGCCCCTCGAGCAGGCCCCGGTAGACAGCTACACTCCCTTGCTCACTGTGGCTGTTGTTCATCAAAGTCAGGCATGGCTTGAAGGAGCTGCTTCTTTGTCATGTTTGCAAGCACAAGCAACTTCACAAATCTCGCGCAAACGTCGCATGTACCAAAGCAGGGATGTGACTCCGAATCATCTCCAACTGGCCTTGTTTTAAGCAACCAAATTGATTGATTCCCACAACATCGTATGCCATGGAAAAGCACCATCCAGCAGCAATCAGCAGCATCCCAATGCTCCAATTTGGCCAGCCTTGTCCTTCCAAACGTTGATGGCCTCTTCATCTTTATCCTGCAAAATCCACAAAAGAAACAACTGGAAAGCCCGGCACTAGCACGTTTAAAAAACAAAACAAAAAAGCTGAGGCTCTGGGCACAAAGTTCCCTCGAGGCGTTCGAACCCCAAGTCTCCTTCATCTCCTTCAATCGCCGCGCCGCCTGCGCATCCTCCTTCGCTGCCTCCTTGGCAACTTCATCCAATCGCCTGGCAGCACCCTCCAAAGCTGAAAGTTTTCTCGTGCGGTAGGCCGAAAAAGCCGTCCATCTTGGCTCATGCCAGCTAAAAACAAGAAACGCCTCCTGGTCTCGGCCTTTTCTTCTGCCAAAGCTCGCTCTGCCTGCGAAATATGAGATCATGGTACCCACAAAAATCGCTGCAACGAGCGCGTAAAAAGCTCAGTCCTTCTCCAAACGATCCTTGGCTTTGGCCAGCTGCCCTTGCACTTCCTGCCTCAGCTTCCAACTATTCTTCTAGGGGTTGATTCCTTTTCCATTCTTTTCAAGCATCGTTCTGTTCAAACACCTGCTGTTTTTTTGGGGTTCTGATGGTTTTCTGGAAAGAAGGATCCCTGGAAAGAATTCAAATGGAAGTGTCCCCTAGAATTCTCAGTGCGCCAAAAACGGAGAGACTCAGCTCACCAAGGCGCAGGTGGCGCTGCTGCTCGGGCATCTCAGACTGCTCTCGTTTCAGCCTAGCAAGATGAAGCCAAAATACATGTGGCCATGGGTGAACATCGTGGTGCACCTACCCCAAAATGGGATCCCATTGATGTTGACCCACAGCAAGGTAACCAGCTCCGTTCAAATGATCCAAGTTTGGCTGAGCTTCTGCAGATCTGTCTTTTGCAGCTTCGCTTCAGTGTCGCGCTGAATCTTCAAATGCCTGGAGAGGCAGCAAATGCAAAAGGCTGCATGTGTGGCGTGAGCTGGGCAACAGCAAGGACATTCTGAGAGTTTTGGAGTTTAAGGGGGTAACCCGCCAAAATTGCAATGCCAAGTCACTTGTTCTGCATTCTCTGCACCTCGCAATGCTGCAAATGTGCGATTATTGTACAAATTCTAGCACGGCGGCCTGGTACTGATGCTCGGCCAATCGCTTCTTCTCGGCGTCAGTTTCATGCGCCAGCTCATCCTGCAGCTGCTTCAGCTCGGTCTGGGCATCCTGGCAGTTTGCGGAGTGCTTGGTGGAACCGGGGTGCGTCCTCAGGAAATTCGCAAAGCTTGACTCTGTCATGACAACCGAAGACAACGTTTGGCATCAAATCTTGCTAAATGATTACATGCCTCATTGATCCCTTTGACAAAGGCGCAAACACCCGAAACGCTCAGTTGGTGGGTATGGATTTGTTGGGAAAGGAAAACCGGAACGGGGACGGCAATTGCCGACCACCCAGTTCGCACTCTCTTGACCGTCCCGAGCGTCCCGACAACCATCTCAACCCGCCCCCAGACCAACCCCACCCGAATCCTAAACCAATCCTGAACCCGAGCATCAAAACCGTCTGCCGACTCCACCCGCCAGTCCCAACCGATCATCCAAACTGCGCCAACCAACCACCTTCACAATAATCCAGACCATGCCAACAGTGCTGAACGCTCTACCATCTCCATCCAAGGAATATGCACCGGTGACCATGCAACCGTTGACCACTCTGCCAACCATCCAGACCGTAAATTTGAAAACACCAACCGTCCCAACCACTCAGACCGACAGCACGATCTCTTCCTGCCACTGTGTCGCGAGATTCCTCTTTCTGCCCTCTGAAGTTCTCCTTTCTGTGAATTATAGTTGCTCTTTGCTCCAGTGATGCGTGCAATTGATAATTCCCATGGCAGCTCTAGCGGAACCAAAGATGCATGTTGCAGGTGATGTCAATCGCTGGATTCTTTCGCAAGACTCTAAAAATCACTTGAGTCATGACCAAAACCCAAAACCTGGTCCTAACGTTGTCTACCAGAACCATGTAAGCAATCAAATAGGCAGCGAAGGCCTTCACCTTCTACCCGAATCGGTTTTGAGCCAGTGGCTCAATTGTCGCAGTCTCAAGATGTTTCGCATGCTTGACTTGCCTATGAACCATGCTTTGGCTGTGGGTCAAAACCAATGGGATCCCATTTTCGGGTAGTAGTAGGTGAATTCACCACCCATGTTAGAACCTGTTTTAGGAAGTGGGGGATTGAATCGGATGCTCACTGGGGGGGAAGGAACTTGGATTTTGACCCATGGCCATTTAAACCCTAGCTTCGTTTGATGGCACTCTCTTTGGGTGTTCCTGTTTTTAATGCGGAGCGGGGGGGTCGCTGGTGAACTTCTCTATGAATCATGTTTTATGTTTCCCTGCCTGCGCCGGCGCCCGCGCGTCTTGTGGCTTCCGCCCTCGCGCCTCTTCGTCCTCCCGGATCTTCTTTCGGTGAGCCTTGGCCATGTCCTCCACGGCTCTGATCTCCTCGCACGGAAACACCAGGGTGTGTCCTTCTCTTCGGGGGTCTCCCTGTTTTGGTAGGTTTTGCTCGGAATCCATGAAAGCCAAACATTTGTGGAGTTTGCGTAAAAACAGACACACCCACAATGGCGCAAGATGCTCAGCTCTCCGACTGCGTTGTTTCGATCTGAGCGCGACTCTTGACATGATCCCGTCCTCGCGAAGGGGTTCCTCGGCGAAGCGATGGCAGCGCAGCACAACAAGTGCTCACGCAGCGCTTGCATCACCAGCGAGCCCCCCCCGCTCCACATTAAAAAAAGGAACACCCAAAGAGAGTGCCATCAAACGAAGCTAGGGTTTAAAGTTTAAATGGCCCAATCCCCACTAAAATAGGTTCTAAAAAGGGTGGTGCACCTACCCCAAATGGTACCGTTGGTGTTGACCCACGGCCACATGAAAAAAAGAACACCCAAAGAGAGTGCCATCCAATGAAGCTAGGGTTTACCTTGAGACAAGGACAAGGCTCCAAGGCATAGAAGGCCTTCTTCTTTTCCCTCTCCTCAGTAGCTGCTTCGTTTTCCTCGAACTGCTTCTGGAGCGCTGCCTGGTTGGACGCTTGGCTCAAGTCTGCGACCTCCTCAACTTGCTGATCAGCGTTGGAATGACCCCTATATGGCCAATAAAACATCCCCTATGGTTTCCTGTATTCAGGAATCCCCAAACGGCTCATTCCCAAAACCCAGAAATAGTCCCTACCTATCAGCAAGTCAAGCGAATTTATCGGGCGTGCGGAACAAAATCGCGCCTGCTCCGCCTTGAACTTTCGCTCCAGCGTAGCCTCCTGGCCCTGCCGGCTTGGCAGGAATGGGTGCGTCTGTTTTTCCTTTTATGGGGTACCCATTGTTTGGTGGTTTTAGAGGGAAACCAAAAGGAAACCCAGCAACAAAAAACATGGGGGGGGTCCCATAATTAAAAACACACACACACACACACGGGGCCAAATGGTTCACTTGGCAGTCCTTGAACTCCGCGTCCTCCTCCATTTTCGCCTGAATCGTCGCAGTGAGCTGCTTGGATACTGTCAAAGGCTGATCTTGCACGGATCCGGACCATGGGGAGTGAACAACAAACTCTGCAAAGCAGCTTCTGCATCAACCGCCTCCGTTGATCAACCCCACCGAGTCAGACTCCATGCGCCTCTGCGAGCTCCTCTTCAGCCTCGCTGGCCTCAGCCTGACCATGCGAATTCTTGGGTCTGTCTCTAAGGGCTGAGGGGGTGGGGGGAGGCGGGGGGGGAGGGGGGGAGGGGGGGAGGGACCTCCCAAGACTGGTTGGTTTGCTTGTGGTTTCCTTAAAAGCCACCATCCAGGGGCCCCCTATTTTGAGACAGACCCATTTCTACAAGGATGGTTTGCAGTGACCGCTGAAAGTGAACGTGGCCGCAGCAACTCATGGGCACTCGCCACTCTGTGAGTCACGGAAAGCTGCAAACGAACCTGCAGCTTTGCAGCTGGTGAGCCGTCTGCAAAAATACCCGACTGTCAGAATGCCTCCGCCCGCTGTTGTTCTTCCTCCAATTGCTGCCGGGAACGCTCAGCCAGTTCTTGTGTCCGCTGCCTTGGGCTGAAGCGGTTTTCGGGTTTCAGGAGCAAGCCAAATGCTTGCATCCGGAGAAAGTGACACGCGACACTCTTCAGACGTGTTTCTGCTCCTCCATGAGCTGTTTCTGAACCGTCTGGAGTGTCACGTTCTCCTCACCACGGATCAAGAGCTGGCTGAGCCCAAAGCAACAATGATGGCTCTTGTTGCGCGACATGGCGCTGGCATTATCGCGCAAGCTATGATTCGGTGTTAAAAGCCCAGGTGGCAAGTGGCTAGGCTACCAACAACCACTGACACAGTCCTGCACAGCCTGCACCTCCAGATCCTCATACTCTTTGTCCATCCTTTTCACCTCCTTGGTTGTGATCTCATGCCAAACAAGCTCAGCCTGCCTGGCGCCTCTCAAAATGACTGCCACAACCAAGAGCCCGCGCGCCAACACCATCCTACATTAACCTCAAGATGGGACCATGTCAGGACCGTCGCCTGCAGGGTTCTCTTCTCATCTTCCAGTTCTTTTCGACGCTCCTCCATCTTTTGCTCCTGGCTGTGAGGCCGCAACTTAAGTTTTCAGGCTAACAAAAAGCGCTCCTCTTTGCCCAGGACTTCCACCTTCGCATCCGCCTCCGCGACTTGCGATTCCAGCTGCTGCGTGCGCTCTTGCTCCTTAGCCAAGAAGCCCAGGAAGCGACGCGACGCTGCGTCTGGGTCGATCCGCGCCTTCTTCAGGGCAGCACGCTTCTGCTCGAGGTGCTCCTTGGCCTTGTCAATCTCTTGGTGCGCGCTTTCCAGTTCCTTCTCTTTCTCTTTCAGCGTCGCCTCACCGGAAAAGAAAAACAACAGTTTGAAGAAAACGGCTGCAACATGCTGCAAAACGGATACATCATACATCGGAAATCCTGTAAGGGGAGCAGAGTCTGCTCCGAAACCTCCGATGGCTCAGGCAAACACGTGTTAACCTCCGAAACTTGCGAAAATCCCTTGCAAAGCCCCCCCCCCGGAACCCCCCACATGGCCATGGTTTCAAACCAATGGTACCATTTTGGGGTTTCCGGTGAATTCACCACCCATTTTAGGCTTCCTATTTGAGTGGTTGAATCGGATGTTCACTGGGGCCTAGCCGATGGCCCATCTCCCGCGTCGCGCCTGCGCCTCCTGCAGTCGCTTCAGGGCCGCGAAGGTGGCGTCGCTGTGCCGCAGCTCCTTGGAGCGCCGCAGCGAGTCTTCCAGACGCTGCCTGGAAGGCGCAGCAAACCGGCCATTTTGTTGCTGCGTGATTGTTTTTGCATTATGCACCTGAACATTGCCTTGTAAATGGTGGTGTCCCTTTATTTTGGATGCTTCAAATGGGCAAATGTATCTTTTGAGGAGCCCTGTTTGAGGATACCCTTTTGGATGGTTGTTCAAAGGGAACCGAAACGAAAACCAATTGTGAGGGGGTCCCATGCAAAAGACACACCCATTTGGACTTTTCGGAGGCTGGCATTTCAACACGAGGAGTTTCGAAAGGGAGAAGGCATTGCAGATGTCGAGAATGTTTTCTTTGAACATTGTTTCGTCCTCTCACTTGCCATGCAGTGCGGGGAAGAAACTTAGAAGGGCTTGGGTCGTGGAACTCCTTGCCTTTCTTTTTGGAGCTTCTCGAACTCCTTCTGGGACTCAGCTGCTTTTGCCTTCATCTCCTTCAGCTTGTCACCTGGCTTCGTGGATCGATGCATCGATCGAGCCAAGTCCTTCCATTCCGAGCGCGCGCGCCTTGCTCCGCCACCAGAGCCGAGAGCTGCTCGGTCTGGGCCCGCGCCAACTTCGCGTTTTCCAAGGCTCGGCCCAGGGCCACGTGCTTCTCGCGATCCTAAGCGTGTACCACCCACTCCCACGTACTCGGGGAGGCTCCGTACGAAATGGGTGGCCACTGTGCAATCACCCCATTCTCGGAACAGTGGATATATATATATATATATATTTATATTATATCCTGATATCCCAAAAGATCAACTTAGCTGCTTACGAGTTTTTCATGTGGATTGTCCCAAATTGCTGCATGTACAGTCAGTCAGTTAAGTGACAAATGCAGCATACAGGGGTAATATGAGTGCATGTCGTTGGTACCGCCGCCTACAGAAGCCCCTACATGTTTGGCAATTTCCCTTGTACGTCAGTACAACAAAAAAACATCATAGCGCAAATACCAACATGTGCTGTGCATGCCTGCCTGTCACAGAGAGACTCATGGACAACGTAGGCTCTTGGGGGGGGAGGGGGGCGCCTGTTGCACAGCAAGCTTTGCAAGTTGCGTATTTGTGCTGCTTGTAAGTTCTATGTTGCAGTTGGGCACAGCAAGCTGCAGCTTTGTACCTTGCAACTTTAAGCATGGACGACACCTAGCAAGTTCTTCCAATTTTGGGCACAGCGAGCCGCAGCTGTGCACCTGGACACTTTGTGTACGGAAGCCGGACAAAAGCTGATGCAAATAGGTGCAAATGGCTCAGGGTATCTTGTTTGTTCACAACTACTATGGGTTTGTGCATGGTATTTTGCAACAGCTCTTCCCGGGTGTCTCTTGCGGATGTGCCAATACGCAGGGACTTCTATGTGGGTACCATGCTCCATGCTCTTCTTGCACCATGCAGCCTGAACTGTGAACTCCGGTACAGGCTTTTACGAGCTCAGTATTGACATAGTAGCAACTTAGGGCTACTTGAGTAATAGTATTCATCAAGTACAGCATGTGAGTTTATACTGTATAGTTTGATTCTGGCTGCTTCCAGTGTGGAATGAGTTTGCAATTGCATTTGTGTGTTCCCAGTATAGTCACAATTGAGAAGTAGGAGTTCTTAGTATATAGCACATTTGGTTCAGTCTAGTCGTAGCATCTGTTGAATATGAGTTTGGTGGTGGTTTGGCTTTGCTGGTTTTCATGTGGAACTGCTTTGTCAAACCTAGGTTTCCGTGAAAAGCATCAAAACCCGCAAAGTAAGGACAGCCACAAAAAAACAAGCTACAGTTTAAGCACAGACAGCGCCTCAATGATTTCAGCAGCATTACTACATTTAGACACCGACTGCGTGCTAAGAATCCAGCAGCATCATGGTGTGTTTGACAGCATCACAATCACGAACCACTATGCGCTACACATAAACGCGGAAAGTGTCCTATACCGTAATTCAGTAGCATCATGATGGTTTTGACAGCATTGTGATGATATCACAGCAAAGAACCATTATGCGCTATTTACAAGTACAAACAGCGCCCTATCAAAGTCAGCATCATGACGATATTGCTAGCATCACGATGATACCACAACCACGAAGTAGCACGCGCTACATATACGCGCCGACAGCCTCTCATTGGAATCATCCTGATGGTAGCGCAGGCACGGATAAATTGCGCGCTAGACATAAGCACTGAGTTCAATGGCATTAAGTTCATTTTGATGCAGCATCATTCGGATGACACCGCATACACGAACCATTCAGCACCAAGACCAGCACCCCCGGGGTCACGTCGCTGATTGACGGGCTCAAGGTGCTGATCAGGGTGGGTTCTGATCAAGGTGCTTTTGGTGCGCTCAAGGTGCAAAGTTGCTTGTCTCGCGTTCGGAGCACACCAAACAGCACCCTGACCAGCACCCGCAACGGCGACGTCACCCTGAACCTACTTTAACACAGCATCCTGACCAGCACCTTGATCAGCACCTTGACCAGCACCAAAAACAACACCCAGCACCCTGAAAAGCACGCTGGCACCGCCGGTACCCACCACAACAGCCTCAAGTGCAAAACAGCACGCTGACCAGCAGCGCCCAACAAGCATCGCCAGTCACCCCCATTGCCCATAGCCGAAGCTATCTGGGAGAAAAACCAGTTTACTTGCCAAAGTAACATAGCTTTAAATAAATGCGCTTTTTGCGGCTGTGCGTTTTACGTTTCACGCGTCCCAACTGTTTACCTTTCCTCGCTCCCTTTTTGGTTATCAGGGAAAGCAAACCAGTAAAACTGCTAAAAGTCAGAAACGTTTTGCGTTTTGACGGTTTTTAGCCTCTTCGGACTTTACTGGCTCTACCAGGAGCAAACCTAGATTTTTGTTGGGGCCAGCAACTGACAGCTACAAATCACAAGAGATGAAGACTCTGGTTCGTTGCGTGGCTTTGTCTCTTGCTGCAGCTGTTGGATCCGGATAAGTTCAAACCCTTCTGCCGGAATGTCACGAAACAAAGTCAATCTGCGGGTCCAGCTGTGTCAGAGTTCCAAAGACGCCAAGGCGCCTGAGTCGACTGCTCCTGGCTCGGTGCTGGCTCCCGAGCAGGGCTAGCTGCCGCGTAGCTGTTGTCCTGGGCAGAGCCGCGTCCGCAAGCTTTGGCAAAAAAGAAGAGCGCTTCACGTCCGGTCGGCGAAGTCAAAATGGACATGGGTCAAAAGCCAAATCGCACCCCCAGTGAACATCCGATTCAATTCCCCACTAAAATAGGTTCTGAAATGGGTGGTGCACCTACCCCAAAATGGGATCCCATTATGGTTTTGACAACCACAGCCAAATCTGCTCAGCTGAGATTCAAAGATCGGGGTGTCCAACAGCCGGTGTGTGGCCACCAGCACACGCTGACGCTCTTTGGCGGTGGCCTCCATCCTCTTCTGAAGGTTTTGCCTCAAACAGTCAGCTTCGTCTCACAGCTCTTTCAACTCGTTTTCTGTCGCATCTTCTTGCTCAAGCGCCATTTGGCTGTGGTTATGAAAACCGTTTTGGTACCATTTTGGTTGGTAGGTGCACCACCCATGTTCACTGAGGGTACGATTTGGGTATTGACCGTGGCCACTTGCTGTCATGCCGAGTAGCAGCAGCTCCAGCTTGTTCTTCTCCGAAGCCACGCGCCGCTTCTGATCCAGCAGCAGCAAGCGTGTCACCTCTGCGCGGTCCTCCTCTTTGGAGAGCTTCTCCTGGCGCCGTGAAGCGAAGGGTGGAGAGAGACAGGGAGCGAAGACCGCGCAGAGGAGAAAGAATCGTCCAGAAAAGAGCGGAGCGAAGACAGAGGAGCCAAGAGGTGCGGGGCCAATGTGCACAGCTGATGCGGGGGGCGGGGGAATTCAAGAGAGACTCCGGCTCGCGTTGAAAACGTTGTGCTTAGCAGGGCCTGGGTCTCGCGCAACTCCGACTCGGAGTCCGTCTTTGAGTCTGAGGCCAACTGCAGGAAGGACAGCGACGGCTCCTTGCCTCAAGTGCACACCCCATGTGTATGTTGCGAGTAAAACTCTGCAAAACCCCAAAATTAGAGACCAGGATTTCAGCCGCATCCGCAGTGTCACAAACTTGCCAGTGCTCAGTGGGGAATGAGGGTGTTGGGAATGAACGACATCTGAGTCACAATCAAAACCCGGTATTAAAATGGTCTACCCAGAACCATGCAAAGAATTAAGAAGGCGGCAGATACTTATGCTTGGGATTGTCCCTTACTAACCTTCATCTACCCAGGTTTTGAGCACGTGGCTCATTTGAATTTGAGCAGCTTCAAGAAATGCTGCGGATTGCGAAATCCCTTAACGGATTGCTTTTTTGGGGGTTAATTTTTAATTTTTGGCTGAGAATTAGCAAATCCGCCAGCCACTCTGTGCCAAGCTTCGCAAGTCCCGAAGCTTCCGCCGCAGGGCTGCCACGCGCTCCTCTGAGGCTGCGAGCCTCCTTCGTTGCGCGGAAAACTGCGGCGTGATATGGATGTCTCTTTTTTGAGGCTACCCCTTTGGTTGGTATAAAGGGAAACCAAGAGGAAAACCACCAGTGTGGAGGTCCCCTAAAAAAAGTATTATCCCGGCAAGAGACCCCAAATAGTATTGCGTCCAACTTGACGACAGGTGGCCCAGAAGCATAGAAAAACGTTACGTAAACACTGACGCCTCTCCCACCTGATGAGATCGTAAACACGTCGGTGTCCCTGCTCAAGCGTAGATTCTGATGAGCAAGCTTAGCATCATGCTTCACAATCTCTCCTGTCAACTTCTCGCGCGCGTGATGCTGTGGCTTGATGTTGCGCGCGAAGCTGTGCGTGATGTTGCGCGTGATGTTGCGCGCAATGTCGCATGACGCTGCGCGCGATGCAGCGCATCATGCTGCGCATGATGTTCTGCAACCTCTCTTGCCAAATCTTTCATGTCCTCTGTTGAAAAACTCTCTTGTCCATATCTGTGAGCAGCTTGGCTGCGCAAGAAGGCTGGCAATTTTAGCTGCGGAAGTGTACTTCGCATACTACCTGGAGCTGCGCGAGCGCGCTTCGCGCGCACGTTGCCATTTACGATTTTGCAGCCGGAGCTGCGGGAATGCACCTTATGTACAACTTTGGACTTAAGAGTTGCGAGCCTCGTGCCATGGGAACGCACTTCGTACACTCATACAAAGTTGCAACTTTGCAGCTGGAGCTCCGGGCGCACTTCGCGTAGGACTTTTGCACCAAAAAACCCGCCAATTTCGAGCTGGAGCTGCGGGAGCGCACTTCGTGCACCACTTTTGCGCTGAAAAGTTGCGGCTCTCAGATTTCAAGCTGGAGCGGCGGGAGTGCACTTCCAGTATTACTCTTGTACTTAAAAACTGCGATTTTGCAAGCCAGCTCTGGGGCGCTCTTCGCGCACTACTTTTGTATTTAATACTTGCGAGCTTTCAGCCGGTGTTGAGGGAATATCCTCCGCAAACTACTTTTGTACCTAGAAGTTGCGAATTTCGAGCCGGAGCTGCGGGAGTGCGCTTCGCGTACTACTTTTGAACTCAAAAATTGCGATTTTGCAGCCGGAGCTACGGAGTGCTCTTCACGTACTACTTTTGTACTTGAAAAGCGCGATTTTGCAGCCGGAGCTGCGGGAACGCTCTTCCCGTACTACTTTTTGCACCTAGAAGTTGCGAATTTCGAGCCGCAGATGCGGGGCTTTGCACGCCAGCTTTGTACGTAAAGGTTGCCTGCGCAGCCGGAGATGCGGGAGGGCACGTCGCACCTCGCACGGTGCCACAGCGAGAGCGCTTCGACACGCACGATCTCCGCAGACGGTTTGCCGAGCTCAAGACACATTCGCACGGCGCCACAGCGAGAGCGCTTCGACACGCACGATCTCCGCAGAGGGTTCGCCGAGCTCAAGACACATTCGCACGGCACCACAGCGAGAGCGCTTCGACAAGCACGATCTCCGCAGAGGGTTCGCCGAGCTCAAGCCAAATTCGCATGGCGCCACAGCGAGAGTGCTTCTCCGCAGAGGCTTCGCCGAGCTCAAGACACATTCGCACCGCGCCACAGCGAGAGTCGCCGCGCTCAAGAGACATTTGCACGGCGCCACAGCGAGAGCGCTTCGACACGCACAATCTCCGCAGAGGGTTCGCCGAGCTCAAGACAAGTTCGCACGGCGCCACAGCGAGAGCGCTTCGTCACGCACGATCTCCGCAAAGGGTTCACTTTCGTCTTGCAACGCTTTTAAATGAGCGAAACGCTGCGCCTGCCACGAAATTCACAGACCCTGTTTCCGAAAATGCTGCGCCTGCCACGCATCATTTGCATCAGCGCAAAACATGCTGCGCCCACCACTAAAAATGCACGGCAGTCTCACAGAATGCTGCGCTGGCCGTGGAATTCTGCGGCAACACACAAATCCGAAGATCGGCGCGGCGCCACAGCGAGAGCACAGTTTTGAAGAAAGGTCCGTTTCGTGCGAAGCTGTCGTACGCGAGACAACTTTTTGCGACAACTGCCATGGCTTTAGAGCTCCGATTGTCCAAGCGTGGTAGCCTGACCCGACAAGAAGATATCACCGCGTGGCGGCCCTGCCATCAAAAAACGCACTTTGGTCTCAAAAAAACGTGTTTGGCACGAGGCTTCCTCAAAAAACGCACTCCGCGTCGCAGCGCGAGCCTCCGTGTGACACGCCCCTGCCAGCAAAAAATGCATTTTGCTTCAAAAAACGCGTTTGGCACGAGGCTTCTAGCGCGAACCTCCGAACTGTTGCCCCTGCCAGCAAAAGCTGAAAAGTGCGAACGGCACCACAGCGAGACGCACGCACCGGCGCGAACCTCCATTTCGTGCGAGACTGTCGCACCGAAGACAACTTTTTACGTACAGGGCCAGCAATTTGAGCCGACACCTCGATCTACACCAGGCCTTAACTCTTACCGTAAGAACCCCTTAGTGTAAACACTATTTGGGGAATAAACCCATGTTGCACGCCATAGGAATGCGGCATGCGCACAATGCCTGAAAGTGTCTCTGGCCAAGACACAACGAACTCCGCCAGCAAAATGCATCCAAGCTTCTCTTGCACGTCAGCCTCTTGCTCTTCAGCAATGGCTACTTGCCTTAGCTTGGCCACCATCTACCACTGCCAAACCAACAATCCACATCCGACATACTGGTTGTCCGAGGCAGTTGTCCTTTTTGGGTCTGCAGGTGTGACCCGAGGCCCAGTGCCAAGGCAGCCAAAGGTTTGCATTTCCGGGCAGGTGGCTCACGTAGTCTGACCAGCTCTGCCTTCGCCTGCACTTGGGCGAGGTGCCTGAGATTGTCACAATGCTCAAATACACATCCTCTCTGCCAGCTCAGCTCAGGCAAACAGGACGTGGCAAGCACCTGTGAATGGGCCTAAGACTATGAGGCAAAGTGGCCATGGGTCAAAAGCCAAATCGTACTCCCCGCGAACATCCCAATCCCCACTAAAATAGGTTCTAAAATGGGTGGTGCACCGAAATCCCCCAAAATGGGATCCCCTTCGTTTTGACAACCACAGCCAAGTAATCTTGCACGTCTGGCCGCTCTGGTGAGCGAGCATCTTCATTGAATTTGACGGCCAGGCCTTCGCAAAGGCAGAAGCGTCACAGTGCTCGAGATGCGTGTGTCTTTACCCCTTTTTGGTTGGTTGAAACCCACTTGCTTTTTCCCTTTTGTTTGTGTGCGTTTTTCTTTTCTTTTTTTTTTGGGGGGGGGGGGGAAGGTGACCCTCAAAAACCCACGCACAAATGCCCTTGGCAACATCCCATGAGTCGCACTGCACCCCGCGGCCAGTGCTTCGCCTGCTCGAAGGCCCCGCCGCCCCGCCTGCTGCCACGAGGCACCACAGCACCCGCATGGCGCACGGCATTGGGCCACATGCTGCAACATGGCCAGCGTCAATTGGATTCCCCTAACTCGAGAACGCCCCGCGGGAAAAAAACCATGGTACAAACATGGTACAAAAATGGTACGAACGGTCAACACCTGGAACAAAAATGGTGAACTAAAGACCCATGCAGAGAGCTACTAAGGCGGAACTCCGCAGCCATTTGTGGTTGCGAGTCGGGGTTTGATGGTGGCTCACCTGGCCAGGGCCGCTTTTTTCATGGCTTGCACCTCTTTGGGCGAAGGGGAAGCCTTACCCTTGCATTAGCGAAGGTGAGATCTCTACGCGTCAGCGACCCACAGTCCACAGCAGCGAGCCGGCAGATCCAGGCCCCTCCGGCAATCCGTTGCTGGCGCCTGTGTACAGCAGGATGCAATCGCCCACATCCACATCCACAGCTTCCTTCGAGTGTCACAAGTTGACAAGAGTCACAAAAAAAACGTACCCCCAGTGAACACCCCAGTCCCCACTAAAATGGGTTCGAAAATGGGTGGCACACCCAAAATGGTACCAAAACGGTTTTAACAACCACAGCCACTTGTCCCATGGAGTCCCATCAAGTCCCAAGCCCCACGTCTCCGATGTCTCCGATGTCTCCGATGTCTCCCATGCCGCATGTCTCCGATCTGCGTCCTCTTTGGACAGCTGCTGCAGTTGCCCGGCCCGCTGCAGCCAGATGGGATTCCTTGGCTTCAGCGAGAATTGAACCCTTCACACGTGTGCTCACTGTGCCAAGGCAAGGCCATTTCCCGCGTTAGGACAAAATCGAACAGCCCCAACTAGGCCAGCTATGACCTGCATTTGCGGCAAAACCGATGGGTGGGTGGCCAAACAGCGGCCAAAAGCCCTGCGATTGCCTCTCCTATTCTGCTGTCCCAAAAATGGGTTTCTTTTTAAAAGGACCCAGGCTTTCCGTTTGGTTTCCCTTGAAACCAACCCAAAAAAATCTGGAACCCTCAAAAAAGGCACGCTTCCAAACGAGTAAAGCGCTGCCTGGCCACGCGCTGAGGGCAGTTAGCCGCAGCAGCGGCTTCTGGGGAAACACCGCGTTCACCGCCTGCCGCTGCTCCTCGCGACGCACATGAACGGAAGCGAGTGGAATCCCAACGTTAAAACAGCAACACATGTGAAATTTGGGTGTGGTTGTTTTGAAAAAAATGAGTACCCAACATGGGTTGCTCTGGTGCATAGAAACCCGGACTAGGTCAAAAACAGTTGGTATCCCAAATTTGGTTGCCCTGGTAAATGAAAACCAGAACTATAACCTGCGGTCCCCTGGTGGTTTCATTTTGACGCATACCCAAAGCGACTACCATACCCTTGAAGAACCCCGATCGGTAGCTCCGAAAGGCAGTCTCTTGAGTGGCAAATTTGGATACCCCCAGCTCCTTAGGTCCTTGGCTCTTCCACCAGCTAGGCGAGTTGAATCCAGCATATCCAACTTTAACCGAGTAACTCACGTCATGTGAAAATATGCTGGAAGGAAAGAACACGGCCATGGTGCAACACAGTGACCCGCACAACTCTCTGGCCTCAACACGGAAGTGTTCTCGGCTAACAAAGGTCTGGACCTCTTCGCGAAGAGCCTGAAGACACCGCCAAGCGCTTGCAAAAAAAGAAGCAATTCTGAGACTCTGCCGTCTGAATTCCAGGCCCTCCACTTGCCTTCTTGTGCAACTCATATTGCCAGGCCCTGCCAATCACAATCTTCCCATCTGGACCAGCATGCACCTTCCTGGCAGGCGCTGGCGGGTGCTCACTTGGATCTTCAACGTCAGGCAAGCAGGTTCTGACCACGGTTTCAAGGGGCGGATCACCCCGGTCTACCCAAGTTATGACCATGGTTCTAGTCTACTTGCCTACGTCCAAGTACTGTGGAATACTGTGGATGAACGACATCCTGCAGCACCTAAGAGAGCCTGGAATGATGATTCCCATGTAAATTTTCACAAACCATGGTTTCAACCATGGCTTCCAAGTGGTGCAAGATTTCGATCCATCCATAGTAGGTACCTGTCGTGACACATCCATTCGCCTCGCAGAGGTTTGGAGCACTGCGCTGCCAGACACCTCCAGCCAGAAGCCAGGCGCCCGTGCCGGCGGCGCCTGCGGTGTGCTCGTGTCCTCCGACACCTGCGCGCTAGCACCAGCTAGCGCCAGCCCAACTCCACCAGATCCACCCAACTGCTCCACCCCGTCCAACCAAGCCCAGACTCACTTCTCTGGCCTCTGCACACCCAACTCACCCAATCAAACCCCCTCAAAAAAATAAAAACGAAGGGGTCTCATCTCATGATCTGCGTTGGGTTTGGCATGCTCGTCACCTCTCACGCATGTCAAGACACCAGCTCCAGTCGCAGGAAGCATTGCGGGACTGCAGAGGCGGCAGCTCCTGGCGGCACCGCCAGGAAGTCAATGCTGTTGTTCACCTCGCGTGAGTCTCACCACAGCAAAGCCCAAGTGGTGACTCCATATTTGGCGGTGGTTCAAAAAAATACCCAAAATGCCCCTAGGTAAATGGAAACAAAGACCAAAACCTGCGTAACGTTGTCCCCGGGTGAAATGTGGGGAATCATCACTTTGGGGGGGGGGGAACACCCCATATCAAACTGTGGTTGATTCATAGGGGGTCAACATTATCAGAATGGTTCACCGATCAGGGTCAGTTGAAGTTCCCGGTGCTTTCATTGGCAGTCACAGCCTTGCAGGATCACCGGGGTAGAATGTGCAACATTGACTACAGCTGAATCCACTTTGGCTCGCAAGGAGCGCTGCCGAGCCTGCACCGATCCCTGCTCCCCTCGCTGCAGCTGCCGACCGGCCACCATGATATGGTTCACACTCAGATTCCTCGCCCGACGTTCGCCAAGCGGCAAGCGGCTGCTTTACAGAAACCACCGAACAAAAAGCAAAACAACCATACCAATGCAAAAGACGCAGCAAAGGCGCCGGATCGAAAAGCTGCCCTGGGCAACCTCCGCCAGCTCCAAGTGAGTTCGAGATATGGCTGTCCAGTATGGGCTCTCCTGACCCAGCACGGCCTCGAAAAAGGCCTTCGATGGGAAAGGCGAGACACACACACACACACACACACGTGCAGCGCAGCGCAGCAAACTGAGATGCACGGATTTGGGGCCAAGGTGTGAGGCAGCGGCCTCAGCAGTCACCTCTCAAAGCGTCAAATCAGCAGGACTCCGGCGAGCGAAGCGTGCATCCACCAGTAGGGAGACAATGTCTGCATTCTAAGCTTTGCGTCAAGTCCGACAAGGTGGTGTCTGGAAAAAGTTGCAAGCCATTGTCTTCCAGAGGTGTTGCTGAGCAGGCACGTGCTCTTCACCCAAGCGGGATGCGCTGACGCCCTGTTTTGGACCATTTAGTAGTTGCGAGAAGATCGAGCACGATGGCATGTTCTTACCCTTTCTAAATTTGATGCTGCTGTGGATGCTTGCGAAATCCATTTGGCACCACTGTTCACAAACCCTGGAATGATTCGATTACCCTGTGAATACCAACAAACAATGGTTTCAACCATGGTTGCAAAGTGGTGCAGGACTTCGTCCATCCACAGTATGCATGGACCAAAACCTGCGGTCCCCTGGTGGTTTAATTTTGAGCCACACCCCATTGGCACAAGCTTGAGCCCTGCCTGTTGGTGCTCGCGTCCGACCCGGGTGTGCGGCTGCAGCGGGATGGAGCGCCGTCCCAAGGGGAGCGCGTCCACCTTCACCGTGTGCGAAGACGTACAAACCAGGCAAGCCCTGCACAGATTCGCGCACTTCGTGAGGAATACATGGCTGTGCGTCAAAACCCTGTGCCCCTGGTGAACATCAAAATAGGTGGCAAATGGTCCACCCCAAAATGGAGCCATAGGTTATGCCCCATGGCCACATAAGAAAAACACCATGGAAGAGTCGGGCGCTCAAGATGAAGCATATTGGACCACAAGCCACTTCGCGAACCATGCTTGCCACAATTTGCCACCTACCTGTTGTTTTTGTTTGACCCGAAAAGAAACGGGCTACGCCTGGCGGGCTCTGCTGGTGCTGCCGGTGCGGCCGGGGCTGGCAACCGCTCCACCTCTTTGCCGCCAACCTTTCGCACCGCAACGCGAAAGACCTGGCAAAGCGGGACAAGGGGGAAGGGGGGCGGGTGGGCAAGGGGGGTGGGGGGGGTGGGCAAGGGGGGTGGGGGGGGTGGGCAAGGGGGGGGTGGGCAAGGGGAAGGGGGGTGGGCAAGGGGAAGGGGGGTGGGCAAGGGGAAGGGGGGGGTGGGCAAGGGGAAGGGGGGGGTGGGCAAGGGGAAGGGGGGGGTGGGCAAGGGGAAGGGGGGGTGGGCAAGGGGGATGGCTCAAACATGAAGAGCAGGTTGTCTGTATATCCATGTACCAAGGTGCCATTTTGGTACATGCTTTCGAGGCACCGCCGTATCAGTACACATTTGCTTGCAGGACTCAATCAAATTCTGAACCCCCCCAAAAGGACCTTGGCCTGCAAAAGGTCATGCTTTTCCCAGCGGGTATTCTAAGAGAGCGACTGCGACAGGGACTTGCTCGTCGATCTCCTCCTGCATGAAGGACATCAGCTCAAGTGGATTCACGCCTCAGGTGCAAGCACGGTTGCAAGCTATGATATCATCTGAATTCTCAGGAACTTATGGTTTGCCACATACCACACACACACAAACAAACAAATAAACAAGTAAACAAACAAACAAACAAACAAACAAACAAACAAACAAACAAACAAACAAACAAACAAACCAACAAACCAACAAACCAACAAACCAACAAACCAACAAACAAACAAACAAACAAACAAACAAACAAACAAACAAACAAACAAACAAACAAACAAACAAACAAACACACAAACAAACAAGCAAGCAAGCACGCACGCACGCACGCACATGCACATGCACATGCACATGCACATGTACATGCACATGCACATGCACATGCACATGCAGCAGGCACGCACTGAAGCACGCACTCACGCACGCACGCCTGCATCATTCATCATGTACATGTCATGTATACACACCAACCCGTTCTTGCCAGGATTCATGACGCATTCTTCTTTCGCCCCTTCGGCACAATAGCATCATCGCCGCTGCTGCAAAGGTAGAGAACAGCACCATCGGGCAGGAACCTTGCTGAAAGTGAAAGACCCGTCTGAAAAAGTTGTGGGCTTAGTGGACAAGCGTTCAGGTCTCCAAATGAACCACTGCAAGTGACTAAGCGACCAATTTCTGCACAAACTCTGAACATGTAGCTTCAACGTGGCAAGCGCTGGCAACCACGAGGCATTGTTCCATTCAATGGCGCAAAAACCTCAGGGCTGGTTGCATTCACTGCTTTGGACACTGGTGCTTTTGTGCTTCTCAACGGCTGCTGCAGGCCTGGTTCACAAAGATGCTATTCACAGAAAGCCGCGTGAATTGTAGCGCCCCAGCCCAGGATAAGCTGAAGTGCTTGCGCGAGATACAGTTCCGTAGCTCCTGCAGCTTGACAAGCCAAGCGAATCACAACTTGTGAAGTCGCCATCACTTCCTACCCTTCACTAGATCTTGCAAGCACGCAAAAAGAGAAGCTGGTCCTCATCCGGCAGCAACTTTTGAAAGAAATCTGCCTGGGATTCGCTGCAAGACAGAGGTCTACGTGTCTGAACTTAATGCTCCCCTCCCCCTGCCCCATCTCGCATCAACCCACCACAGAAACTCAAACTCCCAAAAAGTGGAGGCTTCGTTCTTGGAAATATTTGTTTCATGCCCCGTTTCTCGGACCTTGGCTGTCCTCAGATCCCCAAAAGTCGAAAACTTGTAGCGGGTTCCATTTGGAAACCCCACCACCAAACCAACTGAAAACCACCAAAGCCTAAGTTGACCCGGATGGCTGAAAACCGGTGTGCCTTCATTTTTCGATACACCAGTATCTCCGAGAAAAAGAAAAAGAAAAAAGACAAAAAAGCAGGCTCTTATGGTCATAACACTCATGTTGTTCCACGTTGTCTTCCGTGTTCCCCGTTCTTTCTCCCCCGTTTCTCCCCCGTTTCTCCCCGTTTCATTCCGCCTGCTCGGCGCGTCCCACGAAGGTGGGCTCTGAGTGCACCTCCAGCTCCCGGACCCGCAGCTCCGCGGGAAGCGAGGCAGCGTCCTGGCCCACCACCTGCGACGACCCGAAGAAAGGGGCGGAAACACCACGGGAACCGGGTGGAAAGAGGAAAAAGCGGAGGAAAAAAACAAAAAAATGAGGGAGGGGAGGGGAGGGGAGGGGGGGGAGGGGAGGGGAACAACTTGCTGCCTTGCCTTGATACACTCCAGGACGACTTCAGCATCAGGTGGAGGGACCATTTTGACAGCTACCTCGAATGTAGCTTCACTTCGCTTCTCACTGCGCATCAATCATTGGGCGTCCGGCGCTGTAGGGCACATTGCCATTCTTCTTCTGCTCAAGCAGGCCCTCACCTGACATTCGGATCTGCGATGTCCAGAAATGATAACAGAAATGGTTCTCACTTGGACGCAAAATACAAACGCCTGGCTCACATTGGAACCAAGCAGCTGTATGGCTGTCCATCAATGGCTACCATAACGAAGTACCTTCATGTCAATGGCACAAAAGATGGTCTTGCCAGCTGAAGTCTGCTGCCCAGCAGCACGGAACAGCTGGCTCAAATTGTACATTGCGATTCAAAGCTGCCAGCATCTCATGAGCATGTGACATGCAAAAGATCCTCCATAGCAAGAGCACTGAGCTTTTAACCATGTCACCAAGCATGGGTGTGTCTTTTCTTACGACCCCCCCCCCCAAGCACAAAAAAAAAGTTCCTTTCAAAACCACAAACAAGGGGTAGCCTCAAACAAAAAGACACCCCCTCTGTGTATAAGTTTTCATTAAGGACCCGAACTGGTGGGCAGCATTTCGGGGATTTGTGTCCACCGGTCCCCCTTGAAGTTCCTCGATCTCCGCGCCCCAAAGGTCAGCGCATCAAGCGCACGCGGGGCCCCGCCGACCGGCCGACCGGCCCGGGGGCACGGCTCCAGCCCCTGCTCCATGGCCTGGCCCTCCAGCACGTGGCTGACGTGGCCGTTCTTCAGGTCGGAGACGAAGATGCCCAGCGGCTGCCGAGGCTTGAAGACCACCTGCGAGAGCCGCGAGTCGTTTCTCGGTTGCGAAATCTGCTCCCCTGCTAAAAGTTTAACTTTTAGTGGTTCAATGAAAAACCCATTGGTTGGCAAAAAGTTAAAGTCCTAACATCCAAGCAAAACGCACTAAAGGTTTAGTCTTTTCCAAGAACGTGGAAACCTGGAGAACCATGACATACTGTGGAAAGAGTTGCGAAATGCCTTTTCCAACCTGGAACATTCAGAGCCAACACTCAACGGGATCAACTTGCAAACCAAACAGGACTTGTTTCCATTTACCAGGCCAGCCCATTTTGGGAACCTATTTTTGACAACCACCGCCACTTGTCCCGTAAAGACATATCTTCACGTGCGCCTCGCGGGTGCCCGTGGAGTATGCTGTCTGAGGCAAGGCCGTCTGTGGCACAGCCGTTTGAGGCACAGAGCTCGGCCCCAGCGTCTGTGGAACCACCTCCGACAAGCGCAGCTGCTGCGTCTGCAACTCCTGTTTCGCGGTCTGCCTTGGGGTTGCGACAACTACCCTCCAGATTCACATGGGTCTCTCCCAGGACCCCGAAATGGAAGACTTGGTTCCATTTACGTAGGCCTTCTGGGAGCTTCCATGTTCTGAGGGAATGCTCCCAAAGGCGCAAAAGACACATCCGAAGCATTCCCCTTGCAGCGTGGATGTGTTCCAAGAATCGCTCGCGCCGTTGCATCCGAAACGCGGAAGACTCGAAGGCCCCAGCGGGCCTTGACCCAAGGCATAGGCCGTGCTCCTTGCGGATGGAAAGGCTGGGCTTCTCTTTCTCGGCTCGCTCTTTGAGGACAATTGGATTGCCAGGCGATTTCAGGACAATATCATGTGAATCATGTGTATTAAACTGTATTGAGGACAATATACCCTTCATCAAACTAACATGGCTTTGAAGGGACCCCCTGTCAGTTGCCATGTTAGTGGGAGGGAGGGAAATTTGCATTTATCTTAGATGAATGTTTTTGGTCCGAGCAGGTTTCCCCTTCCTGACGCTTGTGCAGGCCTCAGGCATAATCCGAGCCAAGCATCGGAAGCTGCGGCTGTGGCGACGGCGATGGCATGCTTGCAGTAGGCCTAACCAAAATTGAAGTCTGAGAGCTTGCGGGCTCTTGGGTCTGGGGGTGAGGCGGCAAAGGCACTGGTGCAGTGTATCCGTTCCTCAATTGCAAAGAACCAGATTCAAGCCATTGCCTCTCGTGACTCTCGTGCTCTTCGTTCCAAGTTGCTGAGATGTCTGAGCAAAGGAGTTGGGCACACTGCCACCGCCAAACCTAGGTTGTTCGCAACGTACCCCCAAACTTGCTCTGGGGTATCAAATGACAGTATGTTTGCTGTGCCAAGCTACTCGGAGTGCGTCTGTGGCACGAAATGAGATGCATGGGAGGCAGCAGAGGCCCTGAGTTTGGATATTGAGTAAAGCCATACTGAACAAATAGATTGGCACGCTGTCAGTGTGCCTGCAGGATCTTGATTTATCCAAGGAGCCACTAAGCTAAGCCAGCATGGCAAAATGAGCAACACTGAGACGGGCACGGAACATGTGAGTTGCTACCGCTTGACCCAATCCTCGGTTGCCAACTCCGGGAAAAAACATGCCATCGATCCCAAGAATCTGCTCAAAGAAGCCATCAAAAAAATGACAACGTTACATTGCCATGCAATTCCACCATGTCAGAACTCCTGGAATCGCTCCTAGCTCCCTCTTCAAAAGCAAATTTGGATCCCCCCAGCTCCCTGGCTCCCTTCCAACCAGCTAGAATTGCTCACCTCTTGCTTGGCTCCAGAGTCACAACTGGCTGCAATAAGTTCTGCTGCCAGGGGGCAGAAAACTGGCGACCTCTGGCCAGGAGTGAAGCCGGATGGAGTCGCCCGGCACAGCGCCATGATTCCAAGCCTCAGATGTCACACGGATCAAGAAACAAATGTGCAAAGCACCAAGAAAAAAAAAGATATGGGTGTGGCTCAAAATTAAACAGGAGGGGCAAACCGCAGGTTTTGGTCCATGTTTCCACTTACCAGGGTTCCATTTGGTACCGTTTTTTTGAGCCACAGCCATATCCAGGACCAGTCCAGAATGGACTGGAAAATAAAATCACGCATCTCTTGCAACCTGGACCTGCATAAGGTTTAAATTTCGGTCTCAACGCAGTACCAAGACGCGTATTGCCCGTGCAGGTCGAGTACCACACATCTGACACCTTTCAAACCCAAGTCTGTATCAGTGACTGTTGCATCTGAGATTACACACTGGCTAGCTGGTACAAGCTTCCAAACCTTAAAGCACATCCACCCCAGCCATCTCTCCATCTGTACATACGGTTATGGCAAGGTGCCATGCGCCACAGCATCCATGACATTCTGCAATTGATCATCCACCAGGACAACGGCTTCCAATTGCCGGCACAGCTGGCCCTTGCTGGGTCCTTCCAAAGCTTGCAACGTCTGCCCGTCTGATGTATTTGTTGCTTGCTCTTTGCGAAGCAACAGCCGCCTGTGGACGACGCGAAGTGCAGACCACTGATCAAGGCTGGAAAACCTCGGATGACTTCCGAGGACCTGATGTGTCATGCGTGGGGTTGAGGAAGGGTCCCGAATCGACCTCCTGTGAGGTACAATCAAAACTTGGCATTAAAATGGCCGTCATCCCAGAACCATGTAAGGAATTGAAAGCTCGACCAAAGGCGCTGAGATCACAATCATTGCGCGGTACCAAAGTCCGGCTGAGGCAAGTGCAAAAGTAGGTGGCCCATTTCAGGCAAGGGGACCCCTTGGTCCCAGAACCATGTAAAAAATATGAAAAAAAGGCGGCTTGAAGGCGCCCATTCAGGCAAGAAAAGTCTCTCCCCGAACCTTCCACCCGTCTCGAGTCTCGGTCCGCACCGCGCGTCCCGTGGAGGATCCAAGCGGCAGCGCGCCAAGAAGCGCTCGCTGCTGGTCTTGCAGCTGCCGGGCCGTGAGGTGACGGCGTGCAACTGCCGCGCCGACGTGCGGTCACACGGACGGACCCACGGGGATCCAGGGGGATCCACGAGGATCCACGAGGATCCAAAGGGATCCACGGCTGTTTGTGGAAGAGATACCAAAAACAAATCGCTTCACAAGCATACTAGACAAGTCCATTGAAATCTGAATGATCTTACTGGTGCGATAAGTAGGGAATGTGGGAATGAATCGGAAGGGGATTCCCTTCAAGGAAACCACCCGTTGGATGGGTTTTGTTCAGGTCATTCCATATATGACCATGATGGGTCGAAACCCCATACCCCCAGTGAACATCCAATTCAATCCCCACGTGAAAATACGTCCTAAAATGGGTGGCGAATTCACCTACCTACCAACATGGGACCCCAAAACCGGTTTTGACCACCACAGCCATCTCTCCTTCCCCACCAAATGACTGTGTCAAGACTACGTACCCAAAATGGAATCCTGGAAACATGGACCAAAACCTGCGGTCCAATTCCTGGTGGATTAATTTTGACCCACACCCAAATCGAGCCCCCCCCCCCAGATCGACCGCCCGGAACGTACGGAGGAAACTCCGCCTCGAAGCCCGCGGCCTTGAGCTGCTGCAGCGCCTCCTGGCTGCCCTGCCTCCGAGCAGATCAACGCCGAGTGGGCGCTCGAAATCGGGTCAGGTGCATCAGAAGCGAAAAAACCCGAGGGCGTGGGAGAAACAAGAAGCCCATGGAATCCGGGTGGGGCAATTGGGCAATCACCTGTTTCCTGTTTCCTGTGCGGCAGAGGGGCAAGCACAAAGACGCAAACAAAATTTGGGTTTGTGGGGTTGGGTAGTACACAAAAAATGGACGCAAGACCATGTTTCAAGAGTTACAGATGTCATAACAAGGGGGACTGTCCTTAACCTTCACCCACCCACAGCGGTTTTGAGCAAGCGGCTCCGGTTTACCGTTTTGATCGGGCCAAGCTGCACGGGCTCGGCCATCAGGGAGAAATCGGAACAAAGAAACTGCTCTCGCATGGCAGAGGCGTCATGAGAGTAGCATCTCTGGAAGCATTCCTCGAGTCACAAGAATTGGTCTTTGGGGCCCTGAAGCTCTTGGCGGGGCTCTTGGGGTCCAAACCAAAGGAACTACTGCGCGCAGGGCGAGGCACCGTCAGATCCATCCCAGGCTGCCCGGTCTGCCAGGTGCAGAAGGCTTCAGCAGTGCGGCAGAGCACCTCATCCACATCCAGCGCCACGCGCGGCCTCGGTCTAGGGTTGCCAAGACCGCCAGTCTCAGCATTGACTTCTTTCAACGTGTCCTGAGGCACCATACGGGCAGTGCCACATGAGTGTGGCTCAAAATTAAAGGGCCAGGGTTACGCAGGTTTTAGTCTTTGGCTCCATTTACCAAGGCGCCATGTTGGTACATCTTTTTGAGCCACAGCCACATTTCAGCTGAGCAGCCGTGCCAGGGTGGACGAGCGCGGCACGTAGGTTGCCTTCGGCTTGCAGTGACTTGCCAAATGAACACTCTGCACCAGGGTTCTATTTGTTGACCACCGGCAAATCGACTTAAATTCAGGGGTTCCATTTTTCCGGGGTACACGACCTACCCCTGGGTTTAAGCCATTGCGGGGGTACTCAAAAAGTGGAACCCTGCTCTGCACCGTTTGCAGGGCAGGTGCGGCACTTCCATCCATCTCTTGCCTCAGGGCAGGAGAGGCAATTCCCCCCCCGAAACACGAAGAAAGCCAAGCGTCAAAACACTCTGTCAAGAATTCCGCGAATGGAACGCTCAGGACGCAGCGCTAGGGCCAGCTACTGGCTCATTCTCATGACATCCTGGCTCGCAACAAAGGATCCATCCGGCGGTCTTCCCCAATCTACGCAGCCAGGTGGGCCAGTACGTGCATGTGTCCGAGCAAAGTGCTCAAGCTCAAAATGGACTTTGCACATCCCAAGATCTGCCTTCAAGCTGCGAGGTCCCGAACAAAACGCATGGATCAGGGCGCGCTGTGATGCTCTGGCATTCTGGGTTTGCATTGCTTGCACATGCTACTGAAAAACCGTTTGGTGCATCACTCATCTTTCAAGTGGGCGGGACGCAAAGGCATTGGTTGCAGCATTACCACTGCATTAGCTGATTTTGCGTTGCAGTCAAGCATTTCTTGGGCAGATCTGCAGACAAGACAGGTCATATCTGTGACTTTGCGAATGATGCAGCAACCTTGCGCCTCTTGGGCACCCCAAAATTGAACACTGCTCACTTCAGCGATGTTCCAATTGTTGGCGGGAGACTACCAGATCAGTTGTCCAAGGACGCATAACCCTAGGCTTTAAACAACCCCGGTGGCCATCTTTGCATGATTCAGTGCAGCTTGGGTGCGGCACCCACCCCATGAGTTTGCAACTTCTATCTCTCAAGCTTCGATCATGCTCTGCGCTAATTCGATGCACGTCCTCCGTCAGCCAGGCCAAAACTCACTCTGGCACCACTAAAAAACTACTGCGCGGCTGGCCATGCACAACCAAGTCCGGTGATTTTGTGATTGGTTTTCCCAGGCCAGCCATTGCATCTCAGAGCCATGCATGAATTCTGGTCATTAACGGTAAAAGCTGCCTTCAGCTGCGCGAAGTTCTCGGGCGTGGGCGCCTGCCAGACAAGGACATGGATCTGAATGATAGCCTGACCCGCGCCTTGACTGCCGGATACTCAGTGAACTGAGAGACGCTCCTGTGCATGGTCAATATGGTTGAAACCCCTTGTTTCTTGGTATTTACATTGGGGAATCAAATCAGAAACCAGGGTTTCTGAAGGGTACGACTGGGATTTTGCCGCCATCCACATGCTCAGTGGCATCACTGCTCACCAGCTCTGCGAGCCTCGTCCATTCGCAGCAAGTCTTTGAGGGTCACGCGCGGCTTCCGACCCTCGGAGCAGCAAGAACTGGCATGCAACATATGAATGTGAGCGGGCAATACCAGAAAAAGAATTCAAAGGCAAGCACAACACACAAGCACAATGGCAAACACAATTATGCACATATACAGCAACAGAACACACGGCGACAACAAGCATGTGGTCGAACACGTATACAAATAAGCCCACGTAATAAAAAAGCGCACGCACTGACACCAACAGCAGCGCAAAACCAACCACCAGCAGAAGCACTACCATGAGCATGGCCACAACGAGCAGAACAACGACCACACCTACAATGGCGGCGGCGGAAGCACCAGCCCAGCAAGAAGCCACCGGCAGCAGCAGCAACACTAGCAACAGCAACAGCCACGAAAACAGTAGCAACAGCAACCAAGTGCATAAAAAAGGCAACCAAGCAAATAAGCACAAATACGGGTATGAAGAGAAAAGCAGATCCTTTGCATAACTCATTGCCATGGAGCAACACAACCCCAGTCTGCATGCAAATGACTGTGCAACCTCAACATTCGCCATATCAGGCCGGCGCGTCGGGCACATTGTTGGAACCGGCCACCGCGGCCTGTGTCATGATGGGACCAGCACGGTCCGAACCAACACAAGTCGTCAGTCCCTTGTGGGGCTTGGCTCTTCTTGCACCAACACGCGGCACCCGAGTTCTTCAAGCCCAAGGGCCCAAGGCTAAGATCGTTCTTGACACGAGGCCCAAGAAGTGTCCAAGCCATGGGCAAAAGTGGCAACCAGTTTCGAGCGCCTGCAGTGCATTGGCAGTTGCTGCTATCGTGCTGGAAGGGCCACCAGTCCTGGCCAACTGCAACCGTGGGCCTCTAGTCCAACCAGTCATCCAACCCTTCCAACCAATCCAATTCGTGCATCTCCACAAATCCCTTCTCGCGCCGTCCTTCGTTCAGGGCGCTCGAAGACGGCCTGCGCACGCCACATCCCCGGCAGACCCGAGCCACATGCACCGCATCTCTGAGGCGTTGCCTTCAGGCGGTGGCAGCTCAAAGCCTAGCGAAGCGCCCCAAGGAGAAGTGTGGCTGGGGCAAACCGCAGGTTTGGGTCTTTGTTTCCATAAGGTGCCATTGTACATGTTCAAATGAGCCACATGAGTCAAAATCAAAACCCAGCGGTTAAAATAGTCACAACCCAGAACGAGAGCGTCCCGATAAGCGAGATGGGGGGAGATTATTGGTCAAAACTGATCGGTGCAAAAATAGTTGACCCAGAACCATGCTTCAAGAATCAAGGGGATTGTCCCTTACTACCCTGAGTTTGTCTTTAAATCGGGGAAACCAAAATCCAACATGCTGTCTTGTTTCTAGTTTCCCCCAACCAAAAAGGTGTTTTTCCCAAGAAAAAAGAAAGAAAGAAAGAAAGAAAGAAACAGGCTCGCCATTCAAGTTCAGGGAAGAATCAAATGGCCATGGGTCAAAAGCCAAATCGTACCCCCAATGAGCATCCGATTCAATCCCCCACTGAAATAGGTTCTAAAATGGGTGGTGCACCTACCAACCAAAACGGTACCATTGGTTTTGACCCACAGCCAAATGCTGCCGCTCAAATTTTGTCTGTCCATCTGTCTCACTGCCTCAACGTCCAGCTCCGACTCCACCTGAGTCCAGGCGATGGGTCTATCAGCAGCGACGGCGTTGCTAGATCTCGTCAAAAAGGATTGCCATGTGTTGCTTCGAACTCAGGGTAGACTATAAAACCGACTTGGTGTGGGCTTGCAAAAGAATGTCTCTTGCTTTCTTGCAGCCCCCGAACCCAAAAATACACAGAACCCAAAAGACAAAAAGAAAAAGAAAAAAAAAAAGGAAAACATACTTGATCCAGCCGCAGTGAAGTTGAGTCCTGGTTTTGCCACACTGACGGAGCTTGGTGGAAGACTGATGGCGAAGGCATACAGAAGGACTCCAAAGCCTCGGGCGCTACGCACCAGTATTCAGAATTTCCAGTATGCCGTTGTTTGAGGTACCCCTTGCTGGTCGTGCTGAAAGGGAAAAACAAAGAAAAAACACCACTTTGGGGCGGCCCGAAAAAAGGACACGCCCATACCAATGAACCCTTTGACACACAGCCCATGCAACAATGGCAAAGTCTGTCGTGCTCGCAAATCCTGGAGAGCTCCAAACAAAGTGATGAGCCAAAAGTCACCTTTCAGGCGCCAGGATACGCAGCGGTGTCCAAAGGATTGTTGACTTCCCACTAAAATAGACTAAACACCTACCCCAAAATGTTACCATTGGTTTTGACCGACAGCCATTTGTTTGTGGCATGCCCGCCTGGCCAGACGCCTCCTGGGACCTCGTAGATGAGAACAGCACCGGTGACAGCCTGGGAGGTTATCCGCCCCAGCCCCTCCCTCCCTCCCTCCCTCCATCCCTCCCTCCGTCCCTTTCTCTTTCTCTCTCGCTCTTTCTCGCTCTCTCTCTCTCTCTCTCTCTCTCTCCATGTTCTTGCTCTCCCTCCCTCCCTCTCTCTCTCTCTCTCTCTCTCTCTCTCTCTCGCTCTCTCGCTCTCGCTCTTTCTCTCTATCTCTCTCGCTCTTTCTCTCGCTCTCTATGTTCTTTCTCGCTCTCTCTCTCTCTCTCTCTCTGTCTCTCTCTCTCTCTCTCTGTCTCTCTGTCTCTCTCTGGCTGCTGGCACTGTTCAAAAGCGCGAACGGGCACTGATGATGGCAGGCATTGCAACCGGCAGTTGGTAGCACATACAGGAAAAGTCCAAACAGTGCTGCAAATGTCTGTCACACATGAACGCATCAAGGTCTTTGGGTGCTTAGTCACTCATTAGCCTGCGATACAAATCGAAGTATTGTCCTCGGTGAACTTGGGTATTTGAGAGTCTGGCCCATAGTCCGACTTGTCAGATTTCTCCTCTTCGTTCAGTGGCAAGCGCCTCAAACAGTATGGACACCTGCACTCGACGCGTGTGCAGGACATTCATGCAACATTCAATCAAGATGTTTATCTCAACAATGTCCAGGCAAAGACTCGCCAACTGTCCGCATATCAAGACTGCTCAGCTGCCCATGGGCCCGTACGGCGAGAAGCGAGCACCACCACGGGCCCGTGCAGGCGTTGGAGTCATGGGCAACCTTGACAAACGTGTCAGCACAATCCTTGGGTCTCTACTTTGGGTCAAAATGAAACCACCAGGATATAGACCCGCATATTTTAGTCCATGGTTCCTTAACCTATTTTGATCCACAGCCACTAGGTGATTGCCTTTTTGTTAGAAGCAATCAGCTTCTCCAGATTTGTGTGTCTCATCTCATGTCAACAAACACGTTAATCCTGAAGCGACGCTGGCATCTCTCTTGGGGAGGGGCAAATGCCCGTCTTCTTTGGCCTGCAGCGCGGATTTTGGGTGCACGGTGGACTAACAGCTCCTTGAAACTCTCTATTGATCCATCGTTTCCATTGATCGACAACAGATCTGGCCAGAGGCTGGACTTCGCCCAGAAACTACCATCTGCCTCCCCAAGAACCGGGCGCCAATGCAACGATGTGTCAAATCTCTACAAGCAATGCTCTGCAGCTCGCCTGGAGCATCCTTTCGCGACGGTCCATTTCAACCTCACATTTTTCCGCCCAGAGACTCAGACTTCAAATCGATCTTATGGAGCCCAGGAACTCGCCGACGCAGTGCGGAGCTCTAGGGGTACCCTTCCCCATTCCCAGGGATCCTTCTTTTCAGGAGACCGGGGAAACAGATCCGGTTTGTGAAAAGAACGATGGTTGAAAAGAATGGAAAAGGAATCAACCCCCAGAGAATGCCCTTCATTCCAATCAACCCTTGTTCCCATCAACCCCCAGTCAATCAACCCCTAGAATGGTTGAAATCGACCCCTAGAACCACACGAGCGCAAATGCCAAGCGCGCCTCACGCAGCGCCACGGTGCGTTCTCGCAGGTCGAGCTCCTGGCAGGCGCCAAGTTCGCGTAGAGAGCTTGGCTTGGCTTGGGGCGATAGGCAGGCAAAGAGAAAAATGGGAATGACCCCAAGAAAAACACGCCAACTGGTGGTTTCTGACCCTAAAAAACCATGCAACTGGCGGTTTCTGACCCGAAAAAACCATCCAACTGGTGGTTTCTGGTGGTTTCTGACCCTAAACTAGACGACGAGTGGCCCGGAAGCATAGAGGCAAGTTGATGCAGGTGAAGTAACTCTCGAAAAGTTAGCATGAGAAGTTGGCAGGCGAAGTAATTCTCAAAAACTTGGCATGAGAAGCTGGCAGGTGAAGTAACTCTCGAATAGTTGGGTGGCAAAGTTGGCGGGTGAAGTAATTCTCGCAAAGTTGCCATGACAAGTTGGCAGGTCATGTAATTCTCGAAAAGTTGGCATGACAAGCTGGCAGGTGAAGTAACTCTCGAAAAGTTGGCTGGCGAAGTTGGCGGGTGAAGTAACTCTCGGAAAGTTGGCAAGAGAAGTTGGCAAGAGAAGTTGGCAGGTAAAATAACTCTCGAAAAGTTGGCACGAGAAATTGGCAGGTGAAGTAATCTCGAAAAGTTGGCATGAGAAGCTGGCAGGTAAAGTAGTTCTCGAAAAGTTGGCATGAGAAGCTGGCAGGTAAAGTAAATCTTGAAAAGTTGGCTGGCGAAGTTGGCGGGTGAAGTAATTCTCGAAAAGTTGCCATGAAGTTGGCAGGTGAAGTAACTCAAGAGAAAAGTTGGCATGAGAAGTTGACAGGTGAAATAACTCTCAATGAGTTGGCGTGAGAAGTTGGCAGGTGAAGTAACTCAAAAGAAAAGCTGGCAGGTGAAGTAACTCTCGGAAAGTTGGCGTGAGAAGCTGGCAGGTGAAGTAATTCTCAAAAAAGCTGGCACGAGAAGATGGCGCGTGAAATATTTGTCGAAAAGTTGGCGTGAGAAGCCGGCAGGTGAAGTAACTCTTGAAAAGTTGGCAGGCAAAGTTGGCAGGTGAAGTAACTCTCGAAAAGTTGGCATGAGAAGTGGGCAGGTGAAGTAATCTCGAAAAGTTGGCTCGAAAAGTTGGCAGGTGAAGTAATTTCTCGAAAAGCTGGCACGAGAGGTGAAGTATTTCTCGAAAAGTTGGCATGAGAAGTTGGCAGGTGAAGTATTTCTCGAAAAGTTGGCATGAGAAGCTCGCAGGTGAAGTAACTGTTCGAAAAGTTGGCACGAGAAGTTGGCAGGTGAAGTAACTCTCGAAAAGGTGGCATGAGAAGCTGGCAGGTGAAGTAATTCTCGAAATTTCGGCATGAGAAACTGGCAGGTGAAGTAACCCTCAAAAACCTGGAGCTGCGGAGGCGCTCCGCGTGCTACGTTTGTACTTTAAAGTTGCGATTTTCCAGCCGTATCTAAAAGTTGCGATTTTCCAGCCGGAGCTGCGGGAACACGCTCCGCGTACTACGTCTGTACTTAAAAAGTGAGATTTTCCAGCCGGAGCTGCAGCAGCCTCCGCGTACTACGTCTGTACTTAAAAGTTGCAATTTTCCAGCCGGAGCTGCGGGAGCACGCTCCGCGTACTACGTTTGTACTTAAAAGCTGCGATTTTCAAGCCGCAGCTGCCGCGGACCAGGGGGGAATCGAACCCGCGACCGCGGGATTGCGAAAGCAGCACGCAAACCACGAGACAACTTCCAAAGGCCGTTTCGCGAGCAAGAAATTCGCACGGCGCCACAGCGAGAGCGCTTCGACACGCACGATCTCCGCAGAGGGTTCGCCGCGGTCAAGACAAATTCGCACGGCGCCACAGCGAGAGCGCTTCGACACGCACGATCTCCGCACAAGGTTCGCCGCGGTCAAGACAAATTCGCACAGCGCCACAGCGAGAGCGCTTCGACACGCACGATCCCCACAGAGGGTTCGCCGCGGTTACTCGTAGCCTGCTACGCTCCGGCATCTAAAGGCTTGTCGTGAACAAGTTGAGCAGTGAGGTTTCCAAAAAGGCTGAGGAATAAAACGAAACTTGTGGGGTCTGCTTGTAGCTGCGAAACCATGCCTCTGCCCCAGGTCGGGAAGGTACGCAACACACGTGAAATAAACAAGCCATCTATACACAGTTGAGGCATCGCCGAATTGTGGGGTTTATTTTCAAAGGCGACACCATGCCTCTGCGTTGGCGGAAGGGCACAAAGCTGCCACCAAAGCATCAAGCAGCCGACCCTTGGTGCGCTGCTGTCCAGTTGTGGAATCCCTCTGGGCAACATGCAAGCCAGCTGCAAAGGAGCGAAGCTTGTCCATCTTCATCGAGCCATCCAGCTCAGCATGGAACCAGTCTCGACCATGTACTGCTGCTTCAGCTCGTAAATGCTCAGCATCAGGAAGACCATCCAAGGGATTCGCAGCCTGCTACGCGCGCTGAAAGACACGCTCCGGTATCTAAAGACTTGTCGTGAACAGGTTGAGCGTTGAGGGTGCCAAAAAAGCTGAAAATAAAACTAAACTTGTGGGGTCTACTTGTAGCTGCGAAACCATGCCTCTGCGTCAGGTCGGGAAGGTACGCAACGCCATTGAAATAAACAAGCCATCTATACACAGTTGAGGCATCGCCGAATTGTGGGGTTTGTTTTCAAAGGCGACACCATGCCTCTGCGTCGGCGGAAGGCGGAAGGGCACAAAGCTGCCAAGCATCAAGCAGCTGACCCTTGGCGCGCTGCTGTCCAGTCGTGGAATCCCTCTGGGCAACATCCAAGCCAGCTGCAAAGGAGCGAAGCTCGTCCATCTTCATCGAGCCATCCAGCTCAGCATGGAGCCAGGCTCGACCATGTACTGCTGCTTCAGCTCGTAAATGCTCAGCGTCAGGAAGACGATCCAGGGGATTCGCAGCCTGCTACGCGCGCTGAAAGACACGCCAGTATCTAAAGGCTTGTCGTGAACAAGTTGAGCAGTGAGGGTGCCTAAAAAGTTAAAAAAATAGAACTAAACTTGTGGGGTCTACTTGTAATTGCGAAACGATGCCTCTGCACAAGCCCAATGTCCAGCCTGAGCACGTCGCCGGCGACCAGAATGCGACATGGCAACACGACACGTTGGTAATATCTTCTGGCCACCCGCTGTGTGTACCTGCTTTGACAAGATTGGTGCGCCAAGGATACAAATCCGCACTACATGGCAACACGACACGTTGGTAATATCTTCTGGCCACCCGCTGTGTGTACCTGCTTTGACAAGATTGGTGCGCCAAGGATACAAATCCGCACTACATGGCAACACGACACGTTGGTAATATCTTCTGGCCACCCGCTGTGTGTACCTGCTTTGACAAGATTGGTGCGCCAAGGATACAAGTCCGCACTTCGGAAGATGCGATCTGAGCGATGACACCTTCTACAGCACTAGCGCGGAGGATTGCCTTGAGCATGGATGCGCGCGCAAGCAGCAATGAGGATGGACAGCAAACTCATGGAGCACCCCGCCAAAAATGAAACATAACACGAACACAAAGAAGCACTGTCGCCCTAACCAACTGAGCCGCAAACATTCTGTGGGCAAGCTCCGCTACTGAGACACTCATGACATCCAAGCTTTGGCTACTATTGCTCTTGTCAGCTGCCCATCACTCCACAATCCAACTACGCAAGTTCACTTCACAAGCCAATCGCAAAAGCCAACTGCCCAATCTCACTTCACAAGCCAATGACAACAGCCAACTGCCCAATCTCACTTCACAAGGTAAATGCAGTGTTCCAAAACACCAGCCAAATTTTCGAGTGCTACTTCACCATCCTAAAGCGCAAACTAACTTTTCGGGCGTTTCTTCGGCATCGTAAAGCGCAAGCAAACTTTTCGGGCGTTACTTACTTTTCCTTTTCTACCTTCTCTTCGCGACTCTGAGTTCTTTCTTCTTTTTCCGGCGGAGCTGGGGGGATGCTCGCCGCGTACTACTTTTGTACTTAAAACTTGCGATGTTCGTGCCGGAGCTGGCGCGGGCCAAGGGGGAATCGAACCTGCGACGCCGCGATTGCGAAAGCTTCCAGCCGGAGCTGCAGGAGCATGCTCCGCGTACTACGTTTGTACTTCAAAGCTGCGATTTTCAAGCCGCAGCTGCCGCGGACCAGGGGGGAATCGAACCCGCGACCGCGGGATTGCGAAAGCAGGCACGCAAACCACGAGACAACTTCCAAAGGCCGTTTCGCGAGCAAGAAAAACGCACGGCGCCGCAGCGAGAGCGCTTCCACACGCACAATCTCCGCAGAGGGTTCATCGGGCTCATGACAGATTCGCGCGGGACCACAGCGAGAGCGATCCGACACGCACGATCCCCGCAGAGGGTTCATCGGGCTCAAGACAGATTCGCACGGGAGCGAGAGCGCTTCGACACGCACGATCTCCGCAGAGGGTTCGCCGCGGTCAAGACAAATTCGCACGGCGCCACAGCGAGAGCGCTTCGACACGCACGATCTCCGCAGAGGGTTCGCCGGTCAAGACAAATTCGCACGGCGCCACAGCGAGAGCGCTTCGACACGCACGATCTCCGCAGAGGGTTCGCCGCGGTCAAGACAGATTCGCACGGGACCACAGCGAGAGCGATCCGACACGCACGATCCCCGCAGAGGGTTCATCGGGGTCAAGACAGATTCGCACGGGACCACAGCGAGAGCGATCCGACACGCACGATCCCCGCAGAGGGTTCATCGGGGTCAAGACAGATTCGCACGGGACCACAGCGAGAGCAATGCGACACGCACGATCCCCGCAGAGGGTTCGCCGAGGTCAAGACAAATTCGCACGGCGCCACAGCGAGAGCGCTTCGACAAGCACGATCTCCGCAGAGGGTACGTTTCGTAAGCTCCCGTCGGGCCTACCCCCGCCATAAAAAGAAGAAGAATTAAGAGTCGAGATGTGAAGGTAGAAAAGAAAAGTTAGCTTGCGTTTTTAGGATAATGAAATAACACCCGAAAAGTTGACATGAGAAGTTGGCTGGTGAAGTAACTCTCCAAAAGCTGGCATGAGAAGTTGGCAGGTGCAGTAACTCTCGAAGAGTTGGCATGAGAAGTTGGCAGGTGAAGTAACTCTCGAAAAGTTGGCATGAGCAGTTGGCTGATGAAATAACTCTCGAAAAGTTGGCAAGAGAAGTTGGCAGGTGAAATAACTCTCGAAAAGTTGACATGAGAAGTTGGCAGGTGAAGTTTGCAGCCGCTTTTAGAAGAAGAACCCTTCGCAATGCTTCCGGGAAAAACCATCCATCTGGTGGTTTCTGACCCTAAAAAACCATTCAACTGGTGGTTCTGACCCTAAAAAACCATCCATCTGGTGGTTGTGACCCTTATAAGCCATCCAACTGGTGGTTGTAACCCTTAGAAACCATCCAACTGGTATCCTTTAAGGGCACCAAAGCCTGGGTTGGACGTTGTCAACACCAGTGGCCTCCATGCGCTTCTGAACTTCTGCCTGAGCAGCAGCCACTTCCTGCCGCGAAGAGTTGAAAGCCATAGGGGTTCTAACTTTGAATATAGAAGCAACATGATTTGCGAGATTGGCGGCTGGGCACCCTCCAATTAACCACGGAGCCTGACCTTCGGCCACCAGTCCCTTCTTCAAGAAAAGACGTTCTCCACCAGGACCGAATGATCCGACCGTCCAACGGTTCCATGTGAAAAGGGGGGGAGAAGGTACAAGGTCCAAATTGCGCCTCAGCCAGTTGTTTTGCCGGGCCTTCTCCGCGGCAGAGACCATCTTCGCCTTTAAAAAAAAAAAGCAGGACTGGCGAAAGGGTTGTCCTTTTTTTTGCGGGCGTCCCATTTTTGAGGCTGGTTTAAAGGGAATATTAAAAGGAAACCCGTTGCGCCCATGTGGGGGGGAGTAGTTACCCCAATCAAGGAACTCACCGAGCTCTCACGCGCTCGCTAGAGAGCTCCCGGCACATGACACAGAGAGCTCCGACTTTAAGTTGGCCAAGGCCGCGCTCATGGCACCTCAGATCCGCCAACTGAGTCATATGGCTGTGGGTCAAAACCAACGAGATCCCATTTTGGGGTAGGTGCACCACCCCATTTTAGTCTATTTTGGGACGTTCACTGGGGGTACTTTGGATTTTGACCCATGGTCATGTCAAAACGGTCGGGGACCAGACACATGCTTCAAGAATTGAAAAGGCAAAGGCAACCATGTATGGTTGGGATTTTCTCTTAACCTTCATCTACCCGAATCGGCTTTGATTGCGGCTCAACTGACATGGACCTTCTCTACCATGAGTCCGGAAACGTTGCTGAGCGCCACTCCAAAGCGGGGAAGCGCCTGAACCAATCTGAAAAGCCCAAATGTCTGCCGGTCCAAGCCCTCAGCCAACACAGCTAGATGCATCCATCTCTCACTCTCTCTCAGCTCTCGTGAAGTCACATGCCTATTTCCTCCGACCAAAACAGGCTGACTCTTGCAGCACGCTAAAATGGGGCATGCCGCACACTATGCCACTCTGCCAGCCATAAAGCCGTCTAACGTGGCGATTGAAAGATCCGACTTTGCTTTCAAGATTAAAGTTGCAGCCCCCAAAGTGTGAAGCGAATTCCTCAACAATTCCAATGCTCAAACCGGGCAATCACAACTTGGGGACAGCTTTTGACTATGGACAAACTTGGCTCATCACCGCCGATTGCGGCCAGCAGGGCACTTGGGATAGTGCCTGCGGACCCATCGCCTAAGTTCTCTGCACAGGCTTGGTCTTGGCAGTGTGAGCCCGCGATATGGGTATGGGTCCAAATTAAATTGGTCACCACCAGGAAATGGGACCGCAGGCTTTGGTCCGTGTTTCCACCCAGGGGTCCACCCCCAAATTCGGTCATTTAGAGATTCTGCGAATGTGTCCCATCCTTAAGCTCATAAGATCCAAGTCACCATGTAAGATTAATGCGAGGGCCTTCGCACCGTTCCTTTGGCACTCGATGCTGGAAGTGCTTCTGCGTCATGCCCTCCATGGTCATGAGATCACCCGTGTTCAACCTGAGACGGACAGTGAAACGCTGAATTCGCACCTGGAACCAGTGAATGCGCTTCCTGTTTTCCATTTTTGTGCCCACAGCCTACCCGTTCAACCGTATAACCTGCCCAAAAGCTGCTAAGCCAATATGGACTACGCCTTAAGACCCAAGCACACAACCTGTGGCACGCTTAGAGGAGTGTTTGCTTTCAATCTAAGCAGCGCAATGCGGTCGACCTCGGACTCGTCAGCCTCGCCATGCTTGGCCCCTACACTCCCTCAGACTAAGATGGAACCGCCTCTCCAAATGGAACCAAGTCTTCCAAAGGGGTCCCGAGAGACTCCATGCTAGTCTTGGAGTTTTGGGGAGTGCACCTTCTCAAATGAAGCCTTGTCTACCACCCTGGCCTCTTCGCCCAATCCCTTCCCTTCGTCAGTTCGCAACGTTCTCCTGCGCACCTCTGGCCAATTGCGCCGCAGCTCGAAGGTCCGGGTCTGCCCGAAGGAGAGTGAAACTATTCCTCAATCCGACAGCGCACGGCAAGACGGCCCTTGGCCACGGCAAGGGCCAGGGCAACGGCACTGTTCCCGTTGGCTGTTGCAATCTGCAGCTATGGCACTGATGTCCTGGAACTTCCCCTGGAAGAGGATCTCATCATCTGCATGCCAGCCAACTGATGCTCCCCCATCCTGCAAACAACCACATGGAACACCAGAAGACCAACCCAGACCGAGGTGCAACGCATTGTGTCAAAACAGCTGCATCAGGTTCTGATAAAAATTGCGGCACGGCAGGGTCCCCGAACCTCGTAGTAGTTGAGGTTGCAGGAGTCTGGCCAGTCTCTTTCATGGATACCGCAATAGTGCCTCGTTCCGCACAGCGAATCTCGGCGTGACTTCTAGCAAAAAAAGAAAAAGAAAAAAACGGCTGCAGGATACCAAGTTGCATGGCTTTCCTCAGGAGCTCCTTCATGAACGGAGGATACTCTTGGCTTTCCACTTCCAGGCCTCCATAACGATAAGTGCAGCGACAGCCTGCGCTTCACAGACACGCGCGTCACAAGCCGGGCGGGTCACAAGTCCAAGCGCTTTGGCCCGCAAAAGCTGTCCTTTTCGGGTCATCCAGGCCGTCTGCCGCGGAACCATGATGCCTTTCGCCGTCGTGGGCTGCTGCCACTCTGTCTCATCCTGGCGTTTGCATGCGCCGAACGGAATCCGTTGCAAGCCTGACGAAAACAAGCCCCATGCGTCAAGCGCCCAGTTCATGTGTACTTTCCATGGCCGGAAAACTAGAGCCTTTTTCGCGGCCTGTTGTATCCTGTGCCATTCTACCCTAGAACACGTTGAAAATGAACTCCTCGGCCCGGCCCTTTCCGGACCGGCCCTGAAAAAAAGAACTCGGCCTTCACCCTCTCGAAGAAAGTGTCACAATCCTCGTCGGAGAAAGGACACCTGAGACTTCTGAGATCTTCAGAGACTTCTGAGGCTTCGTGTTATTCAAGATCAACTGCTCGCTCAATGGTAGTCACCCGCAGCATCAACAAATAGTCCTCCCGTTGCTTGCGTGAGAGGGATTTGAAGATGTCGACGTGGGAAGAATTTGGCTGAATTTGGCACCAGATGAGCTTTGATGAAGCTGACAGGAAAACTGGGCTGCGATTCTTCGTTCTTCCACGGCTTTCAAGGAGCTCCTCTCGCAGCATGTTCATGCGCCCGGGCGGGGGGTTTGCGACCTGACTAACTGACTTGCCCGTACTGATTCACTGATAACGCAACTATGCCTCAGCTAAGATGATGCTGAAGTGAACACTGCGGTCCATTTTGCGCATTTTTGTGTAGCCTTGTCCTACATCTCCAGCAAAGTTCGATGAATGCTTCCCGCTGCAAACCTGAACATTTAAAGCCAATCATTCCGTTTCTACCGACTTTTCGAATCGACTCCAATCCACATCTTGTCTAATTGCAGCTCTCGAGCCTTTAAGCGGATGCCTAGGAAGCTGCCCCGAGAGTCGCGTGCCAGCTCCAGGCACAGACCAGCTCGATACGCTCCGCCAGCTTCATAGACCTTAGCCGGCCTGAGCGCAGGAGCTCGATGTGATACCTTCGGGCGCCTAAGGCGGGAAGCGGCCGGCGCCGGCCGAGATTCACCGGCATCGAATGCTAAAAGGGAGGCTCCTCTGATGGGACGGTCACAAACTCCAAGTCGCAAGACCATTTTGGGCACCTCGCAGCCGAGGCTGCAACCTCCGTTGCGAGGTCACAGGGCAACACTCCGAGAGCGTGCAACGGCTGTTAAAGCCGCGGAGTGAGGAAGCTGCACCGGTCCAGCCCCTCCGCACCCATCACAAGAAACTCCGAATAGAGCACCAGCATACTCAGCGCAATTCAAAGACCAGAGCAGCCAAGGAGGCTGCAAGACTCACAAGTCTGTGGCATCAAAACTGAATGTCCAATCAGCCTTGCTTGGCTATCTGGAGCTACACCCTACTTCGGGGTGAGCTGGCTTGATGCTCAAAACGCGCTCTGGCGGAATCACCTCAACGAGCGACAGGTGGAGTGTCACGACGGCCTTGGGCTCGACAAACTGCAGTCTCATCAGCGGCTTCTCGCTTCCACTTGGCCCAGAATCGGCAACTCTCCGCCTACGTTGGGCAGTTCCTTTGCAAGTTTCTGGATGTCATGGGGTTCAACGTAGGTGGCTCCTTGCTGCCTTCTTTGAGAGAACCAGAACAGAAAGAAGCTGCAAGTCTAGAAGTGATAGGCAAGCGACCTTGGAGATACACGCAATGTTTGGCATTGCGCGGTGCTTGATGCCCCCCCCCGATACGCAGAACTCCAGATCGCATCCCTCGCTGCGACAGTGCAAACTGGTTCTGAATGATTAGCAGTCCCAAACGCAGTAAGCAGTCATTCCAGCCTACCCATAAATATCCATATGAACAGAGCTGCCAAAACAAAAGATACCCTGTCAATTTTTCATGGTGAGCTGCAGCCCCTCCGCACCCAGCAAAACAAACGCAGAATAGAGTACCAGCGTACTTAGCGCAATTCAAAGACCAGAGCAGCCAAGGAGGCTGCAAAACTCACGAGTCTGTGAAACCAAAACTGAATGTCCAAACAGCGTTGCTTTGGCTATCTGGAGCTACACCCTACTTTGGGGGTGAGTTGGCTGGATGCTCAAAACGCGCTCTGGCGGAATCACCGCAATGGTGAAGCGACAGGTGGAGTGTCACGACGGCCTTGCGCTCGACAAACTGCGCGGTGTTGTTCTGCGGCTTCTGGCTTCCGCCTCCCCAGACTCGGCAACTCTGCTCCTACGTTGGCCAGTTCCTTTGCAAGTTTCAGGATGTCGAGGGAGCTCAACGTGAGTTCAACGTTCAACAAGGTGGCTCGTTGCTGAGAACCAGAAAATGAATAAAGCTAGAAGTCTGGCAGTAATAGTCAAGCAGCCTTGGAGATACACGCAATGTTCAGCAATGTGCGGTGCTTGATGCCACCCCCATACGCAAAACTCCAGATCGCAAGCAAAGTTGCGACAGTGCAAACAGAAACAAAGGTTCCGAATGATTAGCAGTCCCAAACGCAATAAGCAGTCATTCCAGCCTACCCATAAATATCGATGTCAACAGAGCTGCCAAAACAAAGGATACCCGTTCAATGGCGAGCTGCAGCCCCTCTGTACTCATTAAAACAAAAACAAAAACGCCGAATACAGCACCAGTGTAATCAGCGCAATACAAAGACCAGCGCAGCCAAGGAGGCTGCAAGACATACGAGTCTGTGAAACCAAAACTGAATGTCCAAACAGCGTTGCTTTGGCTATCTGGAGCTACACCCTACTTTGGGGGTGAGTTGGCTGGATGCTCAAAACGATCTCTGGCGGAATCACCGCAATGGTGAAGCGACAGGTGGAGTGTCACGACGGCCTTGCGCTCGACAAACTGCTGTCTCATCCGCGGTTTCTGGCTTCTGCCTTTCCCAGACTCGGCAACTCTCCGCCTACGTTAGCCAGTTCCTGTGCAAGCTTCAGGATGTCAAGGGAGCTCAACGTGAGTTCAACGTGCAACGAGGTGGCTCGTTGCTGCCTTCGTTGAGAGAACCAGAAAAGAAAAAAGCTGGAAGTCAGGGAGTAATAGTCAAGCAATATGCAGTCATTCCAGCCTACCCATACGTATCAAAACCAACAGAGCTGCCAAAACAAAGGATACCCTGTCGATGGCGAGCTGCAGCCCCTCCGCACTCATTAAAACAAACGCAGAATAGAGCACCATCGTACTCAGCGCAGTTCAAACACCAGAGCAGCCAAGTCTGTGAAACCAAAACTGAATGTCCAAACAGCGTTGCTTTGGCTATCTGGAGCTACACCCTACTTTGGGGGTGAGTTGGCTTGATGCTCAAAACAATCTCTGGCGGAATCACCGCAATGGTGAAGCGACAGGTGGAGTGTCACGACGGCCTTGCGCTCGACAAACTGCGCGGTGTCATCTGCGGCTTCTGGCTTCCGCCTTCCCCAGACTCGGCAACTCTCCGCCTACGTTTGCCAGTTCCTTTGCAAGTTTCAGGATGTCAAGGAAGATCAACATGAGTTCAACGTGCAACAAGGTGGCTCTGTGCTGCCTTCTTCGAGAGAACCAGACAAGAAAGAAGCTGGAAGTCTGGAAGTGTTAGGCAAGCAAGCTTGGAGATACACGCAATGTGTGGCATTGCGCGGGGCTTGATGCCACCCCCCCATACGCAAAACTCCAGATCGCAAGCTACGTTGCCACAGTGCAAACAGAAACAAAGAGTCCCAAACGCAACAATCAGGCATTCAAGCCTACCCATAAGTATCGACATCAACAGAGCTGCACCCTTTGAATGGCGAGCTGCAGCCCCTCCGTACTCATTAAAACAAAAACAAAAACGCCGAATAGAGCACCAGCGTACTCAGCGCAATTCAAAGACCAGAGCAGCCAAGGAGGCTGCAAGACTCACAAGTCTGTGAAACCAAAACTGAATGTCCAAACAGCGTTCCTTTGGCTATCTGGAGCTACACCCTACTTTGGGTTGAGTTGGCTTGTTGGCTTGATGCTCAAAACGCGCTCTGACGGAATCACCGCAACGGTGAAGCGACAGGTGGAGTGTCACGACAGCCTTGCCCTCGACAAACTGCGCGGTGTCATCTGCGGCTGCTGGCTTCCGCCTTCCCCAGACTCGGCAACTCTCCGCCTACGTTGGCCTCCTTTGCAAGTTTCAGGACGTCAAGGGAGATCAACGTGAGTTCAACGTGCAACAAGGTGGCTCGTTGCTGCCTTCTTTGAGAGAAGCAGAAATAGAAAGAAGCTGGAAGTGTGAGTGTGATAGGCAAGCAACCTTGGAGATACACGCAATGTTTGGCATTGCGCGGTGCTTGATGACACCCTCATACGCAGAACAACAGATCGCAAGCTATGTTGCCACAGTGCAAACAGAAACAAGGGTTCCGAAAGAGTAGCAGTTCTAAACGCAACAAGCTGGCATTCAAGCCTACCCATAAGTATCGACATCAACAGAGCTGCCAAAACAAAGCATACTCGCTGCAGCCCCTCCGTACTCATTAAAACAAACGCAGAATAGAGCACCAGCGTACTCAGCGCAGTTCAAACACCAGAGCAGCCAAGGAGGCTGCAAGACTCACAAGTCTGTGAAACCAAAACTGAATGTCCAAACAGCCTTGCTTTGGCTATCTGGAGCTACACCCTGATGCTCAAAACGCGCTCTGGCGGAATCGCCGCAACGGTGAAGCGACAGGTTGAGTGTCACGACGGCTTTGCGCTCGACAAACTGCGCGGTGTCATCTGCGGCTTCTGGCTTCCGCCTTCCCCAGACTCGGAAACTCTCCACCTGCGTTGGCCATTTTGTAAGTTTCAGGATGTCAAGGGAGTTCAACGTTCAACGAGGTGGCGTGTTGCCAATTCGGTGATCAGGAATGCTCTGGATTCCCAGATCAAAGGAGATATAGTCATGCATTGAGAGTCAGATGAGCTGCTGCGAGCTCTTTTCGCGAGGCCTCTTCGGGGGACGGAAAACACGGTGATCCTAGGGCCTTAAGATGCGTGATAGATCTTGTGTGTATTCATCAATGAACATTTTTTACCGATATTCTAGCCACAAAAAACCCTTCCATGCCGGCAGATTTGACTTCTGAAATGCATCCGCTGCTCGATTGTTCGGCTCGTGCATGGCTCCGGCGCGCATGCCAGCTCCACTCATCAGGAGCATGCCTCAAGGGAGACCAGCGTACGAGCCATGGGCAGGAGTGGTGAACATCGGCAGGTTCGAGTAGTCGTATGCGGGGCAGATGTTCAACAGCCAGCGCATGACGCCATTCAACATGTGATAGACGTGGGTAGAGCTTTCCGGCCCTACCGCTCGATTGCGTGTCGCAGTCTCGCCTGTGCAGCAGGCTGGGGGGGGAATCGAAGCGAGGGGGCCGCTCCCAATGAACGCCCCAATTACGATACAGGTTGTTGGCAAGGATCAACTTTGAAACGACAGCTGAGAGAAAAACAGAAACGTCCGAGACGATTCCATACACAAGATCTTCAAACAAGCAATATGTGGTATGTCTTGCTTTAGGATTCGGACCCCAACATGCCTGGCTTCCTTTTGGTTTCCCTTTAAAGCCACTTAAAAAGGGGTACCCTGAACAAAGGCACATCCATGTAATCTTCATAGCCACATTCAAAAAGAAGTAGCCATGCATACCACGGGCGCATGGGCGTTTCGACCGCGAAAGAAAAGGCCATGGCACGGCAGGTATCCAGCAAAGGATCGGCGGGACTCGTCCAGAAGGATGTAGTCCCACACTTAGCTGATCTCATTGCAACATGATCCTCTGGTTGTCAAGGGCTGATTCCCCAATCATAATAGGGGCTGCGACTAATATGGGTGACAGCGCACCCACTAATTTACCATGTCCAGGCGGTCCACTCTTTTGGGTGGCCCCTGACAACCATGGGACATGAAGCAACTGGAAGTCTAAAGAGACAATTCCGTGGAATCCCTCGCTGTGGCTGTTGTTGGAGCAGCCATGAAGAATCCAATCTTTTGTGGTTCAATCTGCCCGTTCTTGCTGTCCAGCATTCAGCTGTGAAGAAGCCAAACAATGCAAAAGCAGGACCAGGCACCAACTCCCTATGCTGACTCTGTGACCCACTCACAAACCAAATGTGTTGAAAGTCTTGGATGGGATACTGGTGGCGCAACTTGTGGAAATATCCACTGAAGTGTCACAAAGGAAACAATTCAAGCAACGCGCTCCACAACGCGACAGCGTGTACTTTGCTTCAAAGGGAGAAAACCAAAAGACATATCAAGCCTTCATTTCAAGCCCGCAAGGCATATGCCCGCTCTGCTCGGATCGGTCAAACCGTCTTGCGTTCTGCCCGAGCTTCTAGTGTTGGACGGCGCAAGCTCTCCAATGAGCTGCAAGCCAGTCTCCTGCACATGAGTCACTTGCTCAAAACCTGGTACTTAAATGGTCTAACCAAATTTATGTAAGGAAATTCAAAGGCTGGATTCCCGCAACTATGTCTGGACTGCTCCGTACTAACCTTCATTTACCCAGGTTTTGATTGTTGCTCAAGAACCGAGACCATGGAGACATGGGCCACCTGCTCTAGTGACTCCAGGGTTGCTTGTACATACCCCTTCGGCATACCCTGGAGCGCAAATGAACCCAAAAGGCCTGCGGATGTTCATACCCCCGTCCCCAAAAGAATTATAGATATATATAGACTCCTGATAAAGTGGGTTGGAAACCAGGGAAGCAAGGGGGTATGAGCAAGGGGTACTTCCACCCTTAGACCCAAGAACCGAGGCAATGAGAAATGGGCCATGCACTAGTGACTCTAGACTCATCGGACATGGGTATGGCTCAAAATTAAAGAGCTGGGGTTTTGCGGGTTTTAGCCTTTGGTTCCATATACCAAGGTGACAATTTGGTACCACTTTTTTGAGCCACAGCCATATCAGGGGTTGGATTCCACTACAACATGTGTCTGTCACGCAGCCCCGCCTCACGCGGCTGCTCCCATGACTCGCCCCAGCGCTCGGGGCCTTCATCCTCCTGCCACTCCCAGCGACCTCCAGGCTGGAGCGCCCCGTACAAACCAGCGCAGAAATGGCTGTGGGTCAAACGTAGGTACCCTAATGGAATCTTAGTATGTGGAAACATGGAAAGTGGCTTCATTTTGGCCCACACCCAAATCGCAAGAAGCAGGACGTCCATATCTCAAGGCCCAAGGCTATGCTGCATTTAGGCCAAGTCTCTCTATCTGACGACAACATCTTAAATCAGCTGCTCCGGGGCCTGCGTCTTCCTGATGCTTCTTCTTTCTCTTCTTTCGCTTGCTCTTGGGCATCTCCTCTTCCACCTCAATCTCTACTTCTTCCTCTTCCTCCTCGTAACCTCGCAAGCATGTCCCAGTCCATCCTGTGCTCTTTGGCCGGTCCGGTGACTCAGGCTGCAACCCCACTCGCCTTCGCCTTCCCAGTCCTGGAGGCTCAACTCTCGTCTGAAGTGCAGAGAGCTTTCTGTCCTTCCAGTTCTTGTCCGACTTCTTCCACTCGCGCCAGTCGTCGTTCTCCCTTTTCCATACCTTCTCTTCCTTCCAGCTTCCCTTCCAGTCCTCGCAACGAAGGCGAAGGCGGAACATGCGCAGCGCGTCGCAACAAGCGGGGCTCCTTCCAATCATTCCAAGATTCCCACCTGCCCACAGGGCTGGAGGATGGCTTGGGGGGAGGGAAAACAAAAACAGGCCCACAAGCTGCTTCTGAAAGCTGCTCGCACCTGCCATCATCGTCATCTTCGTAGCGATGGGCCTGATGCTCGTCTATCCCGGCACGCGGACGGCCGGCTTCACTTCAAGCACACATGCCCCTATCTGCAACATGCGAAATACTCCCAGCGGCCTGCCATTGTCCTGCACATTCCGTGGACCATATGCAAATGAAAAAAGAAGAAAAAACCAGAAAAAAGACATGTGACATATCAAAACGATACTGCCCATGTCACTGAGTCTTCTCAGAGCTCCTCCGGATCTGTCTCCATTCCAGGAATCAACCTGGCAAAGCCCCTTCAGCCCCTATCAGACAGTTTTCACCTGTAGACATGGCTGTGGGTCCAAAATGGGTACCCAAAATGAACCCTGATAAATGGAACCAAAGACTAAAACCTGCGGGTTTTTGGTGGAATTAAATTTTGACCCATACTCACATCTGCAATAGAGTCGAAGCAACCTGCGTGTCCCATTCCTCTTCTTCCTCGTACTCCTGAACCTGGCGTACACTCCGTTGAATCACGCATCGAATGCGTCAGCTGCCTCCTCTCGAAGCCCTAAAATGGCTGTGGTTGTCAAACATAGGTACCCAAAAGGGAACCCTGGTAAAGGGAAACATGGACGAAAACCTGGTCTGTCCCCTGATGTCAATTTTGGCCCATACCCAAATGCCGTTGCAGAGTGTAGCATGAACCCTTACACAACATGAGGCGTGCGTAGACCTACATGTCGTACATGGTAACCAGGGGACTGCTAGAGACAGGACCCATTTCCTACCAACCGTCACTGGAAGTGCACTTGTCCAAAATCAAGAATCGGATCTCACGACATCGTGAGAAGTGCGCTACTCCCATTCTCCACACCTCGCTTATGTCTGCCAGCCGGCACGAGGCTACGTGTGGGGCAAAACATCACGCAGAGTTCAACTGTTCACTCAAAGTAGCCCAGCAATGGTGAGCAATGGTGAGAAACCCACGGTTTACGCGTATAATGCTCGGGCTTGCTCCCAAATGCTCCGAACACATCGGAAGCCTCCACCCGACGTGGTGGCGGTTGCGGGGCCTTCGGCTTCCTGCGAAGCGAAATCTGGACGTGCCAACATCCCCCAGCAAAAGGTCTAACTGTTTGCAGGTTAAACGGAAGTATGAGGGGAATCCAAAAAGTTAAAGTCTCAAGATCCAACCCAATAGCCAGTAGAGACATAAGTCGAGGCTTTCTCTTACTGGCAGTGCATCTTGCTTCTCCAGCTGCAGCTGAGCATCGGTGCCATGAATCCCCCCTTGACCTTGCCCAGCATATCTGGAGGTGGCGGCTGACTGGGTGGTCCTTGCCGGGAATCGTCTGTGCCAGCGGAAGATTCCGAGTTACACAGTTCAGCAGACATAAGCCAGGTGTTTCATACTCAAAACCGGCATTGAAATTGTCTAACCAGAACCATGTCAGGAGTTGCAAAGGCGGATTGCTTTGCACCCATTTGTGGCAAGGGGATGGATGAACCCCCTACTGCCCTCCAGTTGAAGTCTTGATTGTGCCTCAAGTGTTTCAGTGAGAACGGCACTTCCGACCTTTGCAACCCAGGCGCTGGGCTTCGGAGCCGGAGTGCTTGGCTTCCTTGGAACTTCAGCTTTTGGTGGTTTGGAGCCGAATCGGCGGTGAAATGGAGGGCTAAACCCCGACAAACCCTAAAGAACCAGGAAATGGTCCAAATCCAGATCCAAACCAATCCAAACCACCAATTGGGGGTTACCTGATTAGCTTCTTGCCACCTTTGCCAAGGTCAAATCCGCCAATTCTCAAGGAACGGGTTCGAAGCCAAGCGACGGAAGAGCCTTGGGCTTGCTCGGCAGCGCCTAGCAAAAGGGGAAATGAGCATGCCCCTCAAACATGAGCGAAAGGAGAAAAGGCTGCTTCTTTGGGGAGGAATCGAAACAAAGCAAATATTCTATGCCAGTGGGACATGCGCGATACGCTGTTTTGGGCTCTGAGTCAAAAGCAAACGTGTTCAGACAAGTTCATCATTCCCACCGCAGCTCCGCCTTGGGAGGATTCGGCGCCTGGGAACAAAGGAACAAAGCCCAGGCAGCGCTTTGTCTCTGCTTTTCATGGGGGCTGGGGGGAGGGAGGGGGTTGGGGGAGAGAGCCCCAATAAGCCCCAAATAAGGCTTTATTGGGGGCTTAACAAGGGCTTACTTGGGCTCTCTCCCCCTCCCCTCCCTCTCCCCCAGCCCCCATGAGCTTTGAAAGGCCAAAAATCCGCGAAATCCGCCTTCCAGTCCTCCTCCTCTTCCCTCTCCTAGCGGAATCAGACAAATTTGAGTCACAATCGACTCAAAACCTGGTACTACGGGTCGGAATGACCCCGATTTAAACCATCCCTTGTGGTTTCCTTTCAGGAGACACCCAGGTTCATTCCCTCATTCCCTGCTTTTCGCACCAGCAAGAAATGAATGGTAAGCCCAGAACCTTCCGTAAGGAATTTCTGGCAAAGGAATTGTACCTAACCTTCATCTACCGGGTTTTGATTGTGGCTCTTTTGAATTTGAGAGCACAGCTTCAAGAAATGCTGCTGACGGCTGCGAAATCCTCTTAGGCACCACCGTTCAAAACCCCGAACAATGGTTTCAACCATGGTTTCCAAGCGGTGTAGGACTTCGTCCATCCACAGTAGCTTTGCTTACGAAAGCAGTCAGCCTCCCATTCATCATACCTCCATTCCTTCCATTTCCATTCAGCCTGTCGCGCTGCAGCTGCCGTGCAAAGGATTGCGGAAAAGTGACACCATGCATTTGAGCCAACCCTGCAATGCTCGCAGGCCTTCTTGTCGTAGCTTTGCTTCCAATCCTTCCAATCATTCCAGTCCTGTCGTGGCAAACATCGCGAGGGGATCTGAGGAGAGACTCGCCGTTCCCCGCCTCTTGTGAATCCCATCGTTTGTCAGTCCATTCCTCCTGCCATTGCTCGACAAGCTGGCATTCCCCACAAAACGTGCGTGTGAGTGCACAATTCCCGAAGGCCGAGCCTTCCCACAACAGTTTGAGTCTGGAGGGGATAGACTTAAACCCGGGGGGTCTCCTTTTGGGGGAATGAACCACCCCTGGGTTTAAGTCTACCCTCTCGTCCAAAAGTGGGGTTCCCCGGAACCCAATAGCCAACCGAGCAAACGCCGCAACTCGCCTGCTTCTCCTCCGAGAACTGAGTGATGGGTTTCGGCAGGCCCTGAACAGGAATGCAATACACAGCATGGGACCACTCAACGTCAGCAAAACACGTCTGCAACCAGACACGCACCTGCAGGCTACCAAATAGAATGGAAAAAGACGGATGCAAAAGCTCTTTGCACGTGAGTGCACAAGCAGGCACTGCGCAAGGCCAAACGTGACAGAAAGACATGAAGCCGGGGTGATCCAACGTGGCTTTTCTGGGACATGACATGCGCAGGCATAAATCATGGCCGATCATCATGGAGCAAAATGAGGCGTCCAGGTCTATCCAAATGGAGCGGTCTGCCAGGAGCCCCTTGTCAGGTTCCATGTTAATTGGTGGGCGGGTAGCTCTCTCCTCTCGCCTCTCACGCACACGCGGCACAGCCAGCCTGGCTGCCGGGTTTCCAGCCAGCCTTTTGCAGGGCAGACATCGCCGCCTCGAAATCAATGTGGACTGATTGTACTATCGTGCGGGCCTCGAACAGAATCCAACACTCTGAAGCCTGCGTCCACTATTTGACTTGCTTTATTCGCACAGGCTCAAAGATTGGGGTCCGGGGTCCGCAATATTGCAGGTTTTGAATGTCCATCCCCCTTTTCAAACGTCATCAAGATAGTTCTCAGCCTCGGCCACAGCATTTGGAGCAGGCATGGAAGAAGGTGCCTTCGCAGGAGGTGCAGCAGAATGCGCTTGATCCCCGTGTGGGTTGAATTTGCTGCAGCTTTCGATGTCTGCATATATATATATATATATATATATATATATATACATGTGTATATATATATATATGGTGTGGCTCAAAATTAAACGTGCAGGGTTACGCAGGTTTCAGTCTTTGCTTCCACTTGCCCAGGTGCCATTCTGGTACATTTTGTTGAGCCGCGGCCAATATCCGCCGACATTGTTCGGCGTGTCGGATACCTAAGAGAGGATAGAGGATAACCCCGCCCCCCCAGCCCCTCCCTGAAACACATCAATTACACAGGGCTTCGGTTCCCCCCCCACGTACCGCGCGGCGATTTGATGACGTTCCACTAAGCGTAGTCTTCGGGGAGCCGGTCGCAAAACAGGGGTCCCAGGCTCGATTCCCCCTGCCGGCTTTTTGCTGGTTTGGGTTTCCTGCTTGCTTTTGCAGAAAATCTGGAAAACTCTGTGTTTTTGGATGTCCTCTTTGCGAAAACGCTGGAAAAACCGTGTGTGTTTGTGGAAAATACTGGGGAGCCAAGGGGAAATGCAAGGAAGTGCAAGGAAAAATCTGGAAAAACTCTGTGTTTTTGGACACCTCTTTGCGAAAACGCTGGAAAAACAATGTTTTTTTTTGCGGGAAATACTGGGGAGCAAAGGGGAAATGCAAGGAAGTGCAAGGAAATGAGGGGAGAAAATAGGAAGTCCACATGTCAGGAAAGCAACCGGAAATGAAAGGGAGACAAAGGGGAACTGAAAGGGACATGACAGGGACAGAAATGATGACGAGGGGAGTGCAGGGGGAATGACAGGGAAACAAAGCACAATGAAACCAATCGGCACGACGGGAGATGTAGGGAGATGACTCGCAACGAAGGAACGGGACATACATGGAAAATGACACGGACATACCGATAAAATGTCAGAAACATGAAGGGGGAGTTGAAAGGAATGGAAGGGACATGACCAGGACATCACGCGAAACGTGAAAAGGACATGAAGGGGAAATCAAGGGCAAAGCCAGTAGTGAGATGACAGTTCGGGGTCATGAAGGGGCAGTGCCGGGATATAGAGAGAGAGAGAGAGAAGAGAGAGAGAGAGAGAAGAGAGAGAGAGAGAGAGAGAGAAGAGAGAGAGAGAGAGAGAGAAGAGAGAGAGAGAGAGAGAGAGAGAGAGAGACACAGAGAGCGAGAAAGAGAGACAGAGCGAGACAGAGACAGAGTCAGAGAAAGAGACAGAGACAGACAGAGAGAGAGAGAGAGAGAAAGAGCGAGACAGAGAAAGAGAGACACAGAAAGACAGAGAGAGAGAGAGAGAGAGAGACAAAGAGAAAGAGCTCTGTAGAGGGGCGTGGACAGGAAGGAGACAGGCAGACAGAAAGAGACAGAGAAACAGAGAGAGAGAGAGAGACAGAGAGAGACAGAGAGAGCGAGATTCAGGAGGGAGAGGCTTGGGGGGAATGGGGAGGATGGGGAGCAAAGGGAGGGACAGAGGACGACAGAACACACGAGGGAGACAAGGGAGAGAGGAAGAAGGAGAAAAGGGAGAGGACAATGTCGGCAGACTGAGCCGGAGGCTCTAAAGTATATATATATATATATTATATATATATGGCACATCATACACAGACAATATCTCCTCAGTTGATCTGCAAAAAGACTTCCACACCCATCCCTCTCCATGTCTCTTCCCCAAACCCTTTCAGACTTGATTTGTCTTCGTGCCGAAGGGGCAATAAAGAAGCTGCCCTCCAAAACATGGGTTGTCAAAAATGGGTACCCGTTTTGGGCCACGTGGGGCCCGCCTTGGAAAGCGGTCCGACAAGGGGTCCATATTTTGGACCCAACCGCGAGTGGCCTGCCCTCCAAAAGGCGGCGTGGGCATTCCTGCTTTGCTCTGCAACTCCTGCCGCAGGGAAAACCCACTCAGCTTCTGCCATCAATCATCACCAAAACCGGGGTCTTCCTTTGTGGTCGGGACCCAGAATGCTTCAAGAATGCAAAAGGCGAAGGCACGGGTACATTTGGACATGGGTCAAAATCCACATCGTACCGTGAACATCCCAATCCAACCACTAAAACAGGAAGCCTAACATGGGTGGTGAATTCACCGACATCCCAACCAAAATGGGATCCCAAAACGGTTTTCAACCACCACAGCCATTTAAGGGCGTTGTCCCACCTACAGCGGTGCTGCTTGCGGACACTCCACGGCCTTTTCGCTCGCACCTCACGCGCAACGCGTCCGGTCCTTGAAGGCACTCTCTCCCAAGCCACCATCCTGAAGGCGCCGGGTCATGGGCGTCTCTGCTTTAGACTTGGTATCCCCTTGGTGCGTAGCAGGGAAACCAAAAGGAAAACCACGATTTGGGGGGGGGGGGGGTCCCTTAAAAAATATATATATACATGAAATAATGTTGATTCCTCCAGGAGTCGCCCGCTCTTCGGAACTCCTGCACCCCCTTGGCTCCCGCCTTCGCTTCCGAGCTGTGCCAACCATCCGAAGCACCATCTTCAGGATATTCGTCCTGCGTGTCACAAAAGGGCTGTACTAAGATGTCTTGAAGCTTGACCTTAAACTGTGAAACACTCTGGAACACAGTAACGGGTCATGGCGAAAAGCTATTCAATGAAGCAATCCAAGCGAGATTCGTCCGCAATCAGCTTGTAAAAACCGCCAACTTGCCATCACGAGCCGCAGAACTCTGTCCACAGCACTCCTCTTCCCAAAGCCCTGTCCTGCTCCGAAAAGTTGGCTTTGCCCTTTCCAGCTGCCTTGCCTCTTCCGGCAAAAGCTGCTGGAACGCCCGGTGCATCCTGCGTTGGGGCCAGTTGCTCATGAGATAAGTTGATGGCTCGACAGAATGCAGCCATCGAAGAGTTCTTAAAAGAGCGTGCCACGTTTGCCCCAAGCAGTATCCCTAGTATCTGCATGGATGGATGGATGGATGGATGGATGGATGGATGGATGGATGGATGGATGGATGGATGGATGGATGGATGGATGGATGGATGGATGGATGGATGGATGAATGGATGGATGGATTGATGGATTGGACGGATGCTTGGATGGACGGACGGACGGATGGATGGATGGATGGATGGACGGATGCGTGGATGGATGGACGGACGGACGGACGGATGGACGGATGGATGGATGGATGCTCGCATGCATGGATGGATGGATGCATGGATGCATGGAGGCATGGATGCATGGACGGACGGATGGACGGACGGCCGGACGGACGGATGCATGGATGGATGGATGGATGGATGGATGTCTTGTTTGAAATGCTGGGTTTGGGAAACGACGCACTCTAGTCAAGCCCGCCACCGGCACCAAGGCAACGATAACCCAAGGCTGAACGGACAGCGCGACTCTCTGCTCAAAAAGCAAAGACGCCACCAAGGCACTTCCGACTGTGATCGCTTGCAGCAGTGAGCCAAGCCCACACATCATTGAGAGTGCCGTTTGTCCGTTGCCTTCCATCCACCATTTGACCACCAAACGCTAAAGAGGCACCCGATGCACAGTGTAAGCTGGAAAGCAGGACCAATACAACCAAGCAACTTGCCAAGATGAAGTCACATATCCTACTGTGATTTACGGTAAACAAACACCTCAAGACACGAAGTCAGCGGCTCCCCGGCTCGCCCGTCGCCTCAGAGTCTAGCTTTCCCCCCTTGCCCTTGCCGATGAGAGCTGGCCGAGAAGACTCCTGGATGCAGCAATGCGCGCAGCAAAAACTTGCTGGTGCTCAGCAGGGGAGGAGGGAATGACCCCGAACGAAAACCATCCCCTGTGAGTTCCTTTAAAAAATCCCCAGGTGCATTCCCTCATTCCCTGCTGAGCACAAGCAAGCTTTCTTTCCGCAAATCTCGCGCCACCCGCCCAACAGCTTTGGGGTCGACACGTTTTACAACAGCTTCTCAACTGTCCGCCTCGTCGAGAGCAAACTTGCCCTTGAAGGCTTTCGGAAACTGCGTCACCTGCAAAAGTGTGCAACATCCGCAAAAACTGGCAAGGCTAGGAGACGCGCAACTGTCCATTATGCCAGCATCTTGAGAGCACCCCACGAGCTTGGCTTGCAGACTAGGGTGTGCAGGCCGCTGAATCTTGAGGCAGGCACAGAAAATGGTGAACATTGTGGGCTGGCTGCAGGAAGTATACTTGCAATGCGGGGCCACAGCCAATCTGGAAGTCCCACAAATGAGAAATAGTCAAAAAAAATGATTTGACATGCTGTCCCTGCGACATGAGAAGACAATGAGTCAGTCCCCTTTAGTGTTGGTGTGGAACTTGGTTCCAGGGGTGCTTGTACATACCCCTTTTACATACCCCTTGGACAAATGAACCCAAAAGGCCTGCTGATGTTCATACCCATCCCCCAAAAGGGGTATATACCCCTTTTCAAGTGGTTTGGAAACCACGGAGGGTATGAACAAGGGGTATGTACTTCCACCCTTAGATTGGTGAGTCGCCCATTGGCCCATGTCCCTCCCAACCTCAAGTCTCCAACTCCGTTACAGGACCCCTCTGGTCGGACTAAGAACAGAAATGTGCCGATGTTTGGCGGAGAAGGCTCCGTGTCCTGTTGTTCTGCTGACATATTCTCTGACAACTTTTGGCAAGCAGCTTTGCATTTCATGGCGGTCAAGCATTTCAAGTACTTGGTGGCTCTGGTTTCTTTCATTCGGCCAGCCCAAGCCCATACGAAGGATTCAAGATGTGGGATGAATATTTGGAGAAATCGCAAGGAACCCATGTGTCTTCTCTGCTTTCTTCAGGCAATGCAGGTCCCCAAGTATTGAAGAGCTCAAGCAACGCACAGATCAACCCACCTCCATGATTCATCATTGTCCTCTTGCTTTGTTGTAGATGAGACAATGATGCTCCCGATTCACTTCACGTGTTCTGAAGATAAGAAGCAATTAAGGAACCTAACAAGCATTCAAATCACAACTTACACAAATACTGCCATAGAGGCAAATGCATGCATGCCTATGCACGCAAGCAAACACATGCACAGGCACACCAGGCACACAAGCACACACGCCGGCGCACCCACCCACCCCAACAAACAAACAGCCAACCAGCCAGCCAGCCAGCCAGCAAGCAAGCAAGCAAGCAAGCAAGCAAGCAAGCAAGCAAACAACAAACAAACAAACAAACAAACAAAAAAACAAAACCAAACAAACAAACAAGCAAACTCACAAGCAAACAAACGCAAAGGCATACAAACACGCAAACCTACGAACACACACACACACACAAACACACAACATGCATGCATGCATGCGCGCACACACACACACACACCAAAAAGGAACACAAAATACAACTTGCACGTTTTGGTGCTCCCTACCCGCGCGTCGCCTGCTCTGAGTCTGGCCGTTGCTTGCCAAACTTGCCTTTTCCGAAGCCATAGCCCCTGTGATCGGCAGGCGCATCCTGGCGAAGATCAACCCTATGCAAAAACGATATGAGCAAAAGCTCCCAAGATTCCATCACACTGTGAGACATAGTGACATACAGGAGAAACGCCCCCACGCATCCTCTCTGCAGCATTGCTGTCTCGTTGCCGCCTGCTCCGAGTCTTCGGACTGCGCGACAGGCTTGCCTTTGCCAAGAACGTAGGCACGCCCAGCATCCTGACATCACCATGTCAAAGTTTAATTCTTCTAGATTGCAGTTGCTCCCTTCCTGCTGCCCCAACATGCTCATGCCAACATCTCGTGTCTGAGCAGAATATCACTCAAACCCCCCTGGGCACCTGGTGGGAGAAGCCTGTCTGTGCAGACTTGCCCTTTCCAGCAAAGCCGAATGCGGCTTGCCCCGCCGACTCATCCTGCACAGAATCTCCCAGACACTCGCCCACTCAGAAGCCAACACACAAGTTGATCTCCACTCACCAAAGCCGCTTCACCCGAATCCAAGAAAAGGGATCTTTCACGACTCCAAAGATTCCAACAATCACACATGCACAACGCCTCCTCATGCTGCAATGCTACTCCCTGCTTCTCTCTGCTTCTCTCTGCTTCTCCCTGCTTCTCCCTGCTTCTCCCTGCTTCTCCCTGCTTCTCCCTGCCCGTCGCCTGCTCTGAGTCTGGCCGTTGCTTGCCAAACTTGCCTTTTCCGAAGCCATAGCCCCTGTGATCGGCAGGCGCATCCTGGCGAAGATCAACCCTATGCAAAAACGATATGAGCAAAAGCTCCCAAGATTCCATCACACTGTGAGACATAGTGACATACAGGAGAAACGCCCCCACGCATCCTCTCTGCAGCATTGCTGTCTCGTTGCCGCCTGCTCCGAGTCTTCGGACTGCGCGACAGGCTTGCCTTTGCCAAGAACGTAGGCACGCCCAGCATCCTGACATCACCACGTCAAAGTTTAATTCTTCTAGATTGCAGTTGCTCCCTTCCTGCTGCCCCAACATGCTCATGCCAACATCTCGTGTCTGAGCAGAATATCACTCAAACACCCCTTGGCACCTGGTGGGAGAAGCCTGTCTGTGCAGGCTTGCCCTTTCCAGCAAAGCCGAATGCGGCTTGCCCCGCCGACTCATCCTGCACAGAATCTCCCAGACACTCGCCCACTCAGAAGCCAACACACAAGTTGATCTCCACTCACCAAAGCCGCTTCACCCGAATCCAAGAAAAGGGATCTTTCACGACTCCAATTGTTCCAACAATCACACATGCACAACGCTTCCTCATGCTGCAATGCTACTCCCTGCTTCTCTCTGCTTCTCCCTGATTCTCTCTGCTTCTCCCCTGCTTCCCCCTGCCCGTCGCCTGCTCTGAGTCTGGCCGTTGCTTGCCAAACTTGCCTTTTCCGAAGCCATACCCCCTGTGATCGGCAGGCGCATCCTGGCGAAGATCAACCCTATGCAAAAACGATATGAGCAAAAGCTCCCACGATTCCATCACACTGTGAGACATAGTGACATACAGGAGAAACGCCCCCGCACATCCTCTCTGCAGCATTGTTATCGCGTTGCCGGCCTGCTCCGAGTCTTCGGACTGCGCGACAGGCTTGCCTTTGCCAAGAACGTCGGCACGCCCAGCATCCTGACCCAAGTCAAAGTCTAATTCTTCTGCATTGCGGTTGCTCCTTCCCTGCTGCCCCAACATGCTCATGCCGACATCTCATGTGTCTGAGCAGAATATCACTCAAACCCCCCTTGGCACCTGGTGGGAGAAGCCCGTCTGTGCAGACTTGCCCTTTCCAGCAAAGCCGAATGCGGCTTGCCCCGCCGACTCATCCTGCACAGAATCTCCCAGAAACTCGTCCACTCAGAAGCCAACACACAAGTTGATCTCCACTCACCAAAGCCGATTGACCCGAATCCGAGCAGGGGAAAAACTAGCCAAAAAGGGCTCTTTCACAACTCCAAATCTTCCAACAATCACACATGCACAACGCCTTCTCATGCTGCAATGCTACATCCCTGGTTCTCCCGGCTTCTCCCTTCCCGTCGCCTGCTCTGAGTCTGGCCGTTGCTTGCCAAACTTACCTTTTCCGAAGCCATAGCCCCTGTGATCGGCAGGCGCATCCTGGCGAAGATCAACCCTATGCAAAAACGATATGAGCAAAAGCTCCCAAGATTCCATCACACTGTGAGACATAGTGACATACAGGAGAAACGCCCCCACACATGCTCTCTGCAGCATTGCTGTCTCGTTGCCGCCTGCTCCGAGTCTTCGGACTGCGCGACAGGCTTGCCTTTGCCAAGAACGTAGGCACGCCCAGCATCCTGACATCACCACGTCAAAGTTTAATTCTTCTAGATTGCAGTTGCTCCCTTCCTGCTGCCCCAACATGCTCATGCCGACATCTCATGTGTAAAAGCAGAATATCACTCAAACCCCCCATGGCACCTGGTGGGAGAAGCCCGTCTGTGCAGATCCCAGAAACTCGTCCACTCAGAAGCCAACACACAAGTTAATCTCCACTCACCAAAGCCGATTGACCCGAATCCGAGCAGGATAAAAAACTAGCCAAAAAGAGCTCTTCACGACTCCAAATGTTCCAACAATCACACATGCACAACGCCTCCTGATGCTGCAATGCTACATCCCTGGTTCTCCCGGCTTCTCCCTTCCCGTCGCCTGCTCTGAGTCTGGCCGTTGCTTGCCAAACTTGCCTTTTCCGAAGCCATAGCCCCTGTGATCGGCAGGCGCATCCTGGCGAAGATCAACCCTATGCAAAAACGATATGAGCAAAAGCTCCCAAGATTCCATCACACCGTGAGACATAGTGATACACAGGAGAAACGCCCCCACACACATCCTCTCTGCAGCATTGCTGTTTCGGTGCCGGCCTGCTCCGAGTCTTCGGACTGCGCGACAGGCTTGCCTTTGCCAAGAACGTAGGCACGCGCAGCATCCTGACCCAAGTCAAAGTCTAATTCTTCTGCATTGCGGTTGCTCCTTCCCTGCTGCCCCAACATGCTCATGCCGACATCTCATGTGTCTGAGCAGAATATCACTCAAACCCCCCTTGGCACCTGGTGGGAGAAGCCCGTCTGTGCAGACTTGCCCTTTCCAGCAAAGCCGAATGCGGCTTGCCCCGCCGACTCATCCTGCACAGAATCTCCCAGAAACTCGTCCACTCAGAAGCCAACACACAAGTTGATCTCCACTCACCAAAGCCGCTTCACCCGAATCCAAGTGGGAAAAACTAGCAAAAATGGGCCTTGCACGTCTCCAAAGATTCCAACAATCACACATGCACAACGCCTCCTCATGCTGCAATGTTACATCCCTGCTTCTCCCTGCTTCTCCCTGCTTCTCCCTGCTTCTCCCTGCTTCTCCCTGCTTCTCCCTGCTTCTCCCTGCTTCTCCCTGCTTCTCCCTGCTTCTCCCTGCCCGTCGCCTGCTCTGAGTCTGGCCGTTGCTTGCCAAACTTGCCTTTCCCGAAGCCATAGCCCTTCTGATCGGCAGGCGCATCCTGGCGAAGATCAACGCTCTGGAAAACGATATGGGCAAAAGCTCCGAAGTCTCTCTCTCTGTCTCCCTCCCTCTCTCTCTCTTTCTCTCTCTCTCTCTCTCTCTCTCTCTCTCTCTGTCACTGTTCTGCGTCGCTCAGTGAGACATAGTGATATACAGGAGCAGCATATCTGTCTCGTTGCCGCCTGCTCTGAGGCTTCGGACTGCGTGATCGGCTTGCCTTTGCCGAAACCAGCATCCTGAGGTCACCAAGTCTTCTGCATTGCGATTGCTCCTTCCCTGCTGGTTCAATATGCTCATGCTCAAACCCCCCTTGGCACCTGGTGGGAGAAGCCCGTGTGCACAGACTTGCCCTTTCCGGCAAAGCCGATTCCGGCTTGGCCAGCCGACGCATCCTGCATGGAAACTCCCAGAAACTCGCCCACTCAGAAGCCAACACACAAGTTGATCTCCACTCACCAAAGCCGGTTGACCCGAATCCAAGCGGGGGAAAAACTAGCGACAAAGAGCCCTGCAAGCTCTTGCCAACATAGCCCTTCAACATCTGTGACTGTGGCGCAAAAAATGCTCGCACCTGTGCTACGATCCTCGTGAAGAGCCATGCCAGCAACCCTCCACTTCTCTCTGTACTGCCCGTCGCCTGCTCTGAGTCTGGCCGTTGCTTGCCAAACTTGCCTTTCCCGAAGCTATAGGCCCTCTGCTCTGATGCACCCTGGCAAGCAGCCACCGGTGAACGGTCAACCACCATTCAAGCCGGCACCCTCATCATTGGCAACAGCCGCAACGACTTTTCCGGCATGACACCACCTAGAATGAGGGAGAAACTGCACGAATGTTCAAGCCTTTGCGGCGGGGCATGGGTCTTGGAAGGCTGCCTCTTGCCTCGGGTGGGTTTTAAAGCAGAGTAAAACCAGGCCCTCTCACATTTGGCCATGGGTCAAAATTCCGTACCCCCAGTGAACATCCCAATCCCCACTAAAATAGACTAAAATGGGTGGTGCACCTACCCCAAAACGGTTTTGACCCACGGCCATTTGAAAACATGTCGATGGGATTCAATGATACAATCCCCTCCAGCACACAATCTCTTTTGCTGGCATCTTTGTAAACACGGCTGGCTTCGGTAAGAATAAGTACGTGGAACATATTGAGCTTGCACTGCCTCAAATCCTTTTTTGAATAAGCGCTGGCAATGAGCGCTGAAGGGAATTTAGATGAGTAGTAGTTATTCTTCCCTTTAATTTTGCATTGACGTATCAAACCCCGCAAAACCTTCTGCGAAGCTTTCGCGGTGAGAAGGGTACCTTCCGCAAGCATGTTTCTATATAATGTTTATATAAGTGCTTCCGCGGGCCTTCCGCAGGCAAGTTGCTTCTGCAAATTGAGGAAGGCAGCTTCCGCGAGGGAATTCGTGTGCACAGTTTGCCAGTAAACGTGCTTGGCGACAACAACCCAAACGAATTCAAACTACTATGCACAAACCAAATGTGCCCCTTCGCGAGCTTCCGTGAGGAAAAAGAAAACAATGAAAAACACACACACACACACACACACACACGCCACTCATATTTGTCTCCCCGCCTGCTCCAACTCTTCGGGCTGCGGCGGCTTGCCTTTGCCGAAGCCATCCTCCGGGCCACGCAGCAGAACACGGGCCACCGATTTGGCCGTGGTCGTCAAAACCCATGGGATTCCGTTTTGGGGTTTTCGGTGCAGTCGGAGGACGTCAAAATTTGAGCGGCAGCATTTGGTTGGATCTATTGTGTGGATTGAATCGGATGTTCATTGGGGGTACGAAACTTGGCTTTTCCCCCATAACCATTTCTCAAAGGGTATCAAATACATTGGACATAACGTTCGCCCCATGGGCCAGCAACTCGGGGGAAAAGAAAAAAAAGCAACGCGCAAAGCAACGCAAAGCAATACCAAACAATACGCTGGGCTGTCCGTTTTCAGATCCCCCGCTAAAAGTTGTACTTTTAGCAAGTTAAATGGAAATGCCCACTAAACACTAACAAGCAAAAAAACCTAAGGGGATGACTAGGAACCGCCAAAAATCCAACCAACACTAAGCATTCAGGAACAAACGTGAGGGACATTCAATCAAATCTGACCCTACGTTGGTTTGACAGTTTCCTCAATTATTGCTTTTGTCGGCATGCAGAACCGGTAAACAAAAACAACACTGGAGCAGAAAACGCACCTGGCGCAAAAACATCCTCATAAGTGCAGAAAAGACCGAACTATTGCGAAGCAACCTCACAAACGGGAATTGCCCTGTTTACTAAAGCTGTTAGCTCTAGTCATTGTTCAGTGACCCTGCTGTTTCATCCCTAGGCGCCTGTTGGGAGAAGCCAGCAGTCTGCGCAAACTGGCCCTTTCCGGGAAGCCCGAATGCAGCTTGACCAGCCGACTCGCCCTGCACAGCAGACACTCTCAGCAACTGCTGCAAACCTAATACTTCCACATACACAACGACAACGGCTAACGGCTAACAGGACCGCAATCCATCAATGCAAGCTGCGATCGTGGTGAATCCCCATGCCATCAACCCTCCGCTTCTCTCTGCGTTGCTCGTCGCCTGCTCTGGGACTGGCGACTGCTTGCCAAACTTGCCCTTGCCGAAGGCATAGGCCCTTTGCTCTGCCGCTGCACCCTGGCAAGCAGCCACCAACGGTCAACCAAAAATATGTCATTTCAAGCCGGTACATCCTCATCACTGGCAACAGCCACCATGTCTATTCCAGCATGACACCACCTTACATGCAAGAGAAACTGCGTGAGAGTTACAACTTCTTTGCTCCATGCTGCGGTCTAGCGCCCCTTGCAAAGCGTCTGACAGCTCACTTTGGTTGGTCTTTCAGCAGAGAAAATCAGGCCCTCTTTGGAGACATGTATGTCGATGCGATACAATGAAATACAAACCCCTCCAGCACACAATCTCGGTTGCTGGCATCTTTGTAGCATACTACTAAGCTTGAATCTGCCACAAAACCCTTCATCTGAATCGGGGGAGTTTATATGTTGTTTCACCGGCGCCTGCTCCAACTGTTCGGGTTGCGCCGCAGGCTTGCCTTTGCCAAAGCCGTAGGCATCCTTAGGGCACGGAGACCGGAAAAGTCATGTCTTTGATGCTGATCTCACGTCACTAGGTTACTAAGCAGAACAACGTACAGCTGTCTTATCCCTAGGCGCCTGTTGGGAGAAGCCAGCAGTCGGCGCAAACTGGCCCTTTCCGGGAAGCCCGAATGCAGCTTGACCAGCAGACTCGCCCTGCACAGCAGACACTCTCAGCAACTGCTGCAAACCTAATACTTCCACATGCACAACGACAACGGCTAACAGGACCGCAATCCATCAATGCAAGCTTGCGATCGTGGTGAATCCCCATGCCATCAACCCTCCGCTTCTCTCTGCGTTGCTCGTCGCCTGCTCTGGGATTGGCGACTGCTTGCCAAACTTGCCCTTGCCGAAGGCATAGGCCCTTTGCTCTGCAGCTGCACCCTGGCAAGCAGCCACCAACGGTCAACCAAAATGAAGTCATTTCAACCCGGTCATCCTCACCACTGGCAACAGCCACCATGTCCATTCCTCACAACTCACTTGGGTTGGTCCTTTAGCAGAGAAAAATCAGGCCCTCTTTGGAGACATGTATGTCGATGGGATATAATGAAATACAAACCCCTCCAGCACACAATCTCGCTTGCTGGCATCTTTGTAGCATACTACTAAGTTTGAATCTGCCACAAAACCCTTCATCTGAATCGGGGAAGTTTATATGTTTCACCGGCGCCTGCTCCAACTGTTCGGGTTGCGCCGCAGGCTTGCCTTTGCCAAAGCCGTAGGCATCCTTAGGGCACGGAGACCGGAAAAGTCATGTCTTCTTTGATGCTGATCTCATGTCACTAGGTTACTAAGCAGAACAACGTACAGCTGTCTTATCCCTAGGCGCCTGTTGGGAGAAGCCAGCAGTCGGCGCAAACTGGCCCTTTCCGGGAAGCCCGAATGCAGCTTGACCAGCAGACTCGCCCTGGCTGCGTCAGGTACTGGATTCCAGAGTTGTGTCGTGTATGGAGCGTGGTTGAATCTCCTCTTGGAATAGACACGTGTCAGTTGGGCACAATGAATCTCAAGGTGCCTGCCTGCATCCTACAGTATGTGTTGCATTCTCTGCGCGATATTCACACTAGACTTACACTGGCCGCTATTTCACAGTTTTCGATGTCAGCCCCAGTTTTCACCTATGGGAATAGTACGGCACGGAGACCGGAAAAGTCATGTCTTTGATACTGATCTCATGTCACTAGGTTACTGAGCAGAACAACGTACAGCTGTCTTATCCCTAGGCGCCTGGTGGGAGAAGCCAGCAGTCGGCGCAAACTGGCCCTTTCCGGGAAGCCCGAATGCAGCTTGACCAGCAGACTCGCCCTGGCTGCGTCAGGTACTGGATTCCAGAGTTGTGTCGTGTATGGAGCGTGGTTGAATCTCCTCTTGGAATAGACACGTGTCAGTTGGGCACAATGAATCTCAAGGTGCCTGCCTGCGTCCTACAGTATGTGTTGCATTCTCTGCGCGATATTCACACTAGACTTACACTGGCCGCTATTTCACAGTTTTCGATGTCAGCCCCAGTTTTCACCTCTGGGAGTAATACGGCACGGAGACCGGAAAAGTCATGTCTTTCATACTCATGTCACTAGGTTACTGAGCAGAACAACGTACAGCTGTCTTATCCCTAGGCGCCTGTTGGGAGAAGCCAGCAGTCGGCGCAAACTGGCCCTTTCCGGGAAGCCCGAATGCAGCTTGACCAGCAGACTCGCCCTGGCTGCGTCAGGTGCTGGATTCCAGAGTTGTGTCGTGTATGGAGCGTGGTTGAATCTCCTCTTGGAATAGACACGTGTCAGTTGGGCGCAATGAATCTCAAGGTGCCTGCCTGCATCCTACAGGATGTGTTGCATTCTCTGCGCGATATTCACACTAGACTTACACTGGCCGCTATTTCACCGTTTGCCAAGTCAGCCCCAGCTTTCACCTCTGGAAGTAATACGGCACGGAGACCGGAAAAGTCATGTCTTTCATACTCATGTCACTAGGTTACTGAGCAGAACAACGTACAGCTGTCTTATCCCTAGGCGCCTGTTGGGAGAAGCCAGCAGTCGGCGCAAACTGGCCCTTTCCGGGAAGCCCGAATGCAGCTTGACCAGCAGACTCGCCCTGGCTGCGTCAGGTACTGGATTCCAGAGTTGAGTCGTGTATGGAGCGTGGGTTGAATCTCCTCTTGGAATAGACACGTGTCAGTTGGGCACAATGAGTCTCAAGGTGCCTGCCTGCATCCTACAGTATGTGTTGCATTCTCTGTGCGATATTCACACTAGACTTACACTGGCCGCAATTTCACAGTATTGGATGTCAGCCCCAGTTTTCACGTCTGGGAGTAATACGGCACGGAGACCGGAAAAGTCATGTCTTTCATGCTCATGTCACTAGGTTACTGAGCAGAACAACGTACAGCTGTCTTATCCCTAGGCGCCTGTTGGGAGAAGCCAGCAGTCGGCGCAAACTGGCCCTTTCCGGGAAGCCCGAATGCAGCTTGGCCAGCAGACTCGCCCTGGCTGCGTCAGGTACTGGATTCTAGAGTTGTGTCGTGTATGGAGCGTGGTTGAATCTCCTCTTGGAATAGACACGTGTCAGTTAGGCACAATGAATCTCAAGGTGCCTGCCTGCATCCTACAGTATGTGTTGCATTCTCTGCGCGATATTCACACTAGACTTACACTGGCCGCTATTTCACCGTTTGCCAAGTCAGCCCCAGCTTTCACCTCTGGAAGAAATACGGCACGGAGACCGGAAAGGTCATGTCTTTCATACTCATGTCACTAGGTTACTGAGCAGAACAACGTACAGCTGTCTTATCCCTAGGCGCCTGGTGGGAGAAGCCAGCAGTCGGCGCAAACTGGCCCTTTCCGGGAAGCCCGAATGCAGCTTGACCAGCAGACTCGCCCTGGCTGCGTCAGGTACTGGATTCCAGAGTTGTGTCGTGTATGGAGCGTGGTTGAATCTCCTCTTGGAATAGACACGTGTCAGTTGGGCACAATGAGTCTCAAGGTGCCTGCCTGCATCCTACAGTATGTGTTGCAATCTCTGCGCGATATTCACACTAGACTTACACTGGCCGCTATTTCACCGTTTGCCAAGTCAGCCCCAGCTTTCACCTCTGGGAGTAATACGGCACGGAGACCGGAAAAGTCATGTCTTTGATACTGATCTCATGTCACTAGGTTACTGAGCAGAACAACGTACAGCTGTCTTATCCCTAGGCGCCTGGTGGGAGAAGCCAGCAGTCGGCGCAAACTGGCCCTTTCCGGGAAGCCCGAATGCAGCTTGACCAGCAGACTCGCCCTGGCTGCGTCAAGTACTGGATTCCAGAGTTGTGTCGTGTATGGAGCGTGGTTGAATCTCCTCTTGGAATAGACACGTGTCAGTTGGGCACAATGAATCTCAAGGTGCCTGCCTGCATCCTACGTATGTGTTGCATTCTCTGCACTAGACTTACACTGGCCGCTATTTCACCGATTGCCAAGTCAGCCCCAGTTTTCACCTCTGGGAGTAATACGGCACGGAGACCGGAAAAGTCATGTCTTTCATACTCATGTCACTAGGTTACTGAGCAGAAGTACAGCTGTCTTATCCCTAGGCGCCTGTTGGGAGAAGCCAGCAGTCGGCGCAAACTGGCCCTTTCCGGAAAGCCCGAATGCAGCTTGACCAGCAGACTCGCCCTGGCTGCGTCAGGTACTGGATTCCAGAGTTGTGTCGTGTATGGAGCGTGGTTGAATCTCCTCTTGGAATAGACACGTGTCAGTTGGGCACAATGAATCTCAAGGTGCCTGCCTGCATCCTACAGTATGTGTTGCATTCTCTGCGCGATATTCACACTAGACTTACACTGGCCGCTATTTCACAGTTTTCGATGTCAGCCCCAGTTTTCACCTCTGGGAGTAATACGGCACGGAGACCGGAAAAGTCATGTCTTTCATACTCGTGTCACTAGGTTACTGAGCAGAACAACGTACAGCTGTCATATCCCTAGGCGCCTGTTGGGAGAAGCCAGCAGTTGGCGTAAACTGGCCCTCGCCCTGGCTGCGTCAGGTACTGGATTCCAGAGTTGTGTCGTGTATGGAGCGTGGTTGAATCTCCTCTTGGAATAGACACGTGTCAGTTGGGCACAATGAATCTCAAGGTGCCTGCCTGCATCCTACAGTATGTGTTGCATTCTCTGCGCGATATTCACACTAGACTTGCACTGGCCGCTATTTCACCGTTTGCCAAGTCAGCCCCAACTTCTGACTTTGACAACCTCCGGGAATACTCACAATGGTAGACGAGTGTGGGGGTCTGAACGATAGCTGGTAAAACGAGTCATGACTGCGCTGCACGGGCCTTCTCTGACTCGGGCGCATCCTGGAAAGCGTGCTGGGCAGCAGCACTTGTGCTCCCTGCATCCTCCAAGGGCTGCAATTGAATGTGTCTCCAAGACGCAAAGGCAACAAGTTGCAATCAGCATCAAGACCAGACATTCGGGGTTGAGGTGTTTTTTGGTTCCTAGCCCCAGCTTTTTACTGGCCCCGGCTCGGCACAAGCTGGGGGTTGGTGGCCGCATCGCCAGCATTACCGGCTTCTTGTCACGGCTGCATATGCGGCATGACTTCATGCTCGGGATAGCCGGCCGCATCGCCAGCATTACTGGCCTCACTCGGACGAGAGCTGCTTATTGGCTTTGATTTGGTGGCAGTTCAGGGTTGATCGGGGCTTGCTGAGATATTAATGCGGGCGGGTCTTGGGTTTGTTTGGGGTTCATTTAGCCTCGGCAAAGGACCGATATGCAGGATGCGGTTGGGAGGGTTTCAGGTTGACTTTGGGTCGGTTTTGGCTTGGTTGGGGCTGATTCGTGCTAGATGTGCAGCTGGTTTAGCCGTGGCTTTCGGGTTGCTCCAGGCACGTGGTTCTGCAAGTTTTGGGCTAGGATTGGTGGTTTGGGGCAACGCCCCACAACCAATCCCAAACCAGCCCAAAACTTGCAGAACCACATCCCTGAAGCAACCCGAAAGCCACGGCTAAACCAGCCGCACATCTAGCACGAATCAGCCCCAACCAAGCCAAAACCGACCCAAAGTCAACCTGAAACCCTCCCAACCGCATCCTGCATATCGGTCCTTTGCCGAGGCTGAATGAACCCCAAACAAACCCAAGACTCGCCCGCATTAATATCTCAGCAAGCCCAACACTCACCCCAAACCAGCCTGAACTGCCACCAAATCAAAGCCAATAGGCAGCTCTCGTCCGAGTGAGGCCAGTAATGCTGGCGATGCGGCCGGCTATCCCGAGCCCATACGCAGCCGTGACAAGAAACCGGAAATGCTGGGGATGCTGGGGATGCGGCCGCCAAGCTGACCAACCAACCAACCAACCAACCAACCAACCAACCAGTCTCCGAGCCGGGGTTAAGCCCCGAGCCGGGGCTAGTAAAAAAAAAACACTGGTTCCGACATTCGGAAGGCATCAAAAAAAATAAGGCCTGACTGCCACACATGGCCATGGGTCAAAATCCTGTACCCCCAGTGAACATCCCAATCCCAATTCACCTACCCCAAAATGGGATCCCAAAACGGTTTTGACCACCACGGCCACACACCTCCAGTTGCGTCTGCGCGGGCATGGCATCCTGGGCAAATGGCTCCTGGTCGAAGCCGTCGGGTCCCAGGGGATCCTGCGGCTGTGAGTCGCAATGAAAACCGATCGCTATGGAAGAAGTGGTCGGGACCCATGCAGCTCAAGAAGTAAGCCGGAGAATTCCGCAACTGTTTGTGGAGTTGACAATCCCTAGAACCTTCACTTAGCCAGGTTTTGAGTGTGAATCCAGTGACTAGAGCTGCAGAGTCAATGAAGGGTACCGAAAGCTTGAAAAAGTACACTACACACACACACAAGCATAGCGCCTACAACACGCAATTGATCCAAGCTGCGGAACGCATGTCACGTGCCCAAGCAAACTGTCCTGCTTCTGATCTCTTGCGTCTTGCCTGCAGCTGTCAGGCGAAAAAGCACACAAAACCAGCTTGCACTCTTCAGGGATCCTTACATTATACACCTGAACATTGCCTTGCAAATGGTTGTTTCCATTTATTTTGGGAAAAAGCCATGTTTCAAACGGGCAAAAGGTATCTTTTAAGGAGCCCTGCTCTTGCTCCCAAGCGCTTTGAAAAGCCAAGCTGCCGTCCAGACTGTATGAGCCTCGGCACGTTTGGCCGACCCCATGAAACAATTCGCCCTGAGCCAGACCACCCGTGCACGAGTAGCCACTGCAATCACCTGCTACTGCAGCTTGCTGGGTTCTTCCTTCAAAATATGCCCTGCAAAAAGCGGTTCTCCACTTGGGGGTTGATCCATTTAGTGTTGAAAGTCACATTTTTTGGTGGTCTCCCTAATGGGTCACCCATGTAAAGGACCTTTCGATCAACCCCCACTTGCCAGGTGCTGGAAGGACCCCGTCCAAATCTGGGCCGGCCACTCTCGCAGCGAGCCCGAGGTTGTCTTGGCCTGGCATACTCACGCGCCAAGGACTTGCAGAATCGGCGAATCGGCGCCTGCGAGCTGGGCATCTCCGGCGCCTGGGGTGAGTCACAAAAAAAGACGATCGGCATTTAAAAAATGGAACAACAAATAAATATAATATATATATATATATATATATATATTTATTTATTTATAGTGGACTACCCAAATCCCTGTACGGAAATTGAAAGGCGCCGTTCGCCGGACTGCCTCTTAACCTTCACCTACCCCGGGCTTTAATTGTGGCTCGCGTGAGAATCTTAAGTCTTCTTGAGCGCTAACTCAAGCCCTCGCCTGCGGGATGGGCTCCGAAGGCAGACTCCTGAAAGTCTGAAAGTGCCAAGCTCGGAAAAGGCGCGCCGAGAACAAAATGAACCCATCGCCCGTCTCCTGTCTGCCCTTTGCATCTTGACCTCTCTCCCCGAACTGGCGCGCTCTTTGCGGTCTCGTCGGTCCCTCGACCGTCGTCGGGACTTGGATCGTCCTTGGCACGACAAGAGCTCCACATAGTGCTGCTGTGAATGCCGAAATACCATGGCAATACGAGTGTGTCTTTTTCTAGGCACCCCAAAACAGTGGTTGTCCTGTTCATTGTTGGAAACCATCCCAAAAGGGTACCCCAGAAAAAGAACACACACCCGTATGCTCACACCGCAAATTGGATGCAGCTGGGCATCTGCGGTCACGATCTTTAGGGCGCCTCCGCGAACGCTCCCGCGTCCTCCTCCGGTCGCGGCTCTTTCGCCGGCGCGACTTGCTGCTGCTCCTCCTCCGCTTGCTGCGAGGCTTCTGGCTGCGGGTGTGGCTGCGGCTGCCACGTTGGACGACCGTCTTGCTCCGAGACCTGCTCGCCTGAGGTCGATCTACGCTCCTCTTCTCTTGCGCAACATCCTCGGCTGGGAAGGCAGGACGAAGCCTACGAGCTATGGACACTGTGATTTTGTGCACCCACAGGACCGGGAAACTAGAGCTTTCCTGGATATTCGGGAATTTGGGTCCGCCCATATGTGCTCCCCAAACTAAGAACAAGCCAACAAACATGTTGCCCGTTTCTAATAGTGGCGACATGTTGACCCTGTATAACCCCTTGCCTGGCTCTTAAATGGGACAAGGTAGTTGACTGTCAGACCAAGCTGCTGTCTCAACCGCGTTGAGGCGCTCAAGCCTGCAAAGTGCGCCAAATTCACATCTCCCAGTGAGACCCCTGCAATGAGGCCCACTGAATTGAATTCTCCCTGCAGCTTGGATGCAGTTCTTGTTGCAGCAATGCTTGCCTGACAAAGTGACCCCGCAAAGGCAAAACAGCCCTTGAACCTCTCAGGCGCCAGCTCTTCTTCAAATTGGTTTCTCAATGGAAGATCTGGTAGGACTGGACTTTCCTTCACGTCCTCTGGAGCCTTCTCTGGTATGGGTGACGGCTCCTTCTGCCTTGGCTCCTGCCAAATCCGACAAAGCTGCCAATCTGGCAGGTTTAGAGATGGGGATTTCCAATCGAGACGGGATGGGTGATACCGGCAATACTGGAGTGCTTTTTTAAGGGTATCCCTTTGTTGGTGGTTCTAAAGGGATGCCAAAAAGAAAACTGCCTTTTGGGGTCATAACCTATGCCTCCATTTTGGGGCGGATGAACACCCATGTACCACCTATTCTTATGTTCACCAGGGGTACGGGGTTTTGACCCACAGCCATATGGGCTACGCTGAGTTCGAGCGGAGTCCGAGAGTTTTGGGAGCGGGCCGCCAAAGAGATCCAGCCTCCACCTCCGGCTCCCCTTGCCGCTGTGCAGCTTGCATCTGCTGCATCCAGCTGGCATACCTACAAGAAAGCAAAGCCCATCAAGAAAGTGCAGTTGGCTTCTGCCAAGATTCAGCGGGTTCTGAAGCGGCGGTGGCGGCTTCATCTCCGCATTTGCACCTCAAGAAGCAACCGGCGACCGCCAAAGTTCCACCCTCGAAGCCCCGCCTTTGTGTCGCTTCGCCGGCTTGGATGGTGCCGCAGCAAACCCCGAGGCAGGGGGAGGCCTCGACTGCGTCATGAAGCAAACACGAAGCCGCTCATAGAAACCAACGAGCAAGGACCAGAAACCCCTGGAATTCGCCTTTGCCAAGCCAATTCGGAGCTAAGGGAGGCCAGAAGGGGAGTCTGCCCACTCTCTAGGTGTCAAGGAACGCCAGAAAGCAAGAAAGGGCCGTGTGTGTATGAAGAAACGCGTAAGCATAAAGTTTGAGATTCGAAGATGATGCTTTGCTGAATGCCGAGGCCGGTCCTAAACATACTGTACACACAAGGGTCTGCAAGGGTGCAGGGTGTTTTATCTCAAAACACGGAAGTGTCAGAAAAACGGTTGGAACATTCCGAATACTCTCCGTCGAAAGTAACTTCTAGTAGAAAAGAAGCCAGATAAAGATGTAACAAAATCATGGAGGAATAGCTTTGCCATTGGCAGCTTTTGCGGAAAGCACTTCAAGGGAACGCGATGAGCGGGTAAGTGATGGCGAAGCTTGGAAGGAATAACATGGCCATGGGTCAGAATCCCGTACCCCCAGTGAACATCCCAATCCCCACTAAAATTAGGTTCTAAAATGGGTGGTGCACCTACCCCAAAATGGTACCATTGGTTTTGACCCACAGCCACATCTTTATCATCATACCCTTTCTCTTTGCCATGTTAGCTTCTTCACCCATCACTTTCCTACCCATTCATCTCTGTAGATCTCTCGGTAAACGGTTTCCCGGATGCAGAGTACGGAGACGAATAAAGGAATAAGAGAAGAAAAACAACTGAAAACAGATGGAGACGTCCATGAAGTGTCAGAAATAGAAAGAGAAAGAGAGAGACGCGGTCCTTCCTTGGAGCTGAGACTTCGAGCCGAGCAGCACCACTCTCGGAGGCACCACTCGCGCCAAGGGCGGCGCCTGCACCGCAGCCTTGGCCACCGGAAGCGGCGGCGCCGGCGTCTCCGGCTCCGCCCCTCGCGGCGCGGGCGCCGCTTTGGGCGACGAAGCCGAAGCGGGGCTCGGGGGCAAGGGCGGCTCCTCGCGCGGCTTTCGCCGTAACTTCGCAGCCGCGCGCGCCCGCAAAAAACATATATATATATATATATATATATACACATATGTATCTATATATATATAATATATATATATATATATGTATATATATTATATATATATATATAGAGATTATCTACATATACATATATATATATATGTATATCTATTTTTGAGACATGTCCAACATGGACATCAACTGCAAAGTGACTTATGCCCGGACTTATATTTGTTTTGTCAGCCGCTGACACCTGCTGCATCCCATCCCCTCCTCTGGCACTGGTGGCGCATCTGGAGGTGGTGCCGGCGGCTGCTCTCTGACTTCCTCGCATCGATCACAGACAAGACAGTGCAAGCAGCCCCTTTCATTCATGTTACAGAATCTCCAAAAAGACTGAGCTTCCGGGTCCGAAGCAAACGCGAGGTTCTGACTCGCCAAACTCTGGAATCGACGTGGTGGCTTTGCTGCCGCGAGCTTGGCCAGTGTGCGCACATTGCACCGGCCGGGCCTGAGCGTGGCCTCTTTTCTCTTTCTCCTTCTGCTGTGCGAAGGCCATGCACCTAGCAAAGACTTGACTTGAAGACACAAAACCCACCTTGATGCCTCGGCACCTAAGCCCCCGCCTGGCCAGCATCTCATCAGCTGCTGATCGCTCTCGGGACTCTCGGGACTCTCGGGACTCTCGGGACTCAGGTTGCCTGGCCAAGCAAGATCCGCACATCCGAGTGTGAGCCGACTTGAGCCTTATGACTTAGCGAGTCCGGGTGTTGGGAATGAACCGTTTTGGGATTCCCTTGAAGGAAACCAAATCGGGGTGGTTTTTCTCGGGGTCATTCCATTTCTCATTCCCTGCCAATCGAACCAGAAATCTTTTGGGAAGGGCTCTGAAAACATCTCCGGGATAAACCGCAGTCTTTTGAGGCACCTCTTTGCACCCGCCTGCGCTCCGGACTGCGGCTGGGTGTCCGCTCCCTAGAGACCCAAGTGCCAGTATTCCTGGAAAGAGCGTGGGCACCCGACAGTCCGACCCGGCGATCGGCGAGAGTCCTCATCTCCCTGGGAGGCGCAGCCTGACGCTTGAAATCCAAGCAGTGAGCATCAAAAACTCTGCATGCCCAAAAGCCAAAAAAAAGAAAGACACGCGCTTGTATAATCCAGTCCCCCGCCTGCATCTTGGGCACACTCGCCTCTCCTCTGACAATCTGCTCCATTGGGGCATCAAAGGATAGAAACCGCGCAGAGTCCTGGCGAGTCGACGTCTGCTCCTACTCGATTCTCCCTCCATCGGATGCAAGTTGAGCCTTGCCAAAAGCAAAGTTGCTTTTGCAACTCGCAACAAGCAAAGCTGCAATACTTACAACCTTCTAACTTGGCAAAGTTGAGCAAGTCTTGAAATTTATCCGCTCCGGCTGGATCTGCATGCCCACCAGCGCCGGCTTGGGTAACTCTGGCTCCAGCCTCTCAGAACACAGCTATGAGGCTATGATCTGCTCATGTCTGTGTTACGCACGCATTTGCACTTGTTGTGTGGCTGTAAAAACAAATGAACAAATAAACATATATATATATATATGGTACCCCCCCCCCCCCCCAGGGACCTACCTTTTTGAAGAATTCACTGGTATTTGCAGTGTGTTCTACCCTTTTTTGGGCTTTGGCGAGAGCAATGAAAAAGAAGCATTTCCAAGGACGCTTTGGAAGCTTCAGGCTTGATTTATTCCGATTGAAACCGATTCAATTTAAATCGGGCAGGGATTCAAGATTCAAAATTCAAGAATCCAGGCCAAACTTTTGCAGGGAATCTTGAATCCAGGGTCCGATTTAAACCGATTTAAACCGATTTAACTTAAATGGGGCATGGATTCAAGATTCAAGACTCCCTGAAAAATGTTGGCCTGGATTCTTGAATCTTGAATCTTGAATCCATGCCCGATATAAACTTAAATCGGTTTAAATCGGTTTAAATCGAGACCCAAATTCAACATTGCACTTTGCGCGGCTGTACTTTGGCACAGTGTTGTGCAAGCATCCAAATCCTGATTAATCATTCAATCTGCTTCAATCTAGGCCCACATTCAAGATTGTAGGCCAAAGTTTTCTAGGGAATCTTGAACCCAGGCTCAACTGAAATTTCAGTTGGTTTCAATGGGTTTCACTCGGGCCTGGACTCGCGTTTGCAAAGAAGACTTGTCTAGAGAATATTGATTCTTGAATGTTGAATACAGGCTTGGGTTCTTTCCTTATCAAATCCTGTTAAAGCTCTAATTGAACTGTAAGTACATAGGGAAAGGAGCTCTATTTAAACTCGAAATTTCAGATTTGATTACCATTAGGATTCTGACCAAATATTCCCGTATTGAATCCCAATTAAATTGTGTTCAAATTCAAACGAGCATTTAGCGAGTGTTCGTTGGTGGAGATGTGAATTGAGTATGAAAAACACTACACAACACTGTGTTTTACGGTGTTTTCTGACCATGGTAGTGTTAGGACTAGTGAAAAGACAAGTTTTGGACCTTTGGATTCTTTATGAATTCCACTTAGTATGTTTTATCACATTCGACCCAATTTCTGTTTGAAATTCAATGGAGCTTAAGAAGGACATACTCCAGCCAGAATTTCGATTTAGATTCGAACTTAAGTATTGATTGTTCTATGTCAAATTAAATGGTACAAACGATTCCTGTCCAATAGAACATTGTACTTGAAATTCAATCACTTTCAAGAACTAGAGTTAGATTCTTAGATGGTCTAGTCCTAGTTTGGTCCCAGTCCCAGTTGGGAGATCCTTGGTTCTAGGCCTAGTATGGTCCAAGCTTACTGAAATAAATAGAACGTACAAAGGGCAATACAAAGGAAGTTCCTTGTGAATCGTAGTTAATATATTAATCAAGTTCTATGCAACTGCTAACTGAACAGTAGAATAAAATTAAAGAAAATATCCAATCATCATTTATGGTTATTATGTTTCAAAACAAATATTAAACATGACTTTATTTCCACCAGAATGTAAGACTTGACATCCAAATACTATAAGAAGTAGACTTAAATGGTCTAGTCCTAGTTTGGTCCTAGATGAGATATCCTTAGTTCTAGTGCTAGGTTGCTCCCTAGTTTACTGCAATAAATTAGAAAGTATACAGGACATTGCAGAGGAAGTTATACTTGAAGTATATTTTTTGGTAAGAATCTGAGGTGGGTCGTCTAGTCCTAGTTTGGTCCTAGTCCCAGTTGAGAGATACGGTCCTGGTCCTAGTTGAGAGATCGTTCCTCCCAGTCCTAGATGGGCAAATCATGCACTGGAGAGTCAACCAAAAGGTAGGTCCCTGGGGGGGGGGGGTAGCATATATTTTTTTTTATATATGTACATATATATATATAATTATATATATCTGTTTGTATATATATATAATTATATATATATATATATTATCGTTATGCAAATCTGGGCTGTCCTCGGATCCCCTGCCTCAAGCTCCAACTTCGTGTGGGCAACCCCCGAGTAAACCAACCTTTAAGCCAACGAAAACCCCAAGGAACCGGACGCCAAGAAACATGGGCACGGGTCAAAATTTAATTCCACCAGGGACCGCAGGTTTTAGTCTTTGTCTCCCATCTACCAGGGTTCCATTTTGGGGTTGCCCTATTTTTGACCCACACCCACATGGTATCCGGGAAAAAAGATACCACTTACGCACGTCTCCGTCGCAAACAAACCTCCGGCCCGTCTCTTCGCCGAGGCTCGGGGCAGGGGGCAGCATTTCCGGCGGGGCCGGGGCCGGCGGCGCCGGCGGCGCCGCTTTGGCCGCCTGGGCCGCCAGGTGGCTCTGCAGCATCTGCTGCTGCAGCTGCAGCTGCTGCAGCTGTTGGGCCTCAGATCCCAAGTCCGAAGTCCGGAAGCATCGGCTCCCAGAGGCTCCCAAGGAGTTGGATGCTGGTGGCTGGTGGCTGGTTGCTCCGGAAGGGCTTCCTTCCAAGTGAGCCACTGATAAATCCCAGCCCGCCCAGATTGGGAGAAAGGTTCCCTCGCCGTGGCGCTTGCATCTGCGCAAAGTACTGCTGCATGAACACCGCATTCCTGAGATGGGAAGCGCATGCCGAGTTACCTGCAAAGCCTGAAACAGACAATCCCCCACACACACACACACACACACACACACACACACACATACACACACACACACACACACACACTCACGCACGCACGCACGCACGCACGCACGCACGCACGCACGCACGCACGCACGCACGCACGCACGCACGCACGCACGCACGCACGCACACACACAGACACACACTGACACACACTGCGAGCAGACATGAGGTATGAGAAAGGCTCATGAATCCACGATGGGGTTTAGACATGATTTTGGATCCACGGTTGCTCCAAAGGCCGTGTAACAGTGGACAAATTGACACATGAACAAAAGAAGGACCAAATACTCAATTTCCAGAAAACATATCAATTGAGAACTCACCATATGCTTCCCATATAATCTACCTCAAATACCTTACCCTTGTGGTTGAATGATAGGCTTCGAGGCGGAGAGGGGTGTGTCGCATTCTTGAGGGTAGTTCCCCGAAAGAAGATCGAAGCAATTTTTTTCCCAACCCGGAAATATCACGTGTCGCAAGCTAGCTCTGCCATGGGTCATACCAGGCGCTGGCATCGCTGGAACAGGACCTCAAGGTGCGAGTGCACTCCCATTTCACCTGAAAAGCAAAGGGACAACCTGCGCGTTTGTGTGCGGTTCCCCTATTTCGCATGATTAAGACCAGTAATCCGTTCAGGGCCCCGAGTTTTGACCATGGGCAACTTTGGACATGTGGTGGATTTATCATAGTGGCTTCCCAACCAATGGTCGTCCAATGTAAGGACCTTTGGATGAACCCCCACATGCAAAATGTCACCGGTTAAGGCAGTGGCTCGCTTGCTGCTGCAACAAGAGCTGCAGAGCGTCCATGGCTACAACCAGCGGAGAAAAGTCTTTGGTACAAGCCCTTGCAACTCCTTTGCCGCCCAGAGCCGGCCCGCCCCATTGTCTTTGTCTTTGTCGCTAGGTTGAGCAAACGACCTTCAGCCCATCTGATGCAATTGCATGTACCTGCAGTTGTCCTTCCACTGGGTGGCTTGTCCTGACTGTTCGATGCTCTTCGATTTTCAAGCTTCGGAGACAGAGTCGTGCCGATCTTGCCCACACAGACCTCCCTCTGCCGCTATCTTTCACGGCTCACGCTCGGCACTCGCAGGCAGCATCTCTTTCCCATGGCTATCGCTCCCAAGCGCAACAGACAACCTCGCTCCAGGTCTATCACGCGCATTTCAAACAGGGATGATCCAGGGTTTCTCTTCAGCGCATGATCAAGTGATATCACACATTCTTGTCCGGCTGAATATGAGTTCCCTCAAGTCCTTAAGCCCTTGATCAGGGCTGCGCGTGGAACTTGGAAAGCACAACACTGACACCTATATACTTGTACGCTACGACAGATGCCTTTCACTCTGTGTGTTGCAGCGTGTGAGAACTTCCCAGAAGGGGGGCCGCACGTATGGGTTTCCATATCAAGCATCATGAAAGCGGGCCCCCTGATCTTGGGACATACTCTGTGTGCGAAGACCAGGCATCGCTCGTGCTGCACGAAAAGTCTGCAAGCAGATGTCTGACCGACTGCTCACACCCCGCAGCAAACATCTCGAGTACAAAGTTCGGCTCCATATACGTTTTGACCATGGGGAGCAGTGGGTGCTGGAAAGACATGCTGTCCGGACGTGCAGGAAAGGACAGCTGGCCACCACAAAGTCGACTGGAAAACTTGCCTATCATGTCCCCTCATTCTCTCTCACAGTCAGCCTATGTTTCTGGGAACCACTCGAACTCAGTTTTGGTTGCCAGAATTCAAAAGCCCTTTTCCTGCTCTCCTACCCTTTGCCGTCTCCTCGCATCCGATGTTCAAATACCGGGCTGATGGCCTGTAACGCTTTGAAAGCCAGTCAGAACCATCACCCCGGTCCTAGCTCGTGGCGCGCATTCAACATCGCAGGGGCCCCTTCAAACGACGCCCTGGGCATTTCAGTATTAGAGCATGGCGGCTCCGACTTCCCCGGCCGAGCAAAAAAAATGCTGCCCGCTCTCGAGGCTCTTGGGCCGCCTGAAGCTCCCGGGCACCGCCCTCTGCCTGCCTGCGCTCTCCGGAGTTTTACCGCCGAAGCAAGGACTTGGGCGGAGTCGGTGCCATGGATCTGATCAATCTCCGTCGCTGTGCTTCACAATGAAGCGTTCTTTCATACTCCTGACATGGTTGAACAGCGGACCAACGACTCCAAAGAAAATGTCTTCAGTGAGGCCGAAGCGAGAAACATGCTTCAAGGTATCGTCCATGGAATGTGCTACGACATGCAAAAATCCGGAGAGCTCCAGCGATTCAAAACCCCGACAGTGCCCCCGGAACGATCTCCAGGAAGATGGAAAACAGATGGGGCTCTTTGAAATCAGCCCGACAGACCCACAGCAAATTTGAGTAGCGACTCACTAGACCCACTAGACCCACTAGACCCACTAGACTCACTAGTTCACCTGCAACGTGTCGTCTGCCTCGCGGCCATCTGCTGGGCACTTCAGGAACAGGCAAGTGGCGAAGTGAGATGCAACCCAATGCAATGAACAAATTGCACGTGTCACTTCTCTTTGGGTCGCATATCGCCCGTGTGAGACCTCCAATCTCTTTGGTTGGCAATGGCGATGGGCCCGATTCGCAAACTGAGGCTTCCTTTCAATCCGCGGATGGTTGATATGATTTCACGGGTCCATTGCCGGCTGTGCAAAGTGTTGAGTCGTGTTCTGTGTTAAATGTGATTCAAACTTCGTGCACGCCACAAACCCACCCTCTCTCCAGCGACTCACGAGTCGCCAACAAATTCTGCCAAGAGCTCCTCTCTTATTGAGCGACTCAGTCTGAAATGGGACCAAAAAACCAGAAAGTGCCTCTCGCGCAAACAGCAACAAGCCCTTGGAAGCATCTTCCTTCTCGAGGCCTCAGACTGAGCGCCTTGAAACTGCCTGACGCAGGCCAGGCGCCTGCTCCTCGCGCGGGCATGCCCCCGCGTAGTCCTTTTTTCCAGCCGGAGGCGAGGAGAATGAATGCCAAACCGCAGGTCCACTCAGGTCCACTTGGCTGTGGGTCAAAGCCCAAATCGTACCCCTGGTGAACGTCATAGTTGGCAAATGGATGTTCATCCCCAACATGGGATCGCCATAGGGCATAGCCCCATGGCCACTTGACAAGCCAAAGGGGATGAACGGTGAACCCTTCTGGAACCAGGAACCTCACACCTTGTCAAAGCCTCAGCTAAAGGCACCTCCAAACTTGCCACGGGCTTGGTGCTTGAGGCGCCTTCAATCCGACCCTTCCGGCGATCAAAAGGCATCACCACAGCAGGATTCAGTATGGCAAGCTCATGCCCTGGTGCTCTATATCTGGAAGATCGTAATATCTACATAGCATTGAGTCTGCCGGTAGGCCACTTGGCCGTGCCACTTCCCGCACCAAGCCACCGCAACTGCTTCAAAGGGTGCGATGAGAGGTCAAGTCGACGGATTCGGCTCTCTATATCACATCATACTTGCTTGATCACCAAAACAAGACAGGTGACAGACGACTAGGCGACGACTGCTTTGCTTGTGGCCCTGGCCAAATGGTCGCCATTGCTTAGTAAGGCTTAGTACGTCCAAGTCGAATCCACTTGAGTCGACCCCCTTTCGGCAATACTCTGCCGGCCCGGACATTGAACGCATCAACGTACGGCCACTGCAAGGCCGATGCCATACTGAGGCCTTGCCCGAGCCCAAAGAGACACAAAACTTGGAGGTGTCTGGGAAGCTCACCGACTCGCTTGCAGTTTCTGACATGGCGAACATTGAGCTGTCAAGATGTGGAATCGGAATTAGAGACGATATCTACACAAAACAAAGGGTAGCGCTGCGCTCCCACCGGCAAGTGTTGCCAAAGCATATGACTCACGCAACATAGAGAACCAGGTGTGGAAAAAGGCAATCCAGGGGCTGCTAAGCTGAGGTACAGTCGGTGAGCAATCCAGGCTGAACACGGTTTGCGGTTTGCCACACTTTCTGTGCGGCAAGTGGTCTCTAATAGGAACAAGCTAAAGCTGAATCATTGTATCCCTGAAAGTCATGGAAGACATTGTCACTGTCTGGCTGCACTCTGAAGAAATCTCTGGGATCCTAAGACATGTAAATATATAGTCCTATGACCTATGTTTTGCTTATAGACTTAGACAATGGAATCTTAGGTGATGTGGAAAGAAGAACAACGACATCAAAGGCGACAAAAAACCAGCTCAGCATTGGTGGCAAGCTGATGTCACTCAGAATGCCATCGCTCATCAACGGCTGTACCATCCGCAAAGTGTAGGTTGGACGTCTGGCTGTCTCAAGGGACTACAATGCCCATAGCTCACACCTGGGTTGCTCACAGAGGGTATGAGCTATCCCTGGTGCTAGCCTTGATGGTCCTGGCATGGAAGGTCAGATCTTTCTAACCTTCCATACGAATCCAAAATATTGCTCTAGATATGTAGATATATATATGGGAGCGAGGTCAAGTGCAGCTGCCAAAAGAACGAAACCTACGTTCGTCCCAGAAAGTACCAGCTAGAGGTGGTTGGCGAACTCCTCAGGTAAGGAAAGTACTTAAGATATTTGTTTTGTTAAGAAATGATTTTTTTTCGTTTGTATCGTCTCGTGCCAGTCTGTCTTCCACAGTCTTAGCAGCCGACTTGTCAAAACCCGCGACCCCCCTCTCAGACGCTGGCCTGGCTCGGATACAACCAATGGGAACGGTTCATTGCGTGGAAAATTGGGTCTCTGCATGTCCTCAAATGCACCAGAGACGTGCCCCGATTTGCCTCCCAAGTGATCGAGCCCCCAACGCTGCGCGCCAGCCTCATCAAACGGTAGCCTGGCGGCGAGCTGCGGACATTGCGATTCTTAAAAGGTCGCGTTTAGCAGAACATGTTGATTGAAACAGCTTGTTTTGGCACGCGCAAAGCCACCATAGGCCGTCGGCGACAAGACAGCAGCACGCAACATGGCGTGGGTCAGTCCTTGGTATGCCAGCATTTACAATGTTGTACAACCTGATGTGTCCAAGGACAGTGGGTAAAGTGTGCGCCAAAACGGTACGATCCGTTTTTTCGGCCTGCTGCCTCCGGCCTTTCGGCTAGGCCCGTAGACAGGCCCAATCCCTCTGGCTCCGGCCGGGCCTGTGGCCTGGGCCTTGCTTCCGGGCCCGCGGCCCAGCCCAATCCAACTTCCAGCTTCTGGCTTCCGCCAAACCTCAATCCAGCCGTCAGCTTCCGGCCTCCGGCTTCTGTCAGGCGCAGCCATCTTCGCCCGCAGCCAGTCCATCAGCTAGGTTTGGTGCGTGGCTTTTTTTTGAGGTAGTTCTTGTGTGGCTTAGGGAATTTTTCGGTTAAGTTTGATTTGGGGTGACAGTTTAAGGTGTTGTAGGGTTGGCTAGGGCAAGTTTAAGGTCCATTTAGGGTTGGTTTAGGGTCGGTTTGGGACGAGGCTTCCCTTTGCGTGGTTCGGTTTTGGTTTAGGCTTGGCTTAAGCTTGGGTTTAGGGGTGGCTTGGGGTGGCTTAGGGTGTTTTCGGTTTGGTTTAGGGTTTGTTTAGGTAAGTTTAGAAAGTTTTAGGGTTGGCTTGCGGGTTGCGGTTGGTTTGGGGTGTTTTAGGTTTGGTTTAGGGCTTGTTTAGGTAAGTATAGAATGTTTTAGGGTTGGCTTGCGGTTGGTTTGGGCTGGTTGCTCTAGGGTCGGCTTAGGGTTAGTTTAGGGTTGTTTCAGGCTTGGCGTAGGGCGTTTTAGGGTTGGCTTGGGGTTGGCTTACGGCGGGTTTAGGTGTGGTCGGCCTAGGGTGAGTTAAGGGTTTCTTTAAGTTGACGGGTTTGTTTTGGGGTTGGTTCAGGGTTAGCTTAGGGTGTCTTAAAATTTGTTTTGGGTTAGGTCGGGTTGGTTTAGGTTTGCTTCAAGGTCAGTTTCGGTGTTTTATGGCTGAGGGCCTGCAGCCGGCCGCTCTCCAAGTCCAGCCCAACCACAACTTCGCCCGCAGCCTGGTCTGATCCGTCCATCAGCTAGGTTCGGCGTCGAATGGGTTTGTCTATTGGTTGAAGGTTGCCCTAAGTCTAGGGTCGGTTTAGGGTTAGTTTAGGGTTGTTTCAGGCTTGGTGTGGGGCATTTTAGGGTCGGCTTGGAGTTGGCTTACGGCGGGTTAGGTGTAATCGGCGTAGGTTGAGTTAAGGGTTTCTTTAAGTTGACGGGTTTGTTTTGGGGTTCGTTCAGGGTTAGCTTAGGGTGTCTTAAAATTTGTTTTGGGTGAGGTTGGGTTGGTTTAGGTTTGCTTCAAGGTCAGTTTCGGTGTTTTATGGCTGAGGGCCTGCAGCCGGCCGCTCTCCAAGTCCAGCCCAACCACAACTTCGCCCGCAGCCTGGTCTGATCCGTCCATCAGCTAGGTTCGGCGTAGAGTGGAATTGTCTATTGGTTGAAGGTTGCCCTAAGTCTAGGTTCGGTTTAGGGTTAGTTTAGGGTTGTTTCAGGCTTGGTGTGGGGCATTTTAGGGTCGGCTTGGAGTTGGCTTACGGCGGGTTAGGTGTAATCGGCGTAGGTTGAGTTAAGGGTCGCTTTAAAGTTGATGGGCTTGTTTTGGGGTTGGTTCAGGGTTAGTTTAGGGTGTCTTAAAAATTGTTTTTTTGGGTGAGGTTGGGTTGGTTTAGGTTTGCTTCAAGGTCAGTTTCGGTGTTTTATGGCTGAGGGCCTGCAGCCGGCCGCTCTCCAAGTCCAGCCCAACCACAGCTTCGCCCGCAGCCTGGTCTGATCCGTCCATCAGGAATTGTTTCTTGGTTCAAGGTTGCTCTAGGTCTAGGGTCGGTTTAGGGTTAGTTTAGGGTTGTTTCAGGCTTGGTGTAGGGCGTTTCAGGGTCGGCTTGGAGTTGGCTTACGGCGGGTTTAGGTGTGGTCGGCCTAGGGTGAGTTAAGGGTTGCTTTCAAGTTGATGGGTTTGTTTTGGGGTTGGTTCAGGGTTAGTTCAGGGTATCTTAAAGTTTGTTTTGGGTGAGGTTGGGTTGGTTTAGGTTTGCTTCAAGGTCCGCTTCGGGCAGCCGCTCTCCGAGCCCAAAACACAGCTTCGCCCGCAGCCTGGTCTGATTCGTCCATCAGCTGGGTTCGGCATAGAATGGGTTTCTTGATTGGTTGAAGGTTGCTCTAGGTTGCTTTAGGATTGGGAGGGTTGGTGGGCTTGGCTTGAATTTGGTTGGTTTATGTTAAAGGCACGTTTAGGTTGGCATCCCACCATTCGACCATCCGGCTATCCAGCCATCTACCCATCCAGCCACTCAGCCGGCCGGCCATCCAGCCATCCGGCCCTTCCAGCCATCCGGCCCTTCCAGCCTGTGCGAGTACGCAGGGCTTGCGCTGACTGAGCTGAGACTCCGAAAACTCCGCAGCTGGACTGCGCCACCTGTACACTGTCGCACGGTTTGCGCTTTGAGGAGGTATGTTTGTGTCGGACAAACAAGGCAACGGCTGTGTCGGGTGTCGGATAATGAGAAGCTATTGGTCATGAGCCAGGCTCCAAGGTATCCGGTGGAGTCGCAGCCGAAAGGATTGTTTGGCTTATTGACACGCATGTCCCGCCCTTGCTCGCGTCAAGCCCGTTGAGCTTCGCGCGCGTTCTTGCGGAAAGCGGCCTCGCTGGACTGCTTGTTGTACGTCTCTCTGTAATGATTTTGGTCCATGATGGCATAGTAGGGCCAGTTCATGAGGCGGCGGGCCTTGCCAGTTGCGCTGGGTTTTTCTGATGATCAATAGAGTCTGCGCATGCTGAAGAGAGGGCAGTTGGCGCCTCGCCTCGTGCAGTTGTCCTTGTCTTGTGGGTCCTTGAGCTGCTGGCGAAGCGCGGGGTCGCAATATCCATGTCAGTGACCGTGTCCACGAAAGCTTCTTGGCTGTTGGTGAAGAGGAGTCAGCCTGCTGCTTGAGAAATTGTTCCCAATCCAACTCTTTGGCAGGCGTCGTCTGAACTGTGGCGGGCTCCTCCTGGGAGCTCGCTTTTGGTACCAGCGTCCATGGCTCCGCAGTGCAAAGCGAATGGACAAACGGGGGGGGTGCTTGCCAAATGCCTTGAAACAACTTTTAGTGGGTTAAATGGAAACCCCCACTAAACACTGAAAAGCTAAAAACCTGAGGGAATGGCTGGGAACTGCCAAGTTACATGTTTTTCGCTGAAGTGAAATCCGTGCTTTTGATGGCGAAGTGCTGCCAATCTTGTGGGAGGTTTGACAAGCCTGAACGGCAATGTGTTGGTTTGCTCTTTTGAGACAGACAAATATCCAGGAGCAGCTGGGCTGTGGTGCAAGCTTTCTCATCGCGCGAAGAAACGTTGGGTCCGTCAAAAGTCAAGCATGGCAGACCCTCTCTGACAGTCTGAACCCTGCCTGGCGATAAGGCAATCCACCGCGCTCCTGGCTGAGACAGTTGTGAAACAAGAGTTTTCTCCAAAGGACGTGTCGGACACGCCTTCAACTCCTTTGCCATCTCATTCAAGACAGATAAAAGCACCGAGCTCGCACCTGTGACAACCTCGTGCGCGACAAGCTTGCATGTGAAGACTTGGCTGTGGGTCAAAAATAGGTACCCAAAATGGAACCCTGGCAAGTGGAAACATGGACTAAAACCTGCGGTCTCCTGGGGGTTTAATTTTGACCCATACCCACTTGTCAATCCGAGTGCCATGCTTTCTCATCGCTGTAAACTGGGCCATGCCTGGCAAGCAGAACACGTCAAGAAGCTGATACAAGGCTAGCACCCACGCGTACTCTTTTCACAATCACGCCAGTAGCTCTTCTCCGAGTTGACGCTCTCCTGCACTTGGGACGTCAGCAACTTCCAAGTGACCTGTCTGCCTGACTGCCTGACCTACTTGGCCATGGGTCAAAGGCCCGTACTCCCAGTGAACATCCCAATCCCTACTAAAATAGGTTCTAAAATGGGTCAAAAAGGGCACCATTGGTTTTGATAACCACAGCCACTTAGCTGTGGCCTGGCTGCACCCGGAGTAACAACGGCGGCCGCGGCCTGCAAGGGAAGAACTTTGCTCAGTCAGTTTGTGGCGATTTTGTTTCCAAGTTAGGCGTGGGGGTGGCTTCGGAAGCAGGGCCCAGAAACATGTTAAGCTCATTTGGGACCATGTCCAGCTTGCAGAGCCACCATTTCTCGAGGCTTGGCTACAGCGCATCTTGTTCGCCACTTTAACAAGCCCCAAGCCCCAATTGGGGCGCCGACCACGCGGGTGGTCCAGGTGCCTCGCTTGACTCGATGGGTCCATTGTTCGCTCGCCGAAAGCGAAACAGTGAAAACTTTGTCGCACGCCCACGGGCTCCGCACTCCCCTTGAGTATCCGGCTTTCCCAATCCTAGTTCTTCCTCCAAATGTGGTGTGCTGTCGCCAGAGACTTGAAGGCAAAACCTCGGCAGACAGTTACGTCCTAAGGCACAAGAATCTTAGCACTGTGAACTTGAGCAGTGAATTGCTCAAGTCCCAACAGGGATCCTTACATTATACACCTGAACATTGCCTTGTAAATGGTGGTTTCCCTTTAGTTTTGGTGGAAAAAGCCATGTTTCAAATGGGCAAAAGGTATCTTTTAAGGAGCCCTGCCCAACTACCCCCCAACGGAATCTGTCCAAAGCCGCCCAGCTCTGGACAAGGCTGGCTCATTCCAGTCTTTCACATTTGGCCATGGGTCAAAAGCCCGTACCCCCAGTGAACATCCCAATGCCCACTAAAATAGGTTCTAAAATGGGTGGTGAATTCACCTACCAACCAAAATGGCATCCCATGGGTTTTGACAACCACAGCCACATCTTTCACCTGGGGCGTTCTAGGCCAAAGCCTGGCTTCGCGAAAGAGAAGACTCTCAAAGTCCCCCCGGCAAAGCCCACGGCGAGAGCATCCCCCGAGGCGCTCCAAGCAGCACTTGTGGCCACCTCTTCACCACGGGACACGCACTCGGCAGAACCGCTCATGGTGTTCACAATGCGGATCTTGCCATTAATTGCACCGGTGGCAACAATGTGACGATGTTCCGGGTGAAACATTGCAGAGCACACCCGATCCTCATGCTTCACTGACTCTTCTGCGCCTGACTCCAGTGCAAAATGACGGAGGTCTTCTGCTTCAAGCTCTGCTGCGCAGCTCTTTGCAATGTCAGCACCCTAAAATGACAAATAGGGGTGCTTTCGGAGGTACCATTGGGCACCTTGGCTCAATTTGAAAAGAAAACACCATTGTTGGGGTTCCCCCTTTTAAATGGGGATGAATTGTAATACATCATTTAGGTTGGGATTCATGTCCGCCACCCACTTTTCAAGGCGTTCCCTATTGGCTGTGGCTCAAAAAAGTGTTACCAAAATTTCACCTTGGTAAATGGAACCAAAGACTAAAACCTGCGTAACCCAGCTCTTGAATTTTGAGCCACACCCAAATGTCTCAGGGACGGCCTGGGGTCAGCACGTGCAACTTGCCGTCGTCACATCCAGCCGCCAGCGTCTCCCCGTCCGTGTTCCAGGCCAAGGAGGTCAGCCAGTTGCCAAACTCCACAACTCCTCGGAGAAATGCTCCGTTCATGAGGTGGCCTCCCAGAAAACACGAAAAAATGCGCTTGACTTGATTGACTCTGTCAAGCGGCGCTCTGGAGTCATAGTGGTCAAGGACAGGACACCTCAGACTATGCGCCAAAGGAGGTCCCTGGCAGTGAATGCATTTTGCTCCATTGATGCGGGGAAGTGCAGCTCGATGAACAGAAAGCCGAGCCACAAAGCTTCCCATCAGAGCCGCCAACCGCCAGTTTTTGGTGGCACCAAGCCATGGATAGCACAGGGCAGCTGTGTGAGAAGCTCTCCCTGAGGCTTCTGGTGCTTGCCTTAGCACAGGGCATCGCAGGCCAATGCACGTGCTGACGCTCCGACCCGACCGTCTGCTTGGATTTTCCGACACGTTGCGGCGAACATGCGAACCTTCCCATCTTTGGAGCCTGTCGCAAGATTGTCCTGACAGCATTCCCGACGCCTTTCCAGCGCCCCCAAACGAGATAAGATTTGCGCGGAAGCTCGCAAAGCTGGATATTCAACACCCGGCATAAAATTGGTCTACCCAGAACCATGTAAAGAATCAAGAAGGCGGCCGCAGCTATTGCTGGTTGGGATTGTCCCTTACTAACCTTCATCTACCGGGTTTTGATTGTGGCTCACTTAGACTTGCTTCGGTTTCGACCCGACGGGTGCGTCCTCGCCGCACCAGCAAAGAGCTTGAATCAGCGCAGGATGCTCGACGGCTTTGGCCGAGTCTCTAGCGTCCACCAACAGCCTCAGTGCAAGCTGGAGCCTGATCTCTAGCACCCGCACCTTTGCCTCCGAGTACAAGGTTCCTTGTTACATGGTTCTGACAGCCGTAGTCGCGTACCTCACAACCCATAGTCCAATAGTCGACCACAACCCAACTTTGGTGGTGGGTCAAAGATCGGGTACCCAAAATGAAACCCAGGTGAGCGGAAACAAGGACTATCCAACCTGGCGGTTTCATTTTGACCCCTACGGCCATGGGTCAAGACCCCGTACCCCCAGTACCCCAAAATGGTACCATTGGTTTGACCCACAGCCATACTACCCATTTGGCTGTGAGTCAAAACCAATGGTACCATTTTGGCCATTTTGGGGTAGGTGCACCATTTTAGTCTATTTTAGTGGGGATTGGGATGTTCACTGGGGGTACCGGATTTTGACCCATACCCATTTCGGCGAGACGGTCCTGCGATTCCTCAGCGCAACTGCTGGTCGACCAGCCGCACTCCAGGCAGCGCAATGCCCCGTGTGCCTGTTTGCTGCATCCCCGCGTCAGTCACGCGCAGCTGTTCAACGCAAAAGGATCCACATTGTCTTTTCCCAGGGTTCATGGCCCATGCCCCCAATTTCCATTCCTAACAATTTAGTTATTGATGTTCAGTCAGCAGAGTAGAGGGAAATAACAACACACAATGGGTCGGCCCCCTTGCTGGTGACAGGAGCAGCAATCATTGAGGCAAGGTCAACACAGTCGCCAACGGAAGTTGCAAGAGCCATTGCGAGAAACACTCTGGGAGGGACAGAAGTGTGCAGCATGCCATGCTTGGAGCTTTGCCTCTCTCTCTCTCTCTCTCTCTCTCTCTCTCTCTCTCTTTGTGCTCTCGAAGCGGCGGTAGGTTGAGCCGTTGCGCGTTGCAATGCACATCAAGATGCAGCGCATGTTGCGTGGCTAAGCCTTAGGACACTGGGCTTGCTGTAAGAGAATTTCAGCGAGCATGTCCTCACTTGAGTGCATTGGCCAAGAAACCTCCAAACAGCTTCTTGAGCACTGGAAGTGGCCTTCCCAAAAATTCTATCCAGGGACTCAGGGAGTGAGATTCAGGCAAAGCAGCAAAGCGCTTCGTCCACCCACGCGACGGCCAAGATCTGCTCGTAGTGGCTGACCTGCCAGTCGATGCAGTCGCACCACAAACTTCACCAGTCACAATCAAAACCCGGTATTAAAATGGTCTGCCCAGAACCATGTAAAGAACTAAGGCGGCGAACATCCGCAGCTATTTCTGGTTGGGATTGTCCCAACCTTCATCTACCCGGGCTTTGATGTGTGGCTCACCACACGGCAGGCCCAGCCTTGACGTCGTTCGGCGCCACCCGCACAACGGGCCCCGTCTTCGGTGTCGTTGGATTCTTGGGGCTGGTGCGCTTCCGCTCGGCCGTGCGGGACGGGTTGAGCAAGGCCCGGGCGGCGATCGGCTTGTACGTCCTGATTTTTTCTCGAGCCGGAGACAGCATGCAGGGTGAGGCCATTGGTTTAAACATGTTTAAACCACTGGTTTTGATGAGTCTTCCCTTGTAAAGGTGGTGTTTAAACCATATTTTGCTCCACCCAGGCATGCAGTGAGAAACCTTGCTGGTGCGACAGGCAGGGAATAAGCGATCGAATCACCCTTAATTATAAACCAGCCAACCTTTAAGGGAATCCTACAGCGGGTTCATTCCCACATTCCCTACTTATTGCACCAGCAATGGGAACTTTGTGCGATGTGCGCCGAGGAGCACCAGGAATCGTGGGTAGATCTGGTTGGGACGGTAAACCACGCGCAGTCGCGACTCGCTCTGCCCTCGGCCCTTTTGTTTTGGTGTGTGTGGGCCACCCACCACGCTGTCGTAGCCTCAGCTCCGGCAAGCTCAGCCCTCTTGTTCTTGCCACCTCTGTGCACGCGAAACACGCTTGCTGCAAGCCTTGCATCGGGGCTTTTTGAAACACACTCCGGGCTTCAGAAGCCTCGAGAAACGCCGAGTACTGGAACTTTCTCGTCCGAAAACCGTGCATACCAGGCGGCCATTGCTGCGGAGCCATGCGCGGTTGCACTTCGTGCCCGCACGGTCCAACCTGAGGGCGGTGGTCGGGGTGAAATGCTTGGCTTGTGCTTGGCTTTGGTATCTGCGTTGCTTTCAGGCGACTTCCCTTAACGCATTGGAGCCAATGCATTGGAGCTTTGTCAACAATGGGTGTTGGCAGGTTGCATCTGGGTTGTGACATTGCGTCCGAGGCGCTGGTCACCCATATCCAGCTCCTGAGCACAAGGTCACTACACACTTTCAGCTCAAATCGACCAAGCTCTGGCAGGCTGCGATGCCGCAGAGCGCATCCACCAGAAGGAGCTGACGGCCACCATTCGACGCATAGCCATAGTGGTGGGAGTACCTCTACGGGCTCTCACGAAGCGAAGCCCAAGCTCCCAAACCGTCCAAGACACCTCACCAGCTCGGCAAAGTAGCAGCCCTGGCCGTAGAAGGCCCGCTCGGAGCCTTTCTCCGGCATGAAGCCGTCCCTGTCTTCCACGATGGTGGCCGGATTCAGGTCCCTGGTGCCTGCACTGCTCGTTCCAAGGCAGCACTACCCCCGAGAAACCCCCCAAATTTTCAGAGTCGCAGGTAGTCTCTGCAGAGAAAAGCGAAATTACAGCAAATGAGTCAAAATCCAACCTGGTTTTAAAATGGTTGACCCACAACAATGTAAAGAGTTAAGAAGGCGACCGCAGCTATTTATCATTGGGATTGTCCCTTACTAACCTTCATCTACCCGGGTTTTGATTGTGGCTCAAGTCGCCATGAACCAAGAGCTGCTCGTTGAGATGTTCTTCCCCGCGCTCGCGCAGCATCAGCTGCTTCTCAACATGAAAAGCTTCCCGCAGCGGTTGGTTCCTTGGCAAATGAATCAAACACAGAAAGCGTCTTTGCTAAATGCGAGAGAGAGAGAGAGAGAGAGAAGTGGCAGCATTGCTTGGGACTGCCATGACGCTTGCCCCATCATCTCTTTCCATGCACCAGGTGATTTCTCCAAGGCTCTGTACCCGCTTCACGCCCACAATGCCCCATTCTTGTCCGTCCAGGCCACCCTCGCCGAAGAACATGGACTTCACCAAGCTGGCCTATGGCTCACTTGAAATAAAACCACCGGCGACAGGCGACCGCCGCAGCTCTTCCGCTCCGGCCTCGACGTGTCCAGGATCCACATCTGCCAAAATCACCTTGCCGGAAAAAAAATGCGATCTCCACCCCTTGCCCCGCGCAACGTATGTCGAACGGAACCTTTGCCATCTGGCCATGGGTCAAAATCCAAATCGTACCCCCGGTGAACATCCGATTCAATCCCCCACTAAAATAGGTGCTACAATGGGTGGTGAATTCACCGAAAACCCCCAAATCGGATCCCCTTGACTTTGACAACACACCTTCCCCAAAATGGGATCCCAAAACGGTTTTGACCCATGGCCATGTGTCGAACAGCTTTGCCATCACAAATGCGCCTGCTCGTCCTGATGCACCCAGCTGGGCTCGGCCAGGCCGCGCTTGGCCTCGTCCAGAGTCTTCCGGCGCACGGGCCTTCTGCCATGACTCTCCTCCACCATGGCGCGAACGTCCACTGTGGCCTGGCAGGAGACTGGTGGCGACAGAAGAAATCAGTTGGCCGTGGCTCACCAAAAAGATGCACCAAAATGCCACCAAAGACTGAAAACTGCGTGACCCTAGCTCTTCAACTTCGACCCATACCCGTTTCTTTTGACACAAAATATGGTTTGCCCAGCCGCAGAGCCCACAGTGACGCGGTGATGCTCGGTCTGGAGCTTGGCATGGGCCTCCGTCTGCACTCTGCTAGGGGTTGATTCCTTTTCCCTTCTTTTCAGCCATCGTTCTTGTCGAAAACCAGCTGTTTCCCCATGGTTTTTTGTTGGTTTTAACCAGCCATTTCCCTTTTTGGTTTTTGGTGGTTTTCCAGAAAGAATGGGGAAGTTACCCCTAGAACTCTGCTTGAAACTCGCGTTGCACTTCGCACCCTGCCTTCTCAAGCCTCAAAGCGGTGGCAGCATCATAGGCCACGTAGATGCCATCGTCTCCCTGCCACTCCCAATTGGGTGCATACTGGTACGCAATGTTCTGGATGGTAGAGCCATCCACCTGCCGGCTTCAAGTCTTTGACTTGGCTGTGGCTCAAAAAACCGGTACCAAAATGGGATGCCCTGGCAAGTGGAAACATGGACCAAAACCTGCGGATTGCCCCTCCTGTTTAATTTTGAGCCACCTGTACGTGTGCGTCCAAGCTCAGCAACTGCACGGGCCTGTGACTCCCTTTTCTCTTGACCAGCTCCGAGGCCACTGCCAAGGCTACCCCCCATGGCTTGACCGCTGCGGCAAGGGCATGCAAGCTTCAGGTGCAACAAGCAGGGTTTTCAGAAGCGGCCATACGCCAAGTGCACAGGAAGCTTTCATGATATTTATTGCCGACCTGGCACTTCTGTTTCGACCAAAACGATGCAAGCCCCACACAAGTCAAAGCTCTTGCTCCGAGGCACATAGTATCTTCTCTGTCCTCTCCCTGGCCAAAACACGACTGCGAAAATGCTGGAGGTCCCCAGCTGACACCCTTTCAAAGGGGATGCCCCAACAACGGGCCCAAATGCAGACAAGTTCCACGCACATTGCATTGTCATGCAAAGTGAAGGTGACCATAAATTGTCGCTCACAAACGCTTAAAAGCAGCGAAGCCATAACCCTGACACGGTGCGTGTGTGTGTGTGTGTGTGTGTGTGTGTGTGCGCGCGTGCACGTGCAGGTGCGGGTGCGCGCGGGTGCATGCACGGGGAAATGTGCGCGTGCGCGTGGTTGCAGGTGCGCGTGCGCGTGTGCCTGCGTGTGCGCGGGTGCCGCGGGTGCGGGCGCGGAGCTGCCAAGCCTTAATGTATGTATGAAAGCCTTGAAAGCCTTGAAGCGTAGTAGCCGTGGCTTGTGGCTTATGGCTTGTGGCTTGTGTAGAGTGTGGGTGTGGGTGTGGGTGTGGGTGTGGGTGTGGGTGTGGGTGTGGGTGTGGGTGTGGGTGTGGAGTAATAGGTGTGGGTGTGGGTGTGGGTGTGGGTGTGGGTGTGGAGTGTAGGTGTGGGTGTGGGTAAAATTAATAATAATAATAATAATAATAATAATAATAATAATAATAATAATAATAATATAATAATATAATAATAATATTAATAATAATAATAATATTAATAATAATAATAATATATA